AAACTGGGAAAATTTCTAACTTTGTTTTCTCCTTCGTTTTTCAACCAAATTTCACGTTCTTTATACCAAAATGAAGCTTAGGACTAGTAGAATCACGTTGGACTACTTTTAAGGCCTAAAAATTAAGGAATCTCACCTGCAACAACGATCCAAGTTCGGCCAACTTTGCACAGGACGATCCCGACGTCCAAACTCACCCAACGAACCACTCCGAGGCTCCTTGGAACCTCACAAACACAACTACAAGCTTAGAAATTCCAAAAACAAGCTAGATTAGGTTTGCATGAACAGTGTTTCAAATCGGCCATTGTTGAAACGACGTGAAAACGTTAGATTTCTTACCTGGAATTGGTATGGTTGTGCTCCTCACAACCTCACGAGTTCAATGGTATAATTGGTTTCTTGTTTGGTGAAGATTTGATTGGTTTTGTGTGTAGTCCGTGTGTTTGTATGAAGAAGAAGAGGAAATGGAGCTCGGGGAGAAAGAGAGAGAGACTGAGAGAGAGAAGAGACAGAGTGAGGGAATGAGGGAGGGAATCCCGGGAGAAAAGAAAGGGTATGAGTGTGGGTGGTCCTACACACCACACCATACAACACAAAACTACCCGTAAGTTTAACGAACTAAGGGGTAAAATCGTAAATTCACGCGTACGTTTTAAAAATCCCGGAACGGGATGTTACATGAAATGTATGCACCAAAATGTATGTACTGAAATGTATTATATTGAATTAATATACCTAAATGTTTGTATCGAAATGTATGTACATAAATGTGTGTACTTAAATGTATGCACCGAAATGTATTATAATAAATTTAATGTATCTAAATGAAGAAGACAAAGTACATCGAAATATATTGTATAACAAAAATTAGTTTATCTAAATGTTTACAACAAATTACGATAAATGAAATGAAAATTATAATTATAATGAAATAAGATTAATACATTAAAATTACGAAGAAAAAGGATAAATAATTAAAAAAATGCAAATGTAATTAATAAATAAGGTTATTAATGTATCTAGGGACTAAAATTATATTTTGATCTTACTCATGGTTTTAGTTTAAAAGTCATATTTGCCAAGGATTATAATGAAGTCTTCTATTTCATTTAACTTCATTGACAAGCTTTATTGACAGGTACTTATTTATTAAGGTTCTCTAACTTCAAGTGCATTAGTATGAAAAAAAAAAAAAAAAGAGGATAATGCTAGGAAGACCAAATTTTTTAAACTAAATTACAAACTAAATGATGCATCACCAATAAGAAACAAGAACGTTAATTTAACATTTAATTAATAATCCAGTCATTCTATGTCACATCCCGCCTCGGGGCCCCCACCACATCCCAGGCTCGATTCCATCGTAGCATGATATTGTCCGCTTTGGGCCCTGACCACGCCCTCACGATTTTTTTTTTGGGAACTCACACGAGAACTTCCCAGTGGGTCACCCATCCTGGGAATGCTCTCACCCCGTACTCGCTTAACTTCGGAGTTCCTACGGAACCCAAAACCAGTGAGCTCCCAAAAGGCCTCGTGCTAGGTAGAGATGAGAATATACATATAAGGCTTACAAGATCATCACCCCTGGGCAATGTGGGATCTTACAATCCACCCCCCTTAGGGGCCCGACGAGGATTCTTGGCAAATCTCAGGATAGGTGGTTACTTTTAAAGGTATAATTCTTATCCACTCCACCGTACATACTTATGCTTTAACGTCACGTGTGAAGTGGGTTCATTCCTACTCACTAGTGCACTCTGGTATTTAGACACTCTTAGGTTTAAATTTATTCACATTTTTCCACATCATCACACTTTTTGGCTTCGTCACCTCCCAGGTGTCAGCCAGCACAGCTCGATTTGGAGTCCTAGTGGGCATTTTGGCCAGGATGTGACAATTTGGTATCAGAGCTAATCCATGGTTGGAAGTGTGCCGACGTCTTGGGAATGCTCTCACCCCGTACTCGCTTAACTTCGAAGTTCCTACGGAATCCAAAACCAGTGAGCTCCTAAAATGCCTCATGCTAGGTAGAGATGAGAATATACATATAAGGCTTACAGGATCATCACCCCTGGGCGATGTGGGATCTTACAATCCACCCCCCTTAGGGGCCCAACGTCCTCGTCGGCACACTTCCAGCCAGGGATTGGCTCTGATACCAAATTGTCACATCCCGACCCGGGCCCTCACCATATCCCGGGCTATACTCCACCATAGTACGATATTGTCCGTTTTAGGCCCCGGCCACGGCCTCATGGTTTTGTTTCTGGGAACTCACACGATAACTTCCCAATAGATCACCTATCCTGGGAATGCTCTCACCCCGTGCTCGCTTAACTTCGGAGTTCCTACGAAACCCAAAACCAATGAGCTCCTGAAAGGCCTCGTGCTAGATAGAGATGAGAATATACATATAAGGCTTACAAGATAATCACCCCTGGGCGATGTGGGATCTTACATTCTACAACCACATCATTTGGTTTGCAAATATGGTTTAAAATTTTTGGTTACCCTAGCATTACCCAAAAAAAAAAAAAATTACTTAAGTACTCATTTTCTAATTTGGCTCAATTAAAAAAATGTCACATGTTTTTTTGTTTTAGAGCCTAAGAAAAATTAGTTAACATGTCTATTATTTTTTAAAGTAGTAAAACATGTGTTAAAATATCATTGGATCAAAATTAAAATGAGAGCATATAGAGTAGCCACTAGTGAATACTTAAGTATTATCTGGAAAAAAAAATTGCATGAAGTACTTAAAACAAAAATAAAGTTAGCATATCGAGATCAAAAGTGTAACCTAGCCAAACATGTTTGTCAACTCTTGCACAATGATCTCATAATGCCACCCTTAGAGACTTAGGGCGATGGTGTTTCTAATCTTTCATTTGTCACATTTTTTAATTTTTACGAGTGATCTCATAATTAATTTGAAACACTATTATCTTAACGTTTTTGTAAATCACTCTCTTAAAAACAGCGATAGCCATCGCTATATATCAAGTTCAAATGGAGGAACGCACGTGCAACAAATGATAAGTTTGATTAGACGCATTGAGTACTGATTAGGGCAATCATTAGGCAGAAAATAAACTTTATGGTTCTAGAAAAGGGTTGATTTGTAAAAGTTTGGAATTAGGGGTGTGGTTGGCGGGACGTTATCTATATGCTGGCAGGCCGTCCACCCAATCACCGTTTCGTCGGTGCCCTTCGCTCGCCACCAACCAACGCAACACTAATAATAATTTCCTAACCCCCTCTTTGTCCACCCTTCGCTATCTCTTTAATTACCCCTTTGGCCCTCGCTCTGTTTCGTTATCCCACCTGCACGGCACTCGGAATTTCTGTTCGGATGACGGGACTACCCTTTTTATTGTTCAATTTTTTATTCAACGTTCACGTGTGAGAAATAAAAATACATGTATAGGTTCGGACTTGAAATGTTTTCTAAAATAGTTCTAATGAGGTTGGCATTTGGGGATAATGATTTTCTCGGTTAATGCATGCGTCTTATCATACTCTGAATAAGGCAAAGAATATGTACCAACCATATAAAGATCCTCATTCCAATTAATTAGGCGTTTGATTCTTGATTTTGTGTGGAGCCCTTTTTTGTTCTAATTCCTTAACGTGTCAATAAGTAATAAGATCACATGAAAATAGGAGTGAACATTACTTCTTTCATTCATATTCTTGTAAGAATATGAGTATGAAAGTAATTGTTATAGTTGATTGACTCAAATTGGTGCATAAAAGTCTTATGAAAGTAGGATTATTTTGTCCTAATTACATGGAAATAGACTTAGTATGTAATCTGGTTTTTACTGCTTACAATTTGATAAGGAAACTATTTTGGTGTTCTATATGGATTCTAATAAGGGAATCAAATGGATTAATCGTCTTTATTAATAGTGGTCACTGCTAGAACAAAAAAGATGACGCTCATTATTGGACTTGGACCTGTTGTAAAGTTGAGCATATTGTTTATGCAAAAGAGGAGAACCTTACTATTAAAGTCAGCTATGACTTCATTTTTCCGATTTTGGAAATGTTAGATTTATTTTTTACAATTCCATGTTACTAAACAAGAGTTGCTCAAAAACTAGATGAAGGATTGGCTTTGGTACGTCCATTGGTATTGGAGACTGTGGTGTTGCGAATTCACCAGGTATATTATTGCTTGAAATGGATAACTTGATTGTTGGTTATCTCTCTCCTTATAACATCCCTAATTGTTTCGACAAACAAGGAAAAGAAAACCCCAAATCAAAAGGACAAAGAAGGAAATATAACCTTCCTAATAAGGGTTTTGCCTTAATTAACCAAGACATATCTTATGACTCTCACTTTGTTATCCACCACATAGGGTTTCAACAACTTTTAGAACAAATATTTACCCAAAAGAAGAAATTTTTTTAGAAGAAAACCCTTTTCTGCTTCACCCACAAGCAAGCATGATTGGATTTGGAGACACCATCAACCCATAGACCCCAGACCAAAATTATCAAGGGTATATTGGTCAACTCATAGCATCTCAAATATAATGTCAACCAACCAAGGTACCAACCGCAAATGTTCAAAGGGTAAAACTGGAATTATAACCCTAAACCAAAGTGCACACAGGTATTGCTCTCTCTCTAAGGAGACTTGTCCCTCTTCATCAGTCCTACCACAGTACTACCACCACGCCTCTCTTCTTTAAAAATAAAAAAATAACAAAATAAATAAAAAAAAAAGAAAAAAGGGGAAAGGAAAAAAACAAAAAAAAAACAAAAGGTGGTAGATGCATGAGATACAAATACAATTATACACACACACTCTCTCTCTTCCTTCGCTGACCACCCTCCCTTCCCTTAAAATCCCAATCCTTTTTTCTTTTCTTTTTCCAGGGAATTTAATTAAATTTACAACTGCCTCTAATTCTCCGCTGCCTCTTTCCCAGCTCCAAGAACCGCCACCTTTCTGCCTCCTCAGGTAAAAAGGAGCTGCCTTTCTCTTTCCCAATGGCTACTTTCGTCTTTTTGTCTAATGGGTTGCGTCTTCATGGCGTGTTGACTGTGTTTGTGGCCCTGGGCTTTTTGGCTTGACGAGGTTGGAGCCAAAGGAGGGCTTTTTTTTTCGTTTGGGGTTTTTGTGTTGCTCTTGATTTGGTGTGTGTGTGTGTGTTGTGTGTTTGTTTTTGAATTTTGGTTTTTGGGTTTTGTTTTTCTGGTGATGAAACTTCCATGAAAGGTGGTAGGTTGGTGGGTTGACTAAGCTTTCAAAGGTCAGACATTTGGAATTTTTATCAATTTTTTTGTGGTTTTCTTGGATTTTTTTCGATTTTAATCCATCCTACATGATAGATGGTTCGGTTTTCTGTTTGCAAGATAAATATGACTGAGTTTGTTGTTGTCACCTTACGCCAATTACTGCAATTCTGAAAAAAAAAAAAAAAAGATGCCTGAATGAGAGATGTTGAAGTCAAGTGATTGGATGAATTTTGCTTGTCTCTGTTGATTTCGATGTGTTCTAATTCGACCTGAGACTGTTTTCGATTGTACAAGCACAATTGTTTGTCTGCTCACTTTAATCAAGGCACATAAGGTGTTTAAAATATCAGGGGAAGTTCATGTGTATCTTTTATGATTGGAGTTTTTGAGTTCCTTATGGCTTTGTTGGAATAATTTTCTGTTGTAGCAATAGAAATCGAAAATATAATCTTAGATCATGTGACCACTTGGTGGTGTTTTATCCTTGATCACTTGTAAATAGTATTGTAGTAGTTTCTTCAGAAGTGCCGTGACCTGCATTCACATTGCATATGAATTTCGATGATGTAGTTAAGAAATGTATGTTCTGAAGTTTTTCATCCTTTAATGCGGTTCTCTATAGTTAGTGGCATTGTGTTTTGATTTACATGTTCACACATTATTATGTTTTTTGTTGACATTTTAATTGTTAAGTCGTACCCCGTTTGAAATTGTAACCTTACTTTTTGTTGTAATATGTCTACTTGATTTGTCCAAGGAATGGGTGATGCATGAAAAAGGCCGCCAAGCGAGTGTTGTGCTTCGATAATCAAGTTGAAATCAACCATGGTGAGCTTAAGAAGGCGCAGACTGTTGGGATTGGGACTATGCTGTGGTAATAATCAGTGGAAATGTGCTATACAACATATGATTGATTGTTTTTATTGAATAGCATGTATTGTTCTTCTACTCTTAGCAATTCACATGCTAATCCTCTTTGAGTTTTAAGTTGTGTCGTAACCTTTCAGCGCTTTGTGATACATTTTCAGTTTGATGGATATTTTTTTTTTTTTATTATTATTTTTTTTATGCTTAAACGAAATCTTCACCAATTTTTGTCTTTGCAGAGATACCTCCGGTTCTGGATCCACTTCCTAGGGTTGTCAACAATGGAACCACTTATCAAAATTTCACCCGTACGAATCCTGTCAGTGTGCATCCCATGCCTGCAAATGATGTAAATCAACCAGATGGGGTAAGAGTAGATTGTCGATCAGTCTATATCATTAAATTACGTACATTAGATGGGCAACTGTTTTCTTTGAAGGTCTTATTAGCTTGTTTAGGACACTCGTCAGGCAGGGTTTTTATGTTTCTCTGTTAACCTATATGTATGTATGGTAAGAGAAAATTTCCATATATGCTTTAGAACAAAAATCCGTAGGCTGCATGTCTCGATAGCGTAGCGTAAGCTGAGCAGGGTACCTATAGCAAAATGGTAAGATGGAAATGATCACCATATAAGACCTAAAAAACCGTTTTCATTATAACAATATTTCTTTTAGGGGATTGTTATTGGCACTACAAAATTCTCACTGTGCGCTCCAAACTTTCTATATTTCAAAAGAAAACTACAGTTCCCTTCTTTTAATGCAAGAAAAGGATTTTCATAAGCAATAAACCATTTGAGATGTTGGTGCCCCTAGGCCTGGTTTTGTCACCAAGTATGCTCTTAATTGCTAGTTGCTTGATCAAGAAGGCTAAAAAACAGCATTTTCTTCTATAATATTTATTTTAATGAATTGGTTCAGCCAAAAAAGGAAAAATATATGCCATAAGTAGAAACTCGAAAGTTCTATCTGGGAGATTTCACTAGAGTTCTGGATTCCTTTCAATAATTTCTTGGCTTCTTGGCTTCATTCTATCTGTTGCTTTATTTATTACCAGAATACCATTGTGAGAGCAGAATTTCGATCCTCAACTGCATCTGGTTCTAGCTTATCCAAGGAGCAGCACGATGTGGCAGGTTTGTTGTGTATATTAAATTTGCTATCATTTCTAATTATATATTACAGATTAGAATGCTGGATATCATGGACTTTGGACGCACAAATTTGCGAACTCATCCTTTTGAAACTTGTATTTTCCGTCTTTACATTATGAGCTACTTTGTGGTTGTCTTTGCGATTTCATTTCTCAGAGAAGATGTGAGTTTTTGATTTTGCAGTTGTTTTCAACTTTTGGTAAATATGCCAATAGAAATATCTTGGCACACAGCGTATTCTTGAATCTTGATAATGGAAATTTTAAAGATAACGTATACGTTTATCCATTACAATTAGCTTGAGAGGTTATGCCAATGTTACAGGTTGATCGTTTCTAAAACATAAAATGCTATTTGCAGGGCCACCAATCAAACGCAGAAAGCGACATCGCAGAAAGCATGCTCAGAACCAGGAACCATGTCTAATGAGAGGTGTCTATTTCAAGAATATGAAGTGGCAGGCAGCAATAAAAGTTGACAAGAAACAAATCCACTTAGGCACTGTTGGTTCACAAGAAGAGGCTGCCCATTTGTACGACAGGTACTATCGCCTTTTTGTCACTACGAACAATATGTATTTGATGAGCACTCTGAAGAAAGATCAGCTTATACTAGATATTTTAGTTGTGCATAATTTTGAAAATCATAAATCATTGCAGTTTTCTTTTGTCTACCGACTAGCGAGCGCCTTCTCTTTATCATTGGTTCCTCATCATGTCATTAAAAACACCTTCAAGTAAAACAAATCTTAGTCTTCATTGTTGCTTCACTGGTTTTTTTAGTCCGTGTTCTCCAGACTGGGTCATCAAATAGGACATGCCATCCTAAAATGTTCATTCCATTTAAAGGCCTGTTGTGCCTGTACTACCAACATGATATAGTGGTTCGTGCCAATCCCCGACATTCAAAAACATGAAACTTGATAAGCCAAATGGGAAAATGAGCGGCAAGCTTTTTGTGACAAATGCTATAAGTTTTATAGCACATCTAAACTTTGTTAGTTTCTTTATTTGTGTTCAGGGCAGCTTTCATGTGTGGGAGGGAACCAAATTTCGATCTTTCTGAGGAGGAGAAGAAAGAGCTCAGGAAATTCAAGTGGGACGAATTCTTGGCCATGACTCGTCATGCAATTACCAACAAAAGTATGTTTTCCTCTTCTCTTGCCTCACATTCCCCAGACTTTATGTGTCTCCGGTCTTTAATTGTTTGCTTTCGTGAAATATTTCAGAGCACCGGAGAAGGTCAGGGGCAGAGTCAGAGAAGAGGTCCGTGAGTCCTCAATTGGAAGACGCAAACTGGGAGGATGACAAAGAAGAAGTGAATGTCCTCTCAGCTTCAGAAGATGCAGATCAAGACATGTTAGACTCTTGAACACAAACGTTCAAGGGCAATGCTTAGTTTCCCCCTTTCTAACAGTCAAGTGGTTAGCTGATAGACCTCCCATTTTTTGGTGTATACAGGCCCATATTAGGGCAAATGGTGGATTTCATGGTCTTTTAATAAGGCAAATGCCCCAAATAATTATTAGTTCCAGATTAGGAGCGTCATAGTTGCTAATCGCTTCGATCAGATAAGCTGCTTCGAAGCGATAATTTGCAGTGGAAATTGAAACCTTTTAGCTAATTAATGCTTGGGAAACTTTAGTTCCAAGAAGTATAATCTGTAGAGTAATCTGTTTATAGTTTCTTGATTAGCTGATATACTGTGATCATATGCTAAATTTGAATGAAAAACTGCTGTCAAATAGCAGTGGCCCTAACTTAAACAATGCTTGTCATAATACTTCACATTGGTGAAAGAAATGGATAAGAATGAACACTTCTTAAACCTTCGAGAAATGATTTTCATACTCTTTTTTTCCTGCGCACCCTTATTTATCTTGGTTTCTTGAATCTTTCTTGATTTATACAATTCAAAAGGTTAGAAATACGCATTGGTGTGCAATCTTTCTTGATTTATACAATTCAAAAGGTTAGAAATACGCATTGGTGTGCAAAGGAAAAAAAATGTGCGGAAATCACTTTCATATTAGGAATGACAGTAAAATAAGTTAATTCACGTCTATTTTTGTTTGACCATAATGATAATTATCACGTGGTTAAAAGTAAGGCGATTGATATAATATTCCAACTTCTTGTTTAAACAATTGTCAAATCTCTAATTGAACGAATCCGGTAATTCCATGATTTGTGTATTCCTTCATAATACACAAATAATGAAATAATAAGTGCATCGCTTGAAACAATTTGTAGATATGCTTTTCCATCTACGAAAATAGATAGCCCGAGTCCGATCTTATAATATGGTTACTATCCGAATACCCGACCTAAAACCTGATTCCGGATGAGGCGCAACCCGATTCGACCTCATGGCGCGATGGGCGATGACTGCACCGAAAAACGGGAAAGGATTCCACCAAGTTCACCAAGACATGCAATCCGGAGTTTTGAAATTTGATCTAACGAGTACAAGTAGGGGTTCATTTTAAAAGTTATAATAACTTCAACTGTTGGATCACATTTTAAAGACCCGATTGTGTGTCTTGGTGGACTTAGGATTGGTTGTTGTGCTTGGAAAAAAAAAAATAACTGCTTCTGCTGTACTGTGAGAATAAACTTATTTTTGCTGCTTTATGTTTTCAGTTTTCAGTTTTTTTTTTTTTTTTTTTCACCCAAAATTATAAAAATAAGGTGTTTTTAAGTGTTTCCGAAGTATTGTTTTTTAACTCTGCTTTGTATGATACCCACTTTTTATAAAAACCAAACCAGATCCTTTCCCGTTAACAGACTCCCATAACAAAACGACTCCGAAATTCTCGCGTTGAAGAGAGCTCAGGCGAAGAGCAAAAGCAAATTTCACATCTTTTATTACAATCATGGCTTCCGACGATCCCAAAGCCGTAGAAGCAGAGCCACCGCCGTCGTCTTGGAAGGAGCGCATCGTCTTTCCCACTCTCCTAGCTGGGATTCTCGGCGGAGGAGCTGGGTTGGTCTCCAAGCATCGAAAAGTCGTGGGTCTCCCGACCAGTTGCGCCACCTATGCTGCCAATTTCGCCATTGTTACCGCTTGTTACTGCGGTAAATTTCATTTCTTTATTTTGAAATTTTGATCTCCAGCTTCGGGTTTATGTACCCATTTGGTTTGACTGCTTGGTGTTTGTTAAATTGCCTGAGAGAAATTGTTGTAATGGGTTTGTTTGGATTTGGCAGGGGCTCGTGAATATGTGCGAGTAACTCGAAAAAATGGACCTGATGATCTTGTAAACTCTGCAATTGCTGGGTTTGGCACTGGTGCTATTCTTGGGCGTCTTCAGGGTGAGAATTCCTTCAATCTGTGTCTGCCTGTACGTGTTTGCAAAGTAGAGGAAGAAATTGTGTTTACTTTGGTGTAATCAGATTGTGTTTACTTTTATTGTTTGTGATCGAAGCAATGTGATAGGGAATCACTGAAATTTACATTGCCTTTCGACCTCTCTGCTCGTGGCTTGGACTTGTGTGATTCATTTGTAGTGGGTTGGGGGGTCTATATGATCTAACCTGATGTAATCCGGGAGCGCAGTAATATGTTTTGGCTATTAGGAACGATTACTTTGTCCTGTAAAATATTTCTTGAGTTCAGTTTAATAATTTCTAGGGAGAAATGCGAGCTCAATTGGTGAGCTATAAGTTATGTAGTCTCGCTTGGATGAACTGGAAAATTTCTGATTCGAATGTAGCTCGGATATTGCTTAGCCAGGAGTCTGGACTTGGTTCCAGAAGTAGAGAATCCATCCACTGCCAGCTTTAAGCAGGACATCACTGGTCGAGAGAGAGACATGCTCGTTTAAGGTCTTGACTTACTGGGTGGGGCTATCTGTATTGGTCTAGCAGTTGCTGTATACTCACGGTAGTTTACTCTTGGAACTAAGTCTCAAACCTCCGGAATCATCAGCAAAAACGTCTTTACTCACAAGCTGCATCTCTAAAATTAAAGTTGCTAGCATATTTGTTAATTGTCTGCTTTATTGTTCATACTACTTTGAAATCCTCCCTCCTGCTATATGTGGTTTAATTGTTTTGTTCATCGGTTTATAGGTGGTCGAATTGGTGCTGTACGGTACTCAATCATCTTTACTCTTGTTGGGACAACTGTGGATTATGCTACGATTAGACTAAGACCTGTGTTAAAGAGCTACAAAGAATCTATGCTTGGGAGTAATGACGGGTCACAGAAGAACGACGGTTGGTTGAAAATGCCCGACTGGTCTCCTATCAAAGTACTTGACGAGGAAGCCCTCGCTGCAAAACAGGCTCGTGAACAAAAGATGTATGCACAGCGGGCAGCACTTGGTAACCTAAGCAAAAAAGAGTCCTAAAATTTTGTTACATGTATCGTAAACTTTCGTATATGTCAATAATAACGTTTCAGGTCATGCCTCTCGAATTTTGGTTGCGTTTGTGTTTGTCATCGTGTCCCCCATTTTAAGGATGAACTTGCACTTTCTAGTCGTATGTATTGCTAAGGTCTTTTCAAATATATTGAAGATAGAAATAAGATGCAAGTATATTATTCAAACTCGGAATCAATCATTTACATTTCTTGGCTAAGTCCAAGGATAATAAGCTCATAAACTTAGTCTTACTTCACCGTCAAGAAACAAAAGAAGACTTCCATCTCCACGTTTAACCCAGACGAAGCAAATTTGAAGTAATGAAAATTTGCAAAGGAAGAAGAAACACCCAAGAACTTGATATAAAGCTAAATAGTATTGTTACCATCATGTACAGAAAATGTCATTGCTAATCGTTCTACATCTACCCTAACAGGGGTCTAAGATCTCATATTGCTGCTCGACAACTCACAACAAGTGTACAAATTTTGGCAGTCGGAAACTCACTTGCCGGCTAAACTACATTGTAAACAATCATCATCAAGGAGCTCCTCCGATGTCTTAAAATTTTATGAAAGCAGAGAGACGAGAGAAACAAACTCCAGTGTTACCCGGCCCTTGGACCTTGTGTTGATGACGAAGTGTTCCGGGTATTTTCTTAGCAACATAAGCAAGCCATACCACGGTTTCCCTTTTGACTCTGGACCAGGCCAGTCCTCGGAAGTGAGATACCTCCTCACTCGAGTGTGATGCCAGATGCTGCTGTACTGGTCCACCAACTGAACAAGAGTGATATGGAGTAAGGCAGAGAAAACCAAGGTTCCAATTCATAAACCTACAATAAACAAAACTAGAATACGCTATCCGAATGCATACCCATGCAAAGCGTAACTAACATATGCTACTCATATGAATAACTAAGGACGTATTCTACGACAATCATCAAAGGAAGAGTGCAGTTGAAGAATAGAAAATAACTAAGTGCCAAAGGTTATGACTAACAAATATTTTGTTGATCAGAATATGTTAAGACTAACCTCGGCATGAAGTTTCTCCATAGGCATCCATTCTCCCGGACCACAAAGATCGGAGAGCACAGTAGCAACAGAGGACACCACATCCTTTTCCTCCAAATGCAGAAGTTGCTGATTGTCAGTGTCTCGATCAACCCTTGACCTTCCATCTCCCTTCTTCTCTGCAGAAATCGAAGATAAAATTATGTCAAAGAAAAACAGAAAAACGGTCTCAATTAATGGGTTGATACAATAATGCAAATATTTTTTGTAATTAAATGTCTTAATAGGAAGAATAGAAGCCAATGCAAGTGTTCCAAAGTTGGGGATAGAAGATATATCTCCAGTGTCACCATGGTTAACCATCAAACAGATCAATCCTATTTCATCGGCCTATATAACAATCTAGAGAGTCAGACTCTACAAGGTCTCGGGTGGAGTTTGGGCTCGAATCTATGGTTTTGCCATATCCTCTGAAGAAATGGAAAAACACTAGTTCTTGATTATCTAACATAAACCACATCCAACCACGACTACACACAATCCATACCCCCAAAAACCGAAAATCAATAACCATTCTGATAAGGTACATCAATAAAAATCAGAGAGGATAACCATCAACAAAAGAACAATTTCAATGCTTTGATAACAATCCCCTAAAGGTGTAAAACAAACATAACAAATGCACCTCATAATCAATTTCTACAAAAACGCTGACACGTTCAAAGAAATTCAAGCCGAAATTCGAACAACACTGAATCTAAACATGTGATTGAAAACACTTGAGAATACCATGATTCATATGATTCAGAAAACACAACTTTGTCAGATTCCAATTGCATATGAACATCAATGCCCATTTATTTATCAATTACTAGGTAAGAGAAAGAAGCTAGAACATGGAAAGAAGTACTAACCCAAAGCTCCGGCCTTGCCTGAACCAGAACCCGACCCGCCACCGTATCCGAAACCATCATACCCTTCTCTCCTCATCTTCTTCCCACTCCCACTCCCCCCACCAACATCGTCCTCGTCCTCATACTCCTCCTCATACAAATCCCTCCCCCTCCCCTTCTTCCCAATCGGCCCAGTGCCCGAACCCGAGTGGTACCCGTAATGGGCCGGGCCGACGGGGCTCGGCACCACTGGCACCGAGGTGGGGTAATGCCTCGGCCCCACAGGCCCACCGAGAATGCTCCTCACCGGCAGCAGAAAGTAAAACTCCTTATCTCCGATCTGAAGAAGGTCCTGCGAGTCGAGCTTGACCGGCGGGTTCCCGGGCAGGTGGAGCACGCCCTCCACGAGGCAGCCGTTCTTTCCGAGGACCTCGAGCGCGAATCGACGACGCGTGAAGTCGTAAAAGATTCGCGCGTGGTGGCGCGAAATGTTCATACCGCCGCCGAGGCTGGAGAGGTCAACGTCCACCGTCGATTTCTTGGAGTTCCGGCCCAGGATTATGGAGTAGGTCTGCATGTAGTATTCGAAGTCTTCGCCTTGGAGCTTCGCGAACCCCGCCTCCACATCGCTGCTGCTCGCCGCCATTGAAATTTTCACAGATTCGCGGACCGGAGAACTGATATAATCCCCCAAATTCCAATTGGTATCGGTCTATTTCTCAATTGCAATGGGGTTGAAACTTATGGAACAATGTAGAATTGTATTAAATTCAGGGGCCAAAATAGAAATAAACAAAGTATTACCTTCTTTCACGGTTTCACCCAAAAGTCAATTTTTCGATATTATCACATTTGCCCCTTTGGAGGCCTTTTTAGGGATTTACCCTCTCAATTTTCTCTGTTCCCCTCCTGCCCTAAGCGAACACCTTGGTCTCCGTGGCTCTTCTACTTCTTCTCCGCCGCGATATTCACTGTAATTCTTTCTACCGATCTCTAATTACTATCTATTTCTGCTAAAAATCCTTGCTTTCTTTCAATTTTTATTCAATTTTGATGTGAATTTTCTGTTTTTCTTTCACAAATTTGTCACCTTTTGTGTTTCAATTTCTTCACTTTATAATTCGAAGTGAGAATTTCTACTTGTTTTTTGTTGGGAATTAAAAGGATCTTGGATCGGATTTTGGTGCAGTTGATGCTCTTAGCTTTTTGGTTGGGATCTCATATGATCCATGAAATGACACCCATTTTTGAATTAGGGTTTGCTCTTGTTTGTTGATTGAAATTTAAAAAAAGTGTGCCAGATGATGTGGGAATTTGCGCAAGGGCTTTGAGTTCCAGGTTATTACCATTTACATGGACTGGAACAGTGAAAAGGATTACTATGATCTATCCCTTCTGATGGCAGCTATGGATCAACTATTTCTCAAAGTTTACACTTTTACTGTGCATATGCAAACATAAAGTTATCTGTTTTTCGTCGCACATCTTGTTCTGGCTTGTACTGTTGGACATGGGAAAGTTGGACTGTGCTCATACTTGAGTTAAAGTGAGGAAGTTATTGACCGGTTCTCGTGCTGGCTTGAACTGTGTCTGTCAGTCTGTGTGCATTTCTACTCCTTAGGTCATGGGTTCGACTACTTGTTGTAGACTTGTAGTAGTCAAATCTCTTGAGTGTTATGACGGGGGAGGAGTTTCGAGGGAGGGGAGGGCCACTGGACCCTGGAAAGTAAAGAAGTAGGATTTAACGGCGTTATGTTTTTGAAGCATTCACGGGTAGAAAATATCTTGGACTGATTGAATGAATTAGTTAGCTTTGAGGTCCAATTAGAAGATGCAGCATGATCTGTGTTTTGTTTACGGTGATGTGTGTCTTAGTCTTCATTGTTTGACTTGTTGATTGCATGTAACATCAGTTTTTTCTTTTCCTTCCCAAGAGACATCCTTTGGCAAAAATCAAATATAAACGACTCATGTTATATTTTTCTTTTGGTTTGAGTTTTCATGTATTGTTAAAGTAGCTACAATTTCTCTTCAATTGATTGCTCATATAAAGAATATGGTTTCACAATTAATACGTTATACTTTACGAATCAACCCGCAGATATGCATTGCATTGCCTTGTGTGCTTGGTCGTGAATTTGCTGTTGCTTTCATGCATGCATTTGAAAGACATTATATTATTTCAAGTAAGCAAGTTTAATACACCACAGGGCTGTTGTTCTTTTCACCTATGCTATTTGTAACTTGCAGAGGAGTGGGAAGTGATTATTATAAATCAATGAAGCATATTGTGAAAATTCTGACATTGTTGGTGGCCATATCTGCCTTGTGGATTGGTCTCTTACAGACGTCCATTATTCCGCGGAGTCATACTTGGCTGGTGAGTTATTTTATTTATTGATTTCGGTCAGTTTATGTCACTGTTTATACTTTTTGATGTTATATATTTATAACTAAACTCTTTTTTATCTTGTTCCCAGCTACCAATATATTTCGTTGTGTCTCTAGGATGCTATGGCCTGCTAATGGTTGGAGTTGGTTTGATGCAATTTCCGACTTGTCCTCAAGAAGCGGTACTGTTGCAGCAGGTAGATTACTTTTTCTATATATGTTCTGCTCAGTTTAGTTTGCCGAGTGATACTTTGGTTAATCTCTCTCATTCTCTGTGCTATTTGTTACACACATTTCACCTTTTACATTTATGTATTTTTGTCTTTATAAAAAAGGAACTAAAACCTGTTCTAAGGATTTTTTATCCATTAGGACATAGCCGAGGCCAAGGATTTTTTAAAGCAGAAAGGGGTCGATGTGGGTGGCTGCGATTGATTCTGCACGCAGAGTTCTCCCTATTCTGTGTTTGGATACGAAGAAAAGACCTAGTTTAGTATAGAATCCATTGAGCTCCGCTCGTTCTTGCAGTGATATGGTGGATGACTTCATGACAGCTTATTGTTTCCGACCTGATGGAAAATTGGGAAAGGTTTAACCGAGTTAAAGCAACGAACGACGCCTTTGGAGTTTTGGAGTTTTTAACTTTTAGCAACAAACAGAAGGCCTCTGAATTGTGGGAAATAGAAAGCAGTTTTGGAAAGTGTACACCTTATCATGAATTGTGTATTTTTGTTCTTCTATTATAAGTATAGAAGTTTTCGTCAAGTGGTAATGACTACTAGTAGATTATTGGCCCGTCTCAATAAATTCATAAGAAAACTAATGAAAATGGCTTGAAAACTTTGAGTTTTAACGATAAAGACAAAATAAAGGGTAAAGTGAATGGTAATAGGATTGATTTTTTAGTGTAAAAATATGGTTTTTCGTTGAAATGAACAGTATCGGAATCTTTTCGTTAAAGAAATCTAAAATCTTGCTAAAATGTTCTCTCGTCTTCCATTAGTGAGTTCAGAGTTGGATGGAAACCCAATAATGGGCACCAAATACAAAATATAAAACACAACGACACAACACAAGCTCATACATTGCAGCAGCACAAACAAACACAAAGTGGCAGTACAGCTTGTTTGAGACATCTCAATTACGCACATTTGCCGGTATATACCACAGTCCCAAATGCTTGAAATGCATGTTGCCGTTGGTTTCGTCACGTCCGCCGTCTTTCGCCGCCGCAATCTCAGACGAACTCTTAATATTTACCTGTCATTCAGAGTTAACTACTTTTTCTCTTCCCCGCCACTCTACATTTTTTTTTCATGACCATATTAGTATATACTCGAGTTGGAAGGGACTGCTGCAGTAATCTTTATTGAGGAGTTGCAGTAAATCCTTATTAAAACGTAAGTCCTCATCAAAGTAATGTATCATCATCATGTGATAAATGATTTGGGTAATTCTACATCTCACATGATGAGATGGGCCCGTGTGGATCCTTCACTATGGATGAGGATCCTCGTCGGATCCTTTTTGTGGGAATCGTATGGATCTTTACATCTCAATTGTTTATCGTATATCATGCGGTCAATTTTTGTTAGATACTATTCGTGTTTAATTTTAAATAATAAAATTTAAATTATTTCTGATCGTACGATATACGATAAATGACTAAGATGCGAAGATCTTTAGGATCCTCACAATTTAGATCTGGATCCAAATCCCTTCACTATGACTTCCTATGTACTCTAATAGTTTTTATTTTTATAATATTAGAATCACTTTTAAAGTACATAAAGAAAAAGGGATTGTCTATAAATAAGAAGAAAACAAACCCAAATACTTATTTCATTTTGTATGGTATATAAATAAATGTTTGTTTTGTTTTTTTTGTTTTTTTGTTTTTTTTTTTTTTGCAGATAAATAAATGTTTGTTTAGTAGTAATTAAAATTCATAATTCATTTTTATGAATGGAATATGTAATCTAGGTATGAAAACGAAGTCGATTCCTTGATGAGAAACAAATTGTTTGTATGTCATAAATAATGAATATCAATACAATGTAGGTGCACCTTTACATAAAAAAAATTATCAAAACAAGTGTCCGTTCTTTGATTAGAAATTTTATGTGCATGGTGCGCTGTTGACGTTGTCGATAACTTCTCGGTAACATATTGGCATATTTCAATGGTTACAATCCTGATGTTGACACACAATTTATCACATACCGACAATCAATTTTTTAAAAAAATTAGCGATTGTTGAATGTCCAGATACATCTTTCTTGAAAACATTAAAAAGGGAAAGAAAGGGAAGAGACTTGATGATGTTCACATGAACATTCCAATTCCACAATAGCACCTGTAAATTGTCATCCCCCACAATCGGTTCACTCCATTTTCACTCCCTTTACTGTTCTCCTACTCACAAGTCACAATCACACATTTGCTTCCCACTCCCACATTCCACTCTGCTTCTCACTCACGAATTTTTCAATGTGACCGTCACACGAAATGGTACACTACGTGTTTCTATATAAATGATAAGTTATGTGTGTTAAAAGATTAATAACTTAAAAATTAAAATTTTCCACCATTTACATAAAAACACGTGATATACTATTTGTATTCCCGTCACAACTAAAAATTTCTCTTCACTCACGCTCAGACAAGCCATTTTCTTTTGTCCCAATTTCCAGCTCACAATATTTAACCCAAACTCCCCCTTTAACTCCTTTCACGTCCGTCTCGTCCTTCTTCTCTGTCTCTCTCTGTCTCTCTCTCTCTCTTTCCCTTTTCCTTCATAGCCATGGCAGCAGACAATGCAGACCCATGTATAAAAATGCCACTCTAGCTCGCCGTAGATCCAAATTGTGAAGCTTTTCAATCGAATAAAGATAACCCATTTGATTAAATCCTCCAAGTTTCTCGACCCGCCATTGAAATGGGTGGTCTCAGAGAGTCGTGGTGCTTCTGCAAGGGAGTGAGCAAGTCTGAGAAGATGAAAGCCGCCATTTTCTCCGGCAAGGCTCCGGCCATGGCCAGAATTTCCGGTGCCGCAAATGGGATCTCTGGCACCGGATTTCTGATCCATCGTAGTCTACTATTGACCACCCACGTCAACCTTCCGTCTGTAGCGGCTGCCGAGAGCTCCGAGATCCGGCTGCAAAACGGTGTCGCCGCAACTCTCGTTCCCCAAAGGTAGTCAGTACTAGATTTGCTTAATTTGTTTTACTAATAAAGTTTGGATTTTTCTTGGTTATATGGGAATTAATTGAAGGTAAATAATGGGTTTAGTGTTTTCTATTGGTTTGTTTTTGGAAAAGTGGAAAACCAGCCCCATTAGGCCTCTGCAACGCATTAGGATAGTTTTATGTGCTTTAGTTGTAGTGGGTCCCAAATGGTAGAAATTGAATTTTTGAATAGTTTGATTACATGATGTTTCTACCCATTTTGTTAGCTTTCAATGGAGAATTGATTAGTTTTGTACTGAAAATTTGGTTGTACCCTTTGTTTGCATTGGTGAGATTTGAATTGGTCAAAAGTTGTAAAGTGAAAGAGGTTATAGGTGCTGCTAAGAAGTTGGATTGTTTTGTACGCACCTTCTGGTGGTTGTGCAGTTGTTGGATCTGATTAGATCATATTCATTCATTTCTATATAAACTACGGGTTAGGAGAAAAAGACTGTCAACTGCTAACCATTTTCCTTTTGACAAAACGATATTCTAATTTAAGTGAGAGATCTTAGATTCAATTGTCGCCAAAGGCGAATTTGAACTACATTATTGCTAGCCCATTGTGAGGCTGGCTCACTCCCCCCACCTCCTTTGTGTAGATAATGTCATTTGTTCAAAAAAAAAAAAAAATTTAAGACAGAGGGATTCGAACTTGAGTGCAACCTGATGGCACGCTGCCCTGGTCAACTACCCAAATCCCACGTCTGCGTTAGCTGGTAACCATTCAGATAAGTTAAATGTGGAAGTCTTTAATGTAGGGGATGGAGACTAGGGGTTAGTACTGATAATGCAGTGTGTAAAATGGAGGAGGATTCTCTACCCTCCTATTCCCATCCCCTTCCATCCCCTCCTCTCACACATTGCTTTTTGTCTTATTATCTCTATAAAAAAATCAATATAAGATGTTGACGTGGCTTAACCGTGACCGTTCAAATAGGAGGGCATGGAAGGGTAGAGAGATTAGGAGGGTAGAGAATCCTCCTCCGTGTTAAATAAACTAAAACTAGAGGTCATGATGGAGGGATGGCATGGCGGAGCTAAAAATGGCAATAATTTGTAGGCAATAAGAGATGCCAGTGACTAAAAAAATGGAAGGCATTGGCAATAATGATCATTGTCTCTGAAAAGGTTAAGAAATGAAATTGCTTTCTCAACTTCTCGGGAAGCTCTTCCCAAAATCTCCGGAACTTATCTGGCAAGTCCTCCCCCTGAGTCATGGAAATTTTGTTGTTTTACTTTCACGTTGGGTTCCTAAGGCTTCATTGTGCTACGCATTTATATATGTAGTTATCTTGTGGGTTGCCTCCTCTGGGAGTGATTAAGAAAAAGAAAGGTGATGGAAAATTGGAGTACATAGCATCATAATCGTGATGATTCGGTTTATCACATTATAATAGATTTAGTATTGCATAGAAATTCTGTTGGTTCTAATAGAAGTTCAGTTCTCTAGTTAAGGCGAATGGGGAAAAGAAATTTTGTAGCATTCTTCTCTTAAAGCATCAATACATCATGGTTTATGATAGCCTTTGCATATTTAGGCATTTCGAGTAGTGTTTCTCATTCTTTCATTGGATTGCAGATTTTTCATCACCAGCTCCATCTTAGATCTTACAATAGTAGGTTTGGATTCGGTAGATGGAGATTCAACTGCCCAAGGCCACCTCCACCACTTGCGGACCTGCTCTAAACCAAACCTGGATCTTGGCAGTGTAGTTTACCTTCTTGGCTACACAGAGAAGAAGGAATTGACAGTTGGTGAAGGTAAGGTGGTGATAGCGACGGACAATCTCATAAAATTGTCAACTGATGGAGTAACGTGGAGCCCTGGTTCAGCTGGATTTGACGCACAAGGGAATCTTGCATTTATGATATGTGATCCTATGAAACTAGCAACATCTCCAAACACCAAATCCTCATCAACTTCCTCATCGTCCTCGTCATCATGGAAGAAGGATCATCCGATGCAATTTGGTATCCCCATTCCAATCATTTGTGATTGGTTAAATCAGCATTGGGAAGGCAGCCTCGATGATCTTAACAAGCCTAAGCTACCACTCATTCGGTTGATGTCTTCTGGCCAGAAAAGTGAGCACTCTTGTGCTTCCTTCACGCAGCGGCGAGTTTTTAAGTCAACTGAAGGTGACAATGATGGAACACCATCTTCATCAAATACAATCTCAAAACCTGGGGACCAGCAAGGACCAAGCTGCTCTGCTGCCGCAAACACTGTTGATGAAGAGGCCCTAACAAGTGATCGTCATGCTGCACATGTACAAGGCATTCCTACTCCAGAAATCTATGAATCACCAAAGTTAACAGCTATTCCTCTTCGGAGAAAAGAAGGTTCCCCAGTTCAGCTTTTGGACATTAATTTTCCTCCAAGGGTTGCAAAACCAGCAGTTCAACCACAGTCAACCAAAAAGTTACCCCCAAATTCTGGGGAGAATTTTGTCAGGGAGCCTCCCGAGCAGATCCGATTAAGAGGACACAGAGTTGAAGATAGAGGACCAGCCAGTCCTGATGCAAATGCTGAAATTGCCTCGACGGGTTCATTTAATGGGGTCCAAAGTGAGGTTGAGTCTAGTTCATTCCCAGTAGATGTTTCAGATATGCAGAATGGGTATAGCAGTGAGGGAGAGACTATGTACTCCGCCGAAACTGCTGAGAGTCGAAATTATACTATTCCTGCAGATGGAAAGTTTCAAGAAGTGGGAAGGAGCCAGAGTTGTGTGAACTATAATAGATGGGGAGCCACCCAAAGTAACCCAGTGCAGCGCAGGGCATTGCTAGAAAAGCAGAGAAGCTTTATCCATGGAAGGAAGATGCATTCGCAAGCTGCAACTTCTCAGAGGAGCAATGACTACTACAGCCCAACTGTCTCCTCAATCATGAAGAAGCGCAACTCCGAGCAGCCTGTCAGACCCCGGCAAAGTGCCGTTCATTCCTCTCCGAAATGGAACTTCTGAGTTGATTCTTATCAAATTGTGAAACCCGAAAGTGATTAGCACGAAGAAAATATAGTGTTTTAAGTTAAACGTCCACTATGGTATAGTGTAACAAATTTGTAGTGACTGTGCAGAGAGACAGACATCAGGTGAATAAGAAAATTCAGCAAAGTTGTAATTTTGTTCCTAGTGACTTGTGTTACTGGTTACACATCATCTATAAAATTATTCTTTGAGGGTGAAAAACTCCCAATGGCAAGTAGATAGTCTTTTAGTTCTGGGAAATTTTAGCAGGTTAATCTGTCTCCATGTTAAATCCATGGTATATTGAATGGCACATTTTAATGATAACTGCCTGGTTAAAGAACAGATAGGGCAGCCGCTTTCGAGTTGCATATAACAATAAGGAAAAGTGTTGAAGTTGGCTGTGTTCTGCCATTTTTGGCCATGCGGTTGAGCTTGAGATTCGGATCACAAATTCAGAAAGGGAATTAACGAAGATGATCTCTATTACGAAATGAGCCTGGACCATGGCATATATAACTCAAAATAAACTGCATAGCGTTAACGATTTTATTCATAACATTAGCATTGATCAGATATTAGGGTTCCTGCGATAGGACAACGCTCCAAAGAAAAACTACAAAAAATCTCTTGTTGAGAGCCTCAATAGGATTCAAGTGCAGGCTTCACTAGACTAAGTGATGTCAAGTTTATCCTATTGATACGACATGGTCTCAAGCTTGGCTGGTTTCCCTCAACTTGAGACCGCATCTTATCAATAGGATTCGAGTGAAGGCTTCACTATATTCATCTGAGGAAGCAGCAGAGAGACGGATTCAGTTGAGGGGAACCAGCCAAGCTTCTCTAGGAGTATGTCAATCAGGTCACCTGCTAAGTAAGAAACACCTCCCACCCCAATCACGATGGTGATATAGTAGAGTAAAGTTTTCATGTACTTTGGTGGCCTCTGGATGTAAGCCTTTCCAATTGCGAGAACCATGATGCACAGAAAAGAAGTTACTGCAACTGCTGCAATCTTTAGGTCCCTGTTGTTGCTCTGGAGGAACGAGAAGCTATAAACCACAGGAGGTATTAACCCGAAAACAATGAATGATAATATAACAATAGAGGCATGAAGAGGGAAATTCTCTCTTTTCCCTAGTACTTTCTGGTATCTTTCCACTTCTTCATCTGTTTCACCGGAGGGCACTTTTGAATGATCATCTTTCAGTTCCCAGAGCTGCAGGTTGTAGGTCATAAAACATTAACAAACAAACATTGTCAAAATAATAATTATGATGGGGTGAAGAGCGAATGAATTTGAAAGAGCTGCTATGGAAGTTCTGAGTTTTTCGACGGTAAAATCACTCACGTTGTGACCAATGATGAAAAGTCCGCCAAGTAAGTTTGCCAATGCCAAAGCTAAAATGTTCACTGCAAAAAGAAGATGGTTACAAACCTAAACATGATGATGATCAAGGCGCGCAAGTGAAAAACTAAATTTATTAGTTTCAACTACCGGAATGAAAATGTAATAGACATAAAAACTAAATGCAATGAGCTCGTATATAAAGAATCTCAGGCAGTTTAAAATTAAATCAACTAAAATAGAAGCAACTTACGTGTGGCAGTATCAGCACTGGCTGCAGAAGTCACGATGCCTAAGCTTGTAATTGCTTCAGTTAAACCACCGTATACAATGCTTTTGAAGATTTCTAACGTTGTGGTATCACCTGTTTCGGGGGGTATGATTGTTGGTTCTGGACTAATAACGACTACCGTGCTCTCAGGAAGCTCTGATGTAGTTGGCCCTGCATCAACACAGTATCGCATCATTCTAGATTATAATGTATTAAAGAACTTCTGTTTCAGTCTTCAAATACATGTAAATTTGCATTAGAAGGTTTTGCATTGCTATAATGCTCGATACTTCACTTTCTTAAAATGATTCCATGTTTATAGTTTCTCATGTATGACTGTGTCTTACACATACCTGCATCACTTTCTTGAATTTGCACGGGCTCTCGTGAAATGGCTACCACATCTATTTGTGATGCTGGGGGCTTCGTGGTCACAAGTACACCAACTCCTACTGGCAGAACAGGCACTGAAGGTTTTTTATCAAGTACTGTTCCATTTGACTCATGTGATGGAACTGACTCCTCAACTTCAACACCGCTCTCAAAATTATTTCCAGAAGGTTTAGCTCCAACACTAGCTTCAACAGACTCACCAGTCACTATAGGTTTATCTATTGAGGCAGTATCACCAACTCCAATTGGCTGAGCGGGCATTGCTGGACTTTTATCATATTGCGTTTCATCCAAGCCCTCGACTCCAACGCTGCCCTGAATATTATCTCGTGAGGGTTCAACTATTGCAGTAGCTCCAACGGGCTCTTCAGGCGCTGGACCTTTACTTACTGGTGCAGTTTGACTATTCTGATCTTGTAGTGTTCCAGCCGAGTCATGCGATGGAACTGGAATCAACTCTCCAACTTCAACACCTTTTCCAATATTGGTTTCTGCATCAGCAAATCAAGTAAGAGGTTCCGCTACTTGATAAGCAAAATCTTGAATACCGCTGAATTATACTTCAATGGCAGCTCGTTAAGGTTTATTAACAAAACAGTAGAAAAGTTTACCCTGTTTCGTATGATCGTCCTCATCCTTATGTTTCAATTTAGGAAAGAACCAGCTGCCTGTTTACATTGAAAGAATGGTTAAACTATCAGCCAAGAATTCAAAACAGAAAATGTCACACCGCAAATGCCTAATTGGTAAACGGAAACATTACAAGAGGAAAGATTCAGGTTCTGGAAGTTTAATAGCAATACGATGATCTAAATATATTACAATTTATTTTTTATATACCCTCACATCAAAAGGTAAAAATTCTTCTTTCATTTACTGGCAATAGTTAGGCAATTGAATTCCTTGTTCTAAATTCCGCCAAATCTGTTCCAGCATCAAATGCATTAAACAGAAAAGTTGTTACTAGAGTAAGGATGCAAAACTACCTGCAGGAATGAGGAAACTGAAACACGAAGTGCATCGAATTGGATCAACTAGTGGAGGAGGTGGCGCAGCAGGAGGTAGTGTACTTTCCGGTTCTCTACCGCGAATGATAACCTTTGTGATGCAAGAGTTGCAATTAGGACAGTAGAAATCATGCGCTGCCGGCTTCTGATATACCCTTTCAAGATACAATTCAGACGCTTCTTGTTCACTGATTTCTCTCAGCTTAACTCCCCCATGTTCAGTTGTCCCATTGTTTCCAGAAGCATCACGTCCATTCTGCTCAACTGACTGCTTGGAAGATGAAGTACCAGAACCATTCAACTCTTCTTCAACCTTCGCATCACCGACATCTTGACGGTTGGTAATACTAACAGCACTCTCATCAAAGACCACTTTGACATCCAGTATTTCATCTCCAGGGTTTTTCCTGAAAGAAAAATCGACATGTCCGCCACTGAATCCAGAGATCTCATATGGGGATTCAGTACCTGAAACCATGGAGAGGTCTCATCACAAAACCATTGAGCTTGGCCAAACACAATCATGCAAACATAATACCCTATTTAGCATGGATTTCCATGTCCACCAACCAAGTCCCAGTTGAAATTTACTGTTAGTAAATTGATTAGTCAATTAACTGGAACCCATTTGATTCTTCCTAGCTAAAAAACAGTTAAAAAGAAGGGGTAAAGCAACAACAAACAACTAGTAATTACTACTGAAACTGCAGAAAAACAAACCAAAACTTTCATTGTGAAATAACTAAATGCAGTTCTTGATACACAAACTAATGAACAATCAACTAACCAGATCTGGTTTCAATTCAAAAAGCTGAGAAAAATCAAACAAACAGCTGAAATCACAAAACCCAGTAGCAAAAATAAAATAAAATAATACCAAGAAGTGTTTTTTTTTTTTTGTCAGACAATACATTTTGTTATATTAGATATAAGATTAGCTACGACGAGATTCAAACTCTACGCCATCACGTAAGGCTCAACTCTTTTGTGGTAAAGGGCCACTTGCAAGAAGTGTCTTTTTTTATTACTTTACCTCCATTTTTGTGAGAAATGGGAGTGTCATTGCTTGGGGTTTCCTTGACTTCCTCTGCCTCCTCAGCTTCGCCAGAAGCTAATGAACTCTCAGAGGAAGAAAAGATAAAGTCACCCTGGGAGACAGTGGTGGCGAGGTTTGCTGTGTTGCTGTGCTGGTGTGGCAGCTTTCTTCTCAGAGCCGTGCCTGCTGCTGCTGCTGCTTCTTCTTCTTCTGTCTCCTCCCACTGATTCATTGCCTCCATTTTTTCCACCAATTGCCTTGCTCTGAAGGAAAGCTCTTGAGACTAAGTGTGAACAGTATTATATAGTGGTTGTGGAAATTTAGAAGAGATTTTTCAATGTAACTGGAACACAGTATGGTATATCACGTGTCATTAAATGATGGAAAATGTATATTAAAAAGTTAATAACTTAAAAAATACAATTTTTTACTACTTATATAAAAACATATATGTATCATTCGTATTTCGATCACAATGAAAAATTTAGCGAAATCTAAAGAGAAGGAGAACACATTTTCCACGTGACGTGACGCGGTTGATGATTCATTTTATTTAAGGATTGTCAGTACTTGAGTACCTATTTGTTTTCATTTATTATTATAATGAGGGAGGTACAGTAAGAAAATTATTACAATGATATAGGGACGAGGAGTCCGAACTCGGTGTGCATGAGCGTATCCCAAAATGTTACACAAATATCCTAATAAATAGGATTTTGGGATATTTGTGTAACATTTTATGTGATAAGTGATGATTCAATGAGATAGATTCATTATTGAAGTAATGTGGCATATCATACATTATTGGGGTTCAAATATGTGGTTTTCAAATCATTTTTTTAATAATTTAAAGAAATAGGTGAATATTAACTGTCATATCATGTGATCAATAAAATATAATTTAAGTATATAATCTTTATATAATCAGAATATACATAGGGTAATGTTATCCATATACCCATTTTTACTTATCACATACACTTCTCAAATTTTTGTCGTTCGAACGAATGAATAGAAAAAAATCAATGACTAAAATTTAACAAAAATGTATGAGAGATAAAATGAGAGCATGAATATCACTGTCATATATATTATCACCTGTAAAATGTGAAGTTTTGACATTTTAGGTTAGTTATGTTGTAATGTGCTAGAATTCAAATCTTCACATGAAAACAAAAGTAAGTCTGTATTTAACAATGACATGATTATATCCAAGTTAGGTGATTGAATAAAAAATTTGTCATGCTTTTTAAGTGTTGAATTAAAGTTTTGTATGTTCTTGACCAAAAAATTAAAAGATATTTTTTAGCTGTATATTATTCATAAAGAGAGGTGAAATCGGGTAAGGATCCTCGACGGATCTTTTTCTAAGGATCTCGTGATTTCACTTAGTCATTGTATATTGTGCAGTCAGAAATAATTTCAAATTTTAAAATTTAAAATTAAATATGAATAGTACCCAACGAAAACTGACCGCACGATATATGATGAACGGATAAGATCATGGAATCCCTAGTATAAAGATAATTGCTCTTAACCGCTTGGAGTCTTGAAATACAAATGAAGTCTTTGTAAATCAATTATGCTGATCAACTACTAAGTTAATATGATAATTTAGTTGTATATTTACATCGCTCTTATGGTGTAAGTCTTTCTCCTAGACATAAAAGGGGAAGTTTAAAAACAACAATGTAATTTCATACCAAATGCAAAATGTTCAAGTTAAAAGCCAACTTAAGGTCTTCACAATAGTCCAAGTAAGTGATACTTAATCAAGCAACTTAAGTTTGATACTTAGAATACTTTTTTTTTTTTTAACAAACGAATTATCTACATTATGGGAAAGTGGACTAAACCTCACAATGAGCTAGCAATATTGTTGTTCAAATTCACCTTTAACGGTAATCAAACCTAAAACCTTTGATTTCAATACATGTGAGAGTCATACTTTAAACCCTCATAGTTTATAAGTATCAAGCTCATGAGTTTAATATACAAGTTATAAGAATGTAATTCTTATATGAGCTCATCATATCACACCCAATTTTTCTGACATAAAAGCCCAACAGAAGAAAAATCCACCCAATTTGACCCATGTGCTTTTTTTTTTTTTTTTTAATATGGTAAGGACAATATCCTTGGTGATCCCTAGGGTAGGGACAACAGTTTAATGTTTGTGTACCACAATATGAATGTCATCTCTCCTTATTTCCCACCTCACGAAATTAATCCATTTTTGACCACACACAAAAAAAAAAAAAAAAAAGAATAAAAAAAAAAGAAATAAAAAACTTATCCAGCTAACAGTCAGACTAATATTATACTCATTTTAGTATGTGCTTCTGGATCTTCACAGAATTTTCAGTTTGGGGGTGGGATTTATGGAATCCATGTCTCTAGATATGAACATATGAAGTCAATTTCATCATTCACATTATTTCTCATCATCCTACATGTGAAACCTCAGAATTTTTAAGCGCTTCAAAAGTGATTAGTTCAGATTTTCATGATTATTATTATTATTGAAGAGTCATAAGATGAAAGTAAATTAAATTACAAGTTGGTAGCATTTTTTGAAATTTTTTAGATGTAGATGCATTTAAGGTTTAGAGTTGGATCAGTGAGTCGAAAACACATGGTAGACATTGAGTGGCTAAGTCTGCCACGTGGTGATCTAGCCAGCATCCCAGAGCAAAGACATTGGTCATGTTATTAATGTGTGGAAAGTGATTAGATGAGAAAGTAATGTTACGCTTATCATATTTATCATACCATGTTTGTACAAACTCTCTAATAAATGTACGACCCACTAATATAAGTGAGTCTCACTTTTATTAGAGAGCTTGTATAAATGTAGTATAAAAAAATACGTTAAAAATAGCATTTTTGTAGACGAGGTAACCTAATTGCTACATAAAAATAGCATTTTAAACTATAAGCGGAAGGGAGAAGGTAAAATAGATAATTATGAAATTGTATGTGGCTTCGGGTTTCTCAATACATGTCACACATATTGCCTGCAGCGATGATCAGTTGTTTTTTGAATTGGATATTTTGTATGCGTGCAATGTCTCTTGTGTGCAACTAATTTTAATTGGTCGATCGGGCATGGTCATGATTTGAGGCTTTTACTCAAATGTTAGATGATATTTTTGTTTTTTAAATAAAACGGGGCAATCCCTAAGGGGGAACAATGTCGCAATTGTTGTTCCCTTCCTACTGCATAATTTTCTATGCAGGCGTGACAATGGTAACAATTAAATTTATTTTGTTATTCTCGGACCTCTAATATATTTGTTTATTTGACTTCCAAGTTAAATAAAATCGTATTTTCGATTTATTTTGGTCTATTAAAGTATTTATCATTTCGTAAGGTTTTAAATAAATTATTTTTAAACTCATTTCAATTAGTTATTTATTTACTATTCTTTATTTATAAGTAGGAGTTTTTTTAGATTCGATTTTCGTCAAAGATAAATTTGAACCATATTATTATTAATTTATTATAAGGCTTAATTCATCATTTAGTATAAATAATATTATTTGTTCGAAAAAAAAAAAAAAAAAAAAAAAAAAAAAAAAAACACCTCAGATTCCGGAGGCTCTAGGTCCGAAGTGCGACAGTACATGTCCTTGATAATTAATCCGTAGTTGACAAGCTGATATAAGTGGTTCAGCAAACCCATGACTCACCTGATCAAGACATCATGTGCTCGACTGCTTGTGATGACCTATTTTTTCGGTATCTTTATTTGGGCCAACGTTGGACGAGATTGATATGTCACAATAGTGTCCGAAAGAGAATTGAAGGGACCCGAGCTTCAGATTCAAAGACTAATATTTAAGAAGAATGTTTCAAAAGTATGATTTTTTATAGAATTTTTGTTATTTGATACTTAATAATATTGGTATAAAAATTCGTGTTAAGATACGAGGGGAGAGTCCATAGAAAATGCCTTTGCATTTCTCTAAACAACTAAAAACAAAACAAGTCACGTGTGATTAATTAATGATTATTCATTCATAAATAATCCCTTCGTAGTTATACAATCTAAATATTAATCCCAACTTAATGACATGCATAATTTTCAACAGGTGTGAAGGTTTTATCAAATGCATGAGATGTGGCAGTAGTTAAATCATTTATCATAATCAAAACCGATCTTGATTTTGGTAATTTTTCATTGTTATGTGAAAAACAATAATATACTTACGATAAAAGGGAAAAGTATAGTTACTTAGTACTATAGTTTAGTGAAAAGAATAATAAAAAGAAATAAACCATAAGAAAACCAATTTCGTGTTAAATTCATTGAAACTACCGGAACATAAAATTTCCACCTAGCAACAAAGAAAGATCCCCAACCAGATTTCGCTACCAAAACCGTCACACCAGCAGAGAAGCACTAAACTTTCATCACATAGCCTTGCAAGTAGAAGGAAAAAAAAAAAAATACAAGTGAGAAGGAGATGGGGCGAAAGGGACACATAAAAACACTTTTTCTCTGCCCAAAATTGCATCATGCTTGGCCTTGTAAGTGGGAGAATGCTAGAGAGACTAAATTTATAAACTAAATTTTATAAACCAAATAATGTGGATGTTAATAATTGAATTACTACTTAAGTGTTGATTAACGTGTTTATTTTCTATTGATAACACATCATTTGATTTAAACTTTTGTTTTCTTTAGCTTTGTCTCTAAATTATTATGGCCGACCTATTATGATGCTTAACCCAAATTGTCTACCTCTTAAATAGCGAGTTGGGGTAAAATGTCATAATATTCAAATAAAGGAAGATATGTAGCCCAATGTAGGCCCAACTATTAGTAGTGGGCCAGTCAAACCTGTAACAAAGTGTGAAACTCAATTGTGGGGAATATTAGGCCCACAAAATACCTGTGTAGGCCCAGACTATAAACCATGGGGCCTCCTAATCAGATTACCATAACACGACAAGTCCCCAATGTCGTTCGACCCCAACGACAGTATTCCAAACGTCGGCAGATAAAGCACGACAATCCACGTGCGTGGCTCAAAGTGCGGTCATAGTCCACTTGGCCTCCCGTATATCCCAGTCGCCTAAAGCAGTTGGCTTTCCGGATCCAAATCCGGTGGCAATCTCGTAAATTCCTCCAAACCCGGTGGCGTTTCCGCTCTCCGAGGCTCCTCCTCCTCGGTCCTATCGGCCAGAAAAATATTATAAGCAGAAAAAGCGGCTTTTCTAAGTCACACATAAAATCTCTTCTTCTCTGGTTGGCCGCCGGTCTTCTCAACTTCCTGTGAAAAAAAAAAAACAATAGAAAAATAAAGAGAGATAAAGTGAGGAGAGAGGAAATGTTGAAGCTCTCGACGTACAATGGAGTGGACCAAATTCACGGCGTGGCGGCCCAATGCCGCTTCCTTGGCCCACCCAAGCCCAACCCAATTTTCCCCCGCCGGAAAGACGGCGCCTTTCTTGCCCACTGCGCTGCCTCACCTTCCAAAACGCCGGTCCTCGCCGTCGTATCGGACCGGGGGACCGGGAGCGTGGCGGGTCGGGTCGAGACGAATACCGGGCCGGTCACCCTTGGGGACCGGCTGAGGCAGGGGAGCATGGCGGAGGACTGGAAGTCCTATAAGGAGTGCTTTATAGTAAGGTGCTATGAGGTCGGGATTAACAAGACTGCCACCGTCGAGACGATTGCCAATCTCTTGCAGGTGTGTTAAGAGTTGGAATTTTTGGTTTCGATTCAATGTGTGTTTGCTGGGTTTGATTTGAATTTTTGTGGGAAATGTTCATTCTTTTGGATTCGATTTTTATGGTTTGTAGAAATTTATCGATTTGGTTGATTGGATTTTGTTTGGGCAAAATTTGGGGGATTTTTGTTTGGTATATTTGCCATCTCCCCCACGTGCATTTATGAAGTGAATTGCATGGTTTAATGGTCCAATTTACAGTGATTGGATTTTCAGCTATCTCTGCAATCGATTCATCTGCAAACACACTAAATTATTTCCTTTTTTTTCTCACTGGGAAGTGGGAACGTAAAATTTGATTGGGAATGCAAGTTACCAAATTACTGTACTTATCTGATCACTGTAATTTCTGATTTAATCAAGTGATTTTTGTTTTGATTGCTTGAAATCTTAGTTGCCTAGAAGCAAAAATGATTATATTCTCTTCCGTAGTTTATTTTTATTACTGTATTTCTGTATTAGCTAATTCAGTTTCTGCATTGAGGAAACATTTGGTCTTCTTCTGATGATTTTCATTTTCTGTGATCATTTTGTGATGCAGGAGGTAGGATGCAACCATGCTCAAGCTGTTGGCTTTTCTACTGACGGTTTTGCGACCACAACCACCATGAGAAAAATGCATCTCATTTGGGTTACTGCTCGCATGCATATTGAAATCTACAAATATCCAGCTTGGTGGGTGTTCTCTAGATTACAGTTCGGGTTTTGATTTGTAATCCGGAATGTGAAACTTAAAATGTGGGTTCGTGGTACAGGAGTGATGTCGTTGAAATAGAAACGTGGTGCCAAGGGGAAGGGAGAATTGGCACTAGGCGTGATTGGATACTCAAGGACTATGCCACCGGTGAAGTCATTGGAAGAGCGACGAGGTGCGTATTCTTTTTATTTTTGCTGTTCTAAGCTTTTTAGACATTCATGAAACACTGATATTTTGTCATGCAACATTGAATTTACGTTGGAGAACATGTTATTGTATTGAACCAACTTCCGTATTCTCATTAATATTACGTTTGAGTCTGGCATCTCTCTAAAGATCCGGTAAGCATGTACATGCGGCAGGTCTTTGAACTGTAAAATTATTATCTTCTTGATGCTCTGAAAGCTACCCAATTCCTTTTTTTGCACTGATGCCCGTTGGGCATGACGACATTTTAATTTGGCTGCATGATATTAGCACTGCAATCTTTGCTCATATTTTTTTCTTTGCCTTTTCCTTTCTCTCCTTTTTGATAAATCAATCATCCATTTTGAAGATTGCATGTGAAGAAGTTGTTGAATGTTTTCTGCAATTCTAATTTATTGTTGTTGGATTGTTCTAGCAATTCTCAGTTTATGTGAGCCTATTCTGAGATAGTTCTAAAAATTGGCCATATGTACTGCATGTTTACAGCAAGTGGGTGATGATGAACCAAGACACTAGGCGACTTGTGAAAGTCACCGATGATGTTAGGGAAGAGCATTTAGTTTTTGCTCCACGGGAACTGAGGTAAATGGTCCTTTTTTTCATTTTGTATGACTTCATCGTTTCTATATGATAAAGTTATCCCTCATGCACAATCTGCTGATTGCTTTCTTCTCTTGGGATGATAGATTAGCATTTCCAGAGCCTAACAATAGTAGCTTGAAGAAAATCGCCAAACTTGAAGATCCTGCTCAGTATTCTACACTGGGACTTGTGGTCAGTATATCTTCAATTCATTTATGTTCTCAAATTTATTCAGTAATCTCAGTATGCTTTTTAATTTCGCAGCCAAGAAGAGCAGATCTCGACATGAACCAGCATGTTAATAATGTTGCCTATATCGGATGGGTTCTAGAGGTTGGTATCTATGTCTGTTTCATTCATATGTTTGTTTTTGTGGTGTTCTATGGCCATAGGTTATCGTTGGTTTCATAAGAGATGTTTTCAATTTTATCTTTTACAGAGCATGCCTCAAGAACTCATCGATAGCCATGAACTGCAAACAATCACCTTAGATTACAGGCGGGAGTGTCAACAGGATGACATAGTCGATTCCCTTACTAGCGTTGAACCTTTAGACGATGCTCCAGCTCTTTCAGGCAACGGAACAAATGGATCCCCTACTGCAACAGAAGATGATAAGGACTACCGTCAGTATTTGCATCTACTAAGATTAGCAGGCGATGGTTCAGAAATAAACCGGGGACGAACTATCTGGAGAGAAAAACCTGCAAGATGAGGAAGTAATCTTATCCCTTGGTTTCGCCGGTTTTAGGGTTGATTTTTGTTTCTGTTTTCCTTTGTTTTTGTCCATTGTATGAGAGGGGTTTTGTTTCCTAGTTGATGTCATCTGTCATATTTTCGTTTTCAGTTTATTTCCTTCCAGTTGTCCTCTTCCAAATGCAATTATTTCCTGCACTGATGTGAAATGTAAGGTCCAGATTTTAGTTGCAAATGTAATACTTATGTTCCAATTGCCATCGTTTGTGATTCTTGCTGGTTTCCTTTTGGATTGGTGCAAGCTTCAAAGATAACAGCCTACCGTTTTGTTATTCATCGTTGGCTTATAACTTTAATGAAATGCGAGTTCGATATTAAGGGTTCAACGAATTATGAGTTTGATATTAAGGGAACCGTGTTATTGAGACTTCAAAAAAGTCATTGTTCTCTTGTATATTTTTTTTCAGTGCGGATGACTTTCGATTGGATTAATTTTTATTCTGTTACACTAAAGGGAGTTGAACTGTCACAAGGAATAAACCTATCATTTCAAGCAGAAAATCATGGACCTTTAAATTAGGTGTGTAGATAGCACACCCTTAAATTATGACCCTACTCTTCCTCACGGATTAGGAACTTGAAAATAGGTTCAATTCATGAAACTCTACTTTCATGTTTGACAAGTGCATTAATGGAATAGTCTTTCATATTTTTTATAACAAACAATATTATTTCTATTAAAGAGGTGAAGGAGTGGGCACAATGGGTTAGTAATAATGTGGTTCAAATTCGTCTTTGACAAAAATTGAACCTAAGATCTCTCACTTACCAGTAAAGAATAATACTACAAGACCGTAGTACTAAGTGACGGGACGGTTTTTCATCTTACATGCATTTCAAACTCCTATGAAGAGAAGTTGAAACTCTTATCCCCCTTGTACCCTCATTACTTTTTATTATTTTGTCTTTAAATATTCATTGAAAATGACTAAAATGACGAAAAATCAAATATCAATTCGAACCGATGAAAATAAAATATGAACGACATAATTCAATATCGACGATATAGTGATAAAAGACAATGACATGAGATATATATGCTAAAAATAAAATAATCTCAATCAATGAATTGATCCAAAATCAACTATCAACGATATAGCTAACACAAAATGATTAGAAATTAAATCTCAATTGTTGAACTTATCAGAATGAAATTTGGACGACATAATTGAGATTTGAAAAAATGATCATTTTGACCAATTTCTCATCTTGCACAAACCAGCATGAAAATAGTATTATCTTATACCCAGTCACTAGGAATATAGATGGAAAGTCCATTCCCAAAGACTCATTCCAAATGTTTAGGAATTCAATTTTTTTTTTTTTAACAGACAATCTTGTTTACACTAAGGGGAAATGGATGGGCTAGTAACAATGTGATTCAAATTCACATTTGGTGAGAATCGAACCTAAGACCTCTCACTTACAAATGAAAAGGAATATCATTAAACCGTAATGCTAAGTGGTTTCAAATTTAAAATGCATAAAATGCTGCTTCTCTCCTTAATATAGTAAAGTTGTATCAATTCCAGAACCATCCATCAAACGTCAAACTTAAATGCTGCTTTAGATTCAGAAAGCCTTATCGGCACGAAACCATGAAAATCCATGGCCATTTAAGCTTATCAATGAAGTTACCATTTGCTCCTACCTGTTACCAACAAATCAACCTAATTTCGAACCAACAGTAGAAACCCTCACCAAACTTGACTGGGCCTGCACATTTAAAACACTGCAGCCCCACTCAACTAACTGATTCCAAAACGACCAAAATCTCCATGCAGACCCTACTCAATGCCATTACCGAAACAGAGTACACAAATTAATCAAAAGATTCTCTCACTCTCACTCTCTAACTCCCTCTCGCAGAGTGCCACTATTAATAGCGGGAGATCTCTACGCAGACTTCTCATGCAAAATAACTATGGAGAACAAAAGGGTGTTGCTTGTTTTCATTGTCTTTGTAGGGTTTCTTGTGAGTTCTGAAGGAATGACCAGTACTAGTGAGAAGGAAAAGAAATTAGAGGAGGTCTATGATGCCAAAAATTATGGGGGATACGGTGGATATGGAGGATATGGGGGGCCATATGGAGGCTATGGTGGCCCTTATGGAGGATATGATGGAGGATATGGCGGCCCATATGGAGGATATGGCGGTGGGGTGCTGCCATTGATTCCATTGATTAGGAGTTTGCTTCCATTGCCATTTCCTGGTATACCTGGGCTGGGACGATTGGGGTTCGGTTTCCCTGGGATACTTGCAGAAGATCAGGGTGGGAAAGGATATGATAGTTACCGTAGAGGTTATTATGGCGGGAAGGGAGATGATAATTACCCTGGAAGTGATTATGACGGGAAGGGAGATGATCCTTACCCTAGAGGTTGCTATGGAAGCCGGAAAGGAGATGATCATTACCCTAGAGGTGGCTATGGCGGCCGGAAAGGAGATGATCGTCACCCTAGAGGTGATTATGGCGGGAAGGGAGATGATCGGAACCCTAGAGGTGATCATGGCGGAAAAGATGACAATGGTGGTAAGGGAGATGATAGTGATCACGGAGGCAAAGGAGAACGTTCCAAAGATGATCGTGGTGAAAAGGAACGTTCCGAAGATGATCATGGTGGAAAAGGAGACCGTTCCGAAGATGATAACGGGAAGAAAGGAGACCATTCTAAAGAAGATAACGGTAAGAAAGGAGACCGTTCGAAAGATGACCAACGTGGGAAAGAAGATCGTTCTAAAGACGATCGAGATGAAAGAGGAGATCATCAAAAAGATGACCAACGTAGAAAAGGAGACCGTTCTAAAGATGATCGAGAAGGAAAAGGAGACCGTCCTAAAGATGACCACGGTGGGAAGGGAGACAACCCCAAGTATGATTATGGTAGGAAAGGAGGCATTCCAAAATATGATGACGGCGGGAAAGGCGTTGGTGGCTATCCATAGTCGCTCACCCGACCACACTACGCTTTGACAGGCTCATTGAATTGAGGCCTTATTAACTATAGAAATAATCATGAGCCTAAGAACGTTGTAAACTCAAATTATACGTAATGTTATGGTCTTATTGTATAAATAAACGTGCTTCAATTATCACCGCTCTCTCTCTCTTTAATTTGTTTATGTTTTAGGCCATTTTTCTTTTACGCTTCTTTTTACACGATAATATGCATTGTAAATTATTATAATTTATGAAGACGGAATTTAAACTTGAGTGAGCAAGTTCATTGCCCTTAACGGGCCAACCTATAATATCTCTGCAAAGATATTATTCCGTTGCCGGCCCCGAAATTCTCTCCGCCTTGAAATAAAAGCCATTGTAGTGAATGGATGAAGTCTATTTCTTATCTTGTCTTCAACAAAAAGTTACTACTTAAACTATTAAAGTATTGTCAATAATTTTGTCAAAACATCTACTCTATATGTTTCGATACGTATGGGTGTAGGGTCACATCTAGGGTACATAAGATATCGAAAATCTGAATAATAAGGGATCTTTAACATTTTATACCACTGTCGTAAAAAAACTCTAAGCCACAAGAACAATCACGACCGGATTCTATTTAAATGGTTTTCTTTTAAATTATTATTATTGAGGTAAAGGGAAGGGTTTTCAAATCAGGGACACATTGATGAAAACTCATCAACATCATGTTCACTGAGATATAGAACCACATATTAACTTAGAGATGGTAAAGTTTGAACATTAAGCTTGAAAAAGTCTCCAAACTTTCAATATAACTTGAATTTTATTTTTTATTTCCGAGAATTCATATAAAACAAATTCAAGATTGAAATTTGAAATGTTTTCTTTTGAATTGAATTTGTTAAAGTTTCAAAGATACATACTAAATGGTTCAACTGCCCCTCAAGAGGTGTGGAGTTTTATCCTAAAATACCTCATTGAAATTAGAAATAGGAGTATTATATAAATCATAATTTGTTTTACTAAATTCTTGACGTGAAATTTCCAGCAAAAATTAAACACAAAAGTTCTAACAACAAAGAAGAAAAATTGATTTGTGTTGTAGACATAATTTACTGAACAATTTTATAGATGACATAACGGGGGTGGTCGGCGGCATAGAGAGAGAGAGAAGATAGAAATATGTAATTATAAGGTGTGTTATTCCATTGATTATGTCTTTATTTATAGTACTAGGGAAAATAAATTTCTTACCTCAATAGGAAGATTACAACTCTAAGACTATCTCCAAGGAATTTACCTATTTATAGTACTAGAAAATAATAGCTCAAATATGATAGGATTTATACGATAACATTCTTAAATAAATAGTATTGTAACAATACGTCGTAAAATAAAGTTACTTTATAAAATAAAAGGCAGTTTTCTGGGTTCAAATCATTTTCCTGAATTAATGATTTTACATAAAATTTATTATGCTCCTGACACAATCCATAAAAGGGTTTACCTTTTATACCTATAAATTTAGGGCAAGTCAAAAGATGAGAAGGATTGACTATACATCTATCCTCTATGTTAATGGGATACCTTAAATATCTTATACCAAAATTCATGTTAGAGTGGTATTTCTCTTTTTTATAAGAGAGATTGAACGAATTCTCGTCAAATACGAATTTGAACTACATTATTGTTAGTTTATTGTGAAGCTAAGTTCATCCTCTCCCTCTAGATAATACCATTTATTCAAAAAAAAAAAAAATCCATATTGGACCCACTTATTTATTTATTCGTTTGGTGTTAGTAAACAAAGAATTCAAAGTCAATTGGAAATGCTACAAGAAAAAATTTTCAGTAAATTTTCTTAACGAATATAAAGACGAGTTTGCGGTGGAATAGGAATGGTCAATGGAGGCACATTAATACTCCGTATGTATCACCATCATCATCACAAGAACAAAGATCACCACTCACGACCACATTAACACTCCATATATACCGCCATCATCATCACAAAAACAAACTTCACCACTCACGATCACAATTAACACAGATCTAGTTGGCCTTATCACCATCTTCACCTAGGAGTCCCCATTTTTGCTAACGAAAAGTCGAAACGCCTTGTAATCCTTGACCACTTTTGTGCTTCAATATAATTACCAGGATTAAGCACTATCGCTTGTTACTCGACAGCTTGACTGAACCAAGCCTCCACAATTTCAAAATCTCCTTGTTGAACAACCTGTTCTCCCTAGTCAGAATAGAGGGGTAAATTCCTTCCCATAGAACCATACTTGAGAATTTCCAACCTCATACGGCTCAGCAGTCAAATTCTTTCGTTGTACTATTTATCAATGGTATTCATATGACTGAGTCTATATACCTTTCAAAAAAGATGCTAGTTAGATGCTTAACACCGGTATAACCAATTGGTTTCTTCCTTCCGTCCGCTCTCCTCTTAAGCTGTGAATTTCAGTAGAGATCCGCAGAGGCTTAGAGTTCAATTGGTTGAAACATACCGCCTCATAACGATAACCGAAGGTTCGAGCCCTACTAAGCCAACCACGCCCTTCTTCTCTGCACCCAATACAGGGCGGTCGGATCCTCACCCAACCATAAACCATACGTGTAAAATAAAGCACCAGTAATTCATCACTAAGAACTTGGGCCATTCATTGCTCATCCAAAAGCTAATTGCATTACAAGCAGCATAAAGCTAAAATTAAGGTGCCTGATTTCATAAAGAAGTTACAAATACCCACTAATCATAACATCTTTTTTGATACAAACCATTTGAGTATGAAAATTCAATTCTGCAGGCATGCCAATTCAATTCCCCAATCCTCACTCCCTCAAAAACCACCTTTCATAACCCTGCCACAACCAAGACCATGTATAAGTACTTGACGACGAGCAAAACACGAAATTGTATAACCATGAGGAAATGTAAATTTCTTATGACTATTAGAGAATTGGCAATCCAATATCTAGTTAGTGCTCTTTGTAACCCTTGCATCATAATAACCGATATAGAGAGGCACATTGCGAACAGAAGTACACAAGTGAGCAAACATAATATTAACTCCATGAATGAACAAATAGTTATAGGAATAGGACAGCCGAGCGAACTTACATCACCAATCAACAGGTCGTAGGGAGGAATACCCTAATCAGTTCTTTCATTGTTACTTTTCTCCTACATGTAGGGCATTTGCCCTGCGCACCTATTGCAACTTTAATGCAAGCCTTACAGAAAATGTGGCCACATTTTGTTGACATCTCCTCAACTAAAGGAGCCATGCAAATGGGACAGGTAAAGGTGGGCTCCTTTGGTGGTGGTGGTGGTGGAGGCGGCTGTGTAACATTCTGTTTCTGCAAATAAAATATTTGAAGTATCACATACATGCACAACAAATGAATGCAATGCCCTTAAGTCAAAAGCTTACAATTACCGTGGAGGTGGAGTTGCTGTTGCTTTCCAGATTTATGTAAAAATCACAATTAATAATTGTTTGGTTTGGTCCAACTCTTCTGCGCTTGTTCTGAGTGACCCTAGCCGTCCGTTCTGCAATGATCACAGAGAAATGGAGAGACGCATAAAGATCAATGAAAATAATTACAAATTGTGACCAACATTAGACCTTGATTACCCTACAAACACATATCCTACTAGTAATATGGAGCACCTACAATTCGCCACTGACAAGCTCAAACTCAAAGGTGAGTAGATTTCCTAATCTCCCCTTCTTTTTTAGAACAATAAACAAAGAAACAAAGACGACAACACCTGACAGCTTGTACAGGGTTGTCCCGGACAACTTTCAAGACTCTGAAACTTATATTACAAACATCTTATCCTACTAAGAAAACGCTTAAAAAAAAGAAAAGAGATAACACATTATTCTGACATTATCTCCCTAATTTATCTCATAGGTTGCCCAACACCAAATTTTTATCATTGATGCAGCAAAAACAGAAGCGAGAGGAAAATCCAAAGGAGAACATTCAAATTGTCTAATAATCTCCTGAACTTGGACAGTATGGAACAAGAATCAAGTAAAAAATAAAATAACAAAAACATAATCTTCACCATGAAGTAACAAAGAGACAGCAGATCACACAAAAGAACACATAAATGCCTAAAAGTTCTGCCGTAACAAATAACAAGTTTACATTACAATATAACAAAATTACCTGATTCCACATCAACAACAGTCCTCCGGTTCCTTCTGGAATTGTTTTTAGCCTGGCATAAAATATCACAACATTTTCTTCAATACACTTAAGTGGATGGAGAAATTCACAATAAAAGAATGTGTAAAATTAATATAAGCATGCCTCAGCAAAAGCCGTGGGGCTGGATTCAATAACATCATCATCAATAGCCTCAACATCAATCGTATTAGGTGGTATGGGCTGAACTTGCAAAGTCGCTTGATTATTCTGAGGCACTGACTGAGTTGAAGTTCCCTCCTGTTCCCGACTGTCACCAGGTGGGGCACTATTGAGGTCCAAGTTCAACTCATTCTTTCTTCGCCGCCCTCTTGCATGTGGCGCCCTGGCCCCCCGAGTGCTCATGTTATATTAAATCTTGTATCCAAGTTGAAGATTTTAAAACCTACAGTTTTTTTTAGAAATGAAGTAATCTTATTCAAATACATGATTCACTTTGTCGGAAATCAAATGAAGAATTATAAAACAGAAGAAACAATAATAACATACTTCAGTATTTTCAAACCAAAGCAATAAAGGACATGACACTATGCTCTATCAGCCCATTTCCTTTCCTACAATTTTCATATCAAACAAGCCGACAATAAACTCTGCTGAACCATGCCAACGAATGATAAAACAAAAGTTTGATTATGATTCACTGTTTAACTTCGTTAACCTACCATAAAGACTAGTGCTTCAGTTGCATGCCTCAAACCAGCACGACTAACCAAACTCTCACTACAATGTATTCAGTTCTAAAAGACCTCGGCCAAAGAATCTAGAATCGAAAACCCTAGTGGCAAAACACGGTATGGAAATTGACCGTAACCTGAATGAATTGGAAATCCTAATTGCAATCACACATTTCATCCAACTCTGTGACCAAAAAGTGATCACATTTTCACAACAAACAAGGGGCCTTCTACTAAAGCAGAAATCAAATCATAATCCATCAAGAAAATTGATCATTTGCAACTGAAATTTTCAATTTCCACTTAAAAGTCCCAATTTTTGAGCACCTAACGGCTCAAAAATTGCCGACCCAGGGCTAAAATTTCCCACTTCCATCAAAATCAATTTTTTTTCTAATCCCCAAACAACACGAGATAAGAACGATACAAGCATAAAAAACCATAAAATCGCAGTAAAAATAAATAATAAATTCGCAGAAAGAAACCCTAGGAAATTAAGAGGCACACCAGAATCGAGATTCCACAACGAGAAATTGAGAATCTAACCTCCGACTTCTGGAAAGCAAACGGCTTTGATAATTCGAAATTAAATTGAAAATCGTACCTTCGATCAGAGATTTTTGAGAGGGGAGGGAGTTACCACCGTCTGCCCCGAGGCACCGGGTCTGCAAGCAAATATATAAGAAAATTTTGAAAAAAAGAAAAAGAAAAAGAAAGAAAGTTTATTATATTTTATTATTATTTTCCGCTTTATAATACGAGAGATTTATTATTTAATTAAATTATATTAGAATTTATATGGAGAGAAATATAATTTCGCTCCGCCTTCCTTCCTTCCCTGTGCGACGTTTTTAGTGGACACGGACTTTCGGTCTCAGCGACGAGCAGGTCGGTGAGGGACGCAACCTGTCCACGTCGCGTTGTCTACGTCCGAGGTGACGAACTTATCTCCCCCATACTAAAATGACCACTTTGCCCTCCTTGTGCCTTGCACGTGACTTTTAGTTTACGGGGTTGGTCATTCAAATTTCGTGTGCAAAATATACTAATTAATTGACCTAACTTGCAGGATTCGGTACAATATATATTTAATATAATAATTATTTTTAATCCTTCCCGCTCTTACTAAGATTAGACGATGTTCTTGAAAATTATGGCTGATTCCAAGTATATAAGCAGTGATTTCAAATCCAAAGATTAAACGCACTTTAGCTACTTTACATAAGGTAAAGTTTGTTTTTTTAGGGTGATAGTGAAAAAGTTGACAGATAAGTCATCCTTACTGCTACAATGCCACTCTATAGAAACCGTACATGAGATTTTCACCTCATATAACTTCCCGTTCAATTATTTTGAAGTCATTAGATCATTTTCCTCGTTCAAGAATCTCTAGGCTCTTCTATTTCCTTTTTATTTACTTCATGAAAGTATAGTAATCAAATTCCCAACTTGCATTAGCTTGAAAATGAGATATTTTAATGAAAAATGCTAAGAGGACATTCTCAAACTTTCTGTCACGTTACACTTTAACTATAATTTTTATGTCAACATTATAAAATATTATGTCAAAAACATGAGGTGACATAGTTCAAGAAGAGTCACAATTTTAAAAGAACCCCTTTAACATTTCTCTATTTTAATTTGTTTTAATCCATGAGAACAGATTTTGAACTTGTATGTGACGGATAAGCATATGATGCACTTGTCAACCAACTTGCCTTCATCAACAAATTTGTCCAAGTAATTGACGGCCGTTGACGTGATGGTAACAGTTTCAAATTGGATGGACCAAATTGATGCAACTGAACATAATAAGTGGAATTTCTATAAAACTACCTTCGCCTACAAAATATTTTCTAGCTCTTAAAAAGGTCAAGCAAGTCCACCAAATACTTCAAAGCAACACAAATCCACCTCAAATCCTAAATTCAACAGCATTGCAATCAGTGTCATTTTAAAACGAAAAATGATTTTCACACATTTTTTTAGTCTCTTACAGGCTTCTAATTGATCATGTCCCATTAATTACTTTTATATTTTATTCGATGATTATAAATAAAGAAGATCGTGTGGAAAGATAAAAAGGGTGTAAAAATCAGTTTTAGGGTTACAAAGGAAACTTTGAGCTCATATAGGTTACAGGTTGAGAGCTCATATAGGTTACAGGTTGAGAATAGGCGCCAGAGAAATTGATTACTAACCAGAAAAAAATCTCAGTTTATATATGAAAGAAAGAACATGTTACAACAGCAGTAAATAAGAAGATTTATTCAAGAAAAACGAAGAAAAAACGAGAAAAAGACAATTACATACCTCTTGGTACAGATGAACTAAAAGCATACGAAATATCAGTCATCTAAAACATGACCCAAATTTTTGCTCAAAGACTGAAAAAGTAGCTAAAAGTGTGTTGAGTTAGGCGTTTTCCTTGCAAAGTTCTACATCACAGCTTCTGTCAGCCTCACCATGAAGCTATTCATCTTAGCCGCCTCCAGAACAATCCACGAGGACTCAAACAACTCATGGAAGAACTCTGCGCCAATCTCCTGAGCTGCGTTTCTGAACGCGATTCCAAATGCGTTTCCTTGAACCGCTCCAAGTCTAGGCTTCCCACAAACCCCAACTATCAACACCTTTTTAGGCTCTTGTGCCAAGCATGCACAAACCAGAGGCTTCATTTGAGCTCCCTTCTCTCTCAGACCGTCCATCAGAAAATAGCAGAATTTCGTCAATGCCTGAGGGTACCCCAGCAATTTTGCATCCAACGAGTCTTCAAGTTTCACCCACCGAAATTTACTTCCACTTCTTATGCAGCCTCTCTTGGTTATTGCCATGCTTCCTTGCCTTAGAATTGCTCGCTGGATCTTTATTGCTTGTTGCATTCCTCCTTTCAACTTATCGAGATTGTTCATTGACAATGCATCATAAGCCATCCCAAACTCCTTGGAAGCACAAGAACCATCTGATGTCACATACGATTCAAGCAGCGCTGTAACTCCATAAACCACATCTGCTGCAGATACCCTTGATCTGTAACCATGGAGCCGCAGAAAGCTTCTGTAGTAGAAATCAGTGAGTCCATATTCGGGTAAAAACCGTTCAAACTCCTCTTTCATCAGCTGTTTCACTTCTGTATCCATGTACCTGTATTTCTGCTGGCAATCCACAAGCGAAAATCCCATCCTTGCAAGAAGAAGCTTGAGCTTCTTCATCCCATTGTCACTCCACGTCTTCAATTTAGTAGCAATGTACGAAGAACAAAGCATAGAATCGAATAAATTCCACTCCTGCAACAACATTAGCCTAGGCTCATCTTCGTATGTAATTCTAGACGCCTGGGGCACGCGAATCTTCGTGCCATCTTTGAGAGTCACATTAGTCACTGCCTCCAAATTCCCGGAACAGTTAATGTACTGCTCAAGCTCCATCACCGCAGCTTGGTACCTCTCATCCGTTAACCTCTCGTGCAAAAACTGATCCGTTAACGAAACGCAAGCCAACCAAAGCAACTCATTTGTGTTCTTCCTCAAAGAATGTGACAAATCATACATCAAACACCCTGAAGGCTTACCATGAAAAGTACCCAAATGATAATATTTCCTCTTCAGGTCCCGAAAGAGCTTAACTGGGTCGTTCTCCCGATCCACCCTTCTTCGCTTTCTCGACCTGTCTCCATTTCCTTCTTCCTCCTCACTCTGGCTGTCATCACCGTCACTGTCGCTATCCGATTCGGGGTCAAATTCATCATCACTATTCAAATCACTCGCATTTGCCAAAGCCGACACATCCTCAATGTCATACGCCAAATCAGCCTGCCTCTCATCATCCAAAGTATAAAGCACAACCACACGATCATTCTGGTCGCTCAGATTATGCAAATGAATCGGACGATGGCTGTCAACCACGAAAACACGAGCCTTGGGAGACAAATTGAGCAGCTTCTTCAGGTCCCGGTGGCAGCCCCAATTGATCAAAAGTATTGAAACCGGGTTTTCGGACGAAGAACACAGATCCGGGCCTGCATACTTGTGAATCTCCTGAAACGACGAGACCGGATAGCACGCGTATCGGATCGAATCGGACTCCAGGACGTGGAAGATGATTTTGAGGGCACAGAGTGAGTCCGCATCTGAAGTCGATGGGAATATCAGAAGAGGAGATTGAGACGACGCCGTTGCGGACTCACGGAGCCTCCGGTAGAAGGCCTCCACAGTCGTCTCTCTCACCATGAGTTTATAGGGTTTGAACTCAATTGGGCATAGAGATTTCAATGTTTCTAAAGCAAAAATCGAAGCTTTCCTATAAATCCCAATTCTGCGAAACCCTAATTTCAGCTATTCTGATACTACAGCTCAATTGGGTTCGCAGATTTTGGTGCGGGAATGTGTAAATGTAGAAATTGAAGTGAAAAATGAAGGGGGTTTTTTCTGCGTGGAAAGAACTGGAAGTTCTGAATCAAAGTGAAGTACCTGAGATTTGCAAGGATTCGAACACAGCAATCGGTTCCCTGTATTCGATTCAGCTATGGAGGACTGGCAATCCGAAATTTAGAAAGAGAGAGACAGAGAGGGGGGATTTGAGATTTTAGGTTTCAATTTTCAAACATCTAATCTAATATTTTCGTTTGAGTGTTTTAACGTACTTTTTTCAGCGAAATTTGAAGTTTTGAAACGCGCGGCGAAATTTTGGCGCTCGATTGGGTTTTTTGGTTTGGAACTTTGGTCTGTGGGGCGAGAATTGTAAGTGAGCACCCCCAGGGTGGACTCCCATTATTTGTACGGTGAGTGAGGATTGATTATTTACTATTGACCCTCATTTTTCTGCCTTGTCTTTTTTCTTGTCCGCGGCTCAGACACTAAGGGACTGTATTCAATTGGAATTTTGAAGGTTTTTAATTCTTTTAATGAATTCATGGTATTCAATCAGGATTTTAATTGATTATCTGAAATTCAATGGGAATTCAATCAGGATTTTAAGATAATTTATTAAAATTCTTAGAAATCCGAATGTATTCAATTAGAATTTTAAAGAAGTTTATAATATTTCAGGTGTATTCAATTAGAATTAGAATTTAAAGAATTTGTAAAGGTTGAGGAATTAGAGGGAATTTGAGAGATTTTGTAACAAATCTCACATCTCCTCATGAGATTTTGAGAGAATTGAATCAAAATTTTATATGGAATCTCTACAAATCAGTTAAACTCTATAAAAATCTATGAATTTATAAATCCATTAAAATCTCTCAAATTCCCAATTGAATACACCGCCCTAAATTGCAATAATGTAATGATATTAGTAGGGAAAAATCGTGCATAATTCTCCGTTCAAATTTTTGGGAGGACATGTCATTTTATTGCGGTCAGAAGTAGGATAGAATGCCTTTAATCTTTCTGAGTCCCACTAGACATTAGTTATGCTCTACGGAGTGTAAGATACCTTAAGCTTAAAAGAAATCGATTTATGATTCGGTTGAATTTTTGTAGAGGGGTTTTTTAAAATGATGACCTACAAAGCCGAAAGTCAAAATCATTTAGCAACATTACAGAATGAGAAGGAGAACTGAGAAAATAGACCGCGAGGGTACGAGCATCGTTAAGTGTTTATCTCTACCTCTGGTGTCAAAACGAAGGCATCATACATTCCCACAAGAGAATGCATCCCAAAAGAACAAGACAAATATTGCCGGACATTATATATTGAAATGGGATCAAAGAATCTGGTTTTTTCCATCCAATAATGGTTGTTAAATTGGTAACTCAATGGCACAATAAAACACATAAACAAAGATGACAAAAAAGAAGAAGAAGAAGAAAGATGTCCAATCAGAATGGAACGAAAGCTTTATTAATACAAAAATAACACACAACCTTAGACAGATAAAAATGGATGCATTTTATAGAAGGTACTTCTCCCTCGTGGACTCAGAGCCCTTAAGATATTTACAGGTCCAAACACCTTTTAATTTACCCACAAATTCCGAGGTACGATTCAATCTCATTTTCTGCTCCATGGAAAGCAGCAACTCTGCAAAATTTCAGTCCAAATAAGAAAACGAAATGAGACATGAAAAACGGTGTTTGTATGAAAATGTGAGTGATATGGTGATTAATGACAAACCTTGACACTGTCATTGGAACCCTGCTTTCTTGCATCTTGGTAAGACGGCTGAGAAGGAGTCCCTGGTACTTTTCCCGCCCGCTCCTCCCGCACTTTGTTGAATATGTGAGTGAAACCATCAGCTGATGCCGGGTCATTTTCATCCCACTCGCCAAATTTCGGAACAGCAGCACCTTTCTCAGGCTGCCACATAAAACAGAAAACATACTCAAGAGCAAGACTTGACAAAGATATTGTATCACTATAAAACTACCTTTTTTATAAGTTAACTACAGGACCAATAATTTCGAAAACAATGGTTTTTACCTAGCAAAACTTTTTCGAATGATGCTTGATCATCAGTAAATTAAGTTGTTGAGACCATATCTTTTTACTGTAATTAAAATAAAGATGGAAAAATAGACAACAGTTTGACAAGTTTATGATGGTATAACAATATAATAATGGATATGAGGAAGAAAATTTACACTTTCATCGCGAGGTTTGAGGCGGGACCTTCCAGGAGTGCCATGGCTAGATTCATATGAAGCCTTTCCTTCCCAGGAGGGTGAATTTCGTCCTGTGACCCTCGCATTGCGATGGAGAGGTGAACGCTCAACACTGTTCTCAGACCCAGCACTTGGTCGTGCAGGCCTTTGATGGGTATCCCCAGAACTAACTCCACGGCCTCTGTTAGGTTGATGTGCTGATTCACCAGAATTTCTGCGCTGGGCTGGGGAGTTGGCAAATCTTAGGTCATTATCCTCCCTGCTTCTTCTCCGTTCATGAACTGGTTTTTCAGGTTCTGGTCTAACTTTTGGAGGAGAAGATGCAGATATGTCAGAAAGGATGTCCGGGTTCTCTTGGGGGTCATTTGGATTAATCATCTTTCCACCGACACCAGTTCGATCCTTACGGGCCTTATCAAAATAGGCTGTGTAAGGAACACTTTCTTCGCCTTCCCAATTGCCAAACTTTGGTACATGTGAACGTTGCTGCCACATTAAGAAAATACCATCAGGCCTACTATTTTCATCAATCAATACATTTCAGTACATCAAGTAGCATTATATGAAGTATATAAGACCTCGTCTATAAACAGGGTCATTGAATGGGTAAGTTAAAGTAGGCAGATGAAACCACTGAACAGAAACAAGGACCAAATTTTCAAATATGAATTGGACAAGTATGACAGGCAGTTCAACGTGATCACAACTTGATCTCGCTTAACCACATTGCAACAAACTTTCAAATACACACAGTTAGAACAGATCGGGGAAGAAAAGGACATTCAAAATCTAATGCAACTCCCTAAACCTTCTCAAAGCAACGCGAAAGGGATACTTCTTCAACAAGCTTTGCTTGCATTCAAAGAATGAGGTAACAGCTGGTGACCTCACCTTTGTCAGGTGAGACAGTTATGCATTTTCTCAAAGGCATGCTCTTCCCTGAACGTGTTTCCGTTTCTATCATGAGCGCCCTAAAGCGAGAGAGGGAAATGACTGGACGATTAAATGCCCATGGAAAATATTCAAATGAACATACGCCAAATGGTATACCAGATGACACATCCCAATATACCACCTCTACGATTGTCCAATTGCCCACACGATTGTTTGGTTTAGACTGCATACCTATGCCTTTCTAGTTTCTAATCAAAAGCCAATCAATCCAATGCAACATCCTAGTTTAAGTTTTTAACAGCATATACTGACATCAAACCCAAATTCCTTTAAAATCCGTGGTATTATAAGACTATCTTGGCACTACCAATATCAAGCCATTAATTCCAGTTCTCCTTAATTGCAACAAATGAAGGATAACTCATCCAACCTAGTCACCTTGTCACTCAACACTATCGATTTGGAGAAGCTGTAAAATGCACTGAACACTAGTGAACAATGATATCTCTCTTCACACTAAGTAAAACACCGTATATTCATTTTCACTGGGAAGCCAAAGAATTTCAATTCATACAAGAAAGTTGATAAAGAGAGATAAATTTCAGCTTGCTCCAATCAACTCGTTCAGAAAGAGAGAGCTAAAGAGAAACAGCTTTCCGGACTCACCTACTAGTACAAAAAAATACCAAGTTATAAACTTATAATACATAAAAAAAATGTCAACCCATTGATTTCATTTCTCTAGAAATGGAAATTATCCAACATTCTCACTTTGTGCCCCAACAGTATCTGTTGGAGATACCTTAAAATTCATCGAAACAAATGAACAAAGATTTCTCCACCACATAATAAACAATGTAGACTTAGAGAATTTCAAGTGTGATTATGCAAACAAGAAGGAAGGGGGAGAGAAATTTTGTCTAAGAACATATTATCAAACATCTAACACATAAAGGTTTTCAATTACCTACTAGCACTAAAAATTTCAAATAAGATACCATAAAACATCAGCCTCATCAAAAGATTATCCATCCAAAAATTTCAGCAAAAGTATCAACTTCCAAGAATCAAAACACTGGAGCCATATGCATCAGTGTTTAAGCATAATGCAACATCAACTGGACTACACTAGACCGCTCAACCCCATTCCAATCTTCTACTTTGTGACCCTCAAAACAAGAACTCGGCAACCCAAACTCAGTACAACTATTACGCAAATTAACAAAAGCTAGGGCTCCAGTTCGCCCAAGCACAATTTTTTCAATGCGAATTCAACCACATGGGCAAAAAATAAAAAAATGCAAGAATTCTTCTTCTTTTTCGATGTAATTATTGAACATATATCATATACACAAGCTGAAATATAGATTAAAAGGAATGATAAAAGGCACTCTGATTGAGCAACCTAAAGTAAACTCCCCAATAACAGATCCCAGATCAATACTACATCAAAGTTTGCAACTTTACATGTCAACAAGATTTCACATCAAACATTATTGCTCATCAGAAAATAAATTAGTAAACTTACAATCCCAATTCAATATTTTCCATTCCAATTTCCAAAATTAGAAGACAAAATCAGATAAAGCTCATATTTTTCTGAATTTCCATAAATTCTCTTCTTTATTTCCACAAGCAAACAGAATATTCATATATTCAAAAAAATAAAGCACAAAAAAACCCAAAGAAACTTGTGAACTTACTGCCATTTTTCTGTCCACCAGATTTAGAAAAAACCCAGGAAAGTAATGTCAGAGTAGAATCTCCTGGACCAAAACCCACCACAAATACGCAACCACAGTAGCCCCTCCACGAAACCCTTCTACGAACCACCAAGAGAGAGAGCAATTATTTTAGAGAGAGAGAGGAAGAGGGTGTGGAGAGAGAAAGGAGAGAGCTATAAAGGGGTTTATCAACCATTGACGGACTCTACCCGTCATGTTTGACCTTTCTCTCTATGTAAAAGTCCTGCTTCTCCGTTCAAACATCTCTCGGCGAGTTAAGACTCTCTGTCTATTTGCGATAATGCTAGTGGTTGATAACATGCTCTCTTTTTTATTAATTAATTTATCCTCTGTATAATTCAATTTTTTCATCACTTGTTTTCTAATTTTCTTTTTCTTACAAATTATAATGCTACATTTTCCACTCATCAAATTTTGATAGTAGGATAGGATATGTTTTAAGGTTCTCTCATTCAAGTTGTGTTAGCGAGAATCATTCATGCACACATAATTGATTGTGAGGTTTTTCTTTAAAATAAGCAACATTAAAATGATAAAATAGTAATTTACTCACTTTCATTTAAAATTTAGCATGCCTTTATCAATTTGAAGTAATTTTAAGTTGTGCTAGTGAGGGTCGGTCATGTATGAATTATAAAAAAGAAGTATATAGATATGACTTTTTAAACACTGTTGATGCATAGTAGTTCTTGGAATTGGTTTTTCAGTATGTTATGTGTTTTGCTACTCTTTAAAGCAAAGCTACCAATAACAGCTCATGCGTATCTGATTGATTTAAGTTATTGTTCATGATTGGTACAGGGATTAGCAAAATTAATCATACGAAAATGATGTAGTTACTAGTTCTTGATGCAATGTGACCATAGCATTATTATTATTTATTTATTTTTGTACGTATGTGCTTTATGATTGTCTTTTTCTATCGATGTGTTTTATTGGGATTGTCTTGTTTTTATTAGGGATTTTAATTGTGTTCATTTGGGGTTAAACATGATTAGTTTTAGTGGCGGCTAACTTTAAATTGTAATTTGAGGAAACCTCATCTGAAATACGGCTGTGTTCGCCTGTCGATTTATGTGGAAACATTTTCTCATGACTCCTTCTTTTGTCTTCTTCTCAATTTTTTGGGTTTAATTTCTTTTAAAAAGTCGTATTGTAATTAGATAAGAATTTTTAATGCTAGCTTATAATTTTCTTGATTTGGTTTACACTATAATTACTCTTTTGTTTGTGTCTTTTTTTCTAAAAATTAAAATTGCTCTGCCAAGAGTCTGACTACATTGAATTTTAAGATAAACAAAATATCTTTACAAGTAGTATTGTTGAGAGTCTGAATTTCATATTATAGAAATACAGTTTATACACGAACATTTAATAATCTTGAGATTCTTTAACCGTTATCAACTAGTTTGAATTGAATTTGCACATTCTAGTATATGGTGTGTCAGAACTAACTATTTATGTGTTGAACTGAATTGTCCATTACTCTCGCATCACACAAAATTTGTTGCCCTTGATGGTTAATCTCACATTGGAGCAATTAAAGCCTTAGAGCAACTCCACCCTCCCAATTGCTAGGGGGATTGGGGGGATGATTTGATCCACCAAAACCAACAGAATGAGCTCTAGCCTTATGCCCAATCACTCAGGCTATAGTGAAAACCAGAAGGGCCGACTGCTCAATCGGGTCACAATCGCCCATCGCACTAGCTAAGGTAGTCGGACGTCAGGGTGATGTCACACACGTTATAATTCTTTGTGCCAGACGTATGCGCTTCACGCGCACGTGGGCACAAGTCGTCTGACAAAAATCTAGGCAGCTGGCCCTCTACAACAGTCTGGATTTCTCATATTGACAGTCCCTTGTTATCCTGATTTTTATTGAAATTAAACATAATATGATGTTTTTTAATATAATTTTTTAATACCAATTGTCTGGACAATTCATTTAGGGCTTGAGATACGCTCAACTAATTACTGTTCACCAAAAAAAGAAAAAAAAAGAAAAAGGCAATTACTCAATAGCACAGACTATTATCGCCCTAAAGGGTGGAGTTCCTCTTTCATATGTGTTGCTTGCGATGGTGAATTTCATCCTAAACCCTCAACATGGGAGTATGATTTTCTCCCCTCCTAATCTCTCTCCTATTCCCTTCCCTTCTACTTGATCAGTTACGGTTAAGTCACGTTAACATCTTATTTTGATTTTTTTTATAAGGACAATAAGACAAAAAACAATGTGTAAGTAAGAGGAGGGAAGAAAAGGGATAAGAATAGGAGGAGAGAGAATCTTACTACCTAAACGTGAGATGGATTAGCTTTAAATTAGGGGATGCATATTTTATTTTAATCCCATAGAAAGTTCTTCCACAGATAAAGTCCATAAACTGTGAGTGGTAGCTGGGGCTTGGCAGACATTGAAAAAAAAAAAATTATATATATATATATAAATAATACAAACTTAACTATTGATACTCCAAAATACACAGTTAAATTGTATCTTATGTTGTGCTTATCAACTATAAATCGTGTAAAATTTGCTTCCATGGGTAATAAATTAGGTAGGGTTATGAACTTATGCATCTTCTAGAAAGGCCAATTTGTCAACTAATTAAGTTTTAATTTAATTAACAATTGGGTTATTAAACAAAAAGAAAAGCATAAATAAAGCCTTTAATCAAAACTCAATTTTTCATAAACAAATGCCCTAGTTGACATGAAGAATCTGGTTCAAATCTTGAAAGAACACAGCTTTATAGAGAAAAAAAGTATTCTGGGCCTGATTGAGGTAAATTTTTGTGCAAGGGCTTATTTGTTTGTTACGTCACGACATGAATCCGTTTAAAATACAAAGAAGATTCCTGCATTTTGGTTCATTAAAATAGGTCAAAGTAAGATTTGAATACATGAAACTTATTTTGTGGGTACATTTTGAATGGATATGTAAGAAGACATAAAAGCCTGTACCTAAAAATCTCTCATATGTATGACTTACGATTAAGAGCATACCATGAGTTCAAAGATGGATTCACCTTCGAATCCACAGTAATGGTTCAAGCTAATCATGTGATTCAAAACAACACAAGCTATGTAATGTATCTAATACTTTAGCTCAGTCCGATTAAGTTTGTTGACTTGACCGTCGAAAAGTTTCAACCAACACTGTACGTATACATCAGTCACACCCTAAATTATATGTCATCTTTGAATTATAGATTACTAGAGTAATTTGGATTCACGTTGATATTTTTGCTTATTAATTAGCCTCGCACAAAACGAACGACTATATAATAAATGGTGCATCTTTTGTATGATTGTAGTGGCTTTTTGCATAAAGAATCATAGTCTTTTGGGATAACGGCCATATTGTATTCCCATCTAATTGCACAATCTTTCCCACTAATATTTTATCAACTTTTCTTTATCTAATCTCATCACTTCTATAAAGTTTGTATTAAATAGAAAGCCCTCATTAGTTTCATTAATCTTTCCACTTTAACTTTATTCATACACTTAATAGAAAAAAACCTGGTGTTTGTATGGGATTATTTTATACATACAGGTTTAAGGTGAGTGTTGTAATAATATTGTACATGTACAAGGAACAATGTGAGATGTCATCGTTTCATAGTCAAACTTTGGTCTTATTCAAAAGTTTTTGTATTATGCACCAGAGCATAGTGTGTAGCGGAGTTTTAAATGGTTAGATGTTTTGGAATTTTTTGATAACATGAAAAAAGGAATGACAATAGGGTTTTGATACCTTCAATTCTTCAGTAAATATCATGCACCCGAGCATGATAAAACTTTACCTTATTCAAAGAATACAAATATGACTCATTTGAAAGTCTTTTTAAAATAAGCGAAAGTGTTTTTAGAAAAAAAAAAAAGTTTTTGGATTCTAAAAGTACTTCAAGTGTGTTTTTAGGATTCACTTGCACTTTTACTATGAATTTGTTCCAATAACATTTCACTAAAAGTGATTTTAGCCTATTTAAAAGCATTTCCAAACAAGCAAAACAAGCTTTTAACTATAATTATGAATAGTGAGACTGTTTTGGACGAAGCTTTTTTATTGGATGATATTTTTGTACCACTTTTATTCCTTTTTCTTACTCAAAACATTGATAATATGTTTACTAATTCGAAATAGGCAAGGAAAACTTGAAATAACAAAGGAGCGAGTAGATGAATGTTTACAAATCTGAAATCAGATCCAAAAAGTAAAGTAGATGATTTTATATAACCAACGAACCCCAGCTTCATGTTTGTAGCCATAACGTAGATTAGTAGCCCATTGGACCCTCTTCTCTTACATTTTCCAACAAATGCCATATAAATAAATAGTCAAATTGGTAGCATGCAATTGCAAAGTGTGGCATATCAACATATTTGACAAAATTATGGCTTGGTTGAATGTCAAAGTATGTGTATCAAGTAGCAAGACCTTCTCAGTTCTCAACAGTCAAAGTCAAGCCGTTGCAGCTTCTACTCACAATAACAAGTACAGTCAACAATCTCTCTCCCACCTCTCTTCCTCCGGCTAAAAGCTATACGCAAATATCTCTTTTTTTTTTTTTACTTTTTTTTTTTTTTTTTGCCTTCAATTGCACGACAAGTTCATTGCTTTTGACTCTGCAAAACAACTTTACTTTTCATCCCCTAATCTGAAAGCAAAACCCATTTGCAAATAAACCAAATTACACCGCCTTTTCATCCCCTAATCTGGAAGCAAAACCCATTTGCAAATAAACCAAATTACACCGCCTAGTTACTGGAAAAGCCAACAAATTAACAAATGTTTTTCTGCAGAAAAGCTTCCTGCTTTCTTACATTTCCCTCAAAAAGCATAGATCTGTGTCCTTAAACCCCAATTTTTGTCGATAAATCCAGCTTGTAGCAACTGGTTTTGGCTATTTACCTCGTAATATCATTACCCATCACCAAAAAATTCGGATTTTCGGTCAGAAATCCGTTGTTACAGCCAGTATTTATTGCTACAGTGTCAGGAATCTGCTTTTACAAGTCCATGGATCTGTGACTCTGCCTGCCGAGAAATGAAGCTGCTTTTCTGAGAAGCAGTTCCGATTCCATCACAAGCCAAGCAAAAAAAAAAAAAAAAAAAAAACCAGAGCTTTTGGTGGAAGCAGGGAGAGATGATTCAGCTGTTGTTCGTAGTGCTTTTCGCCGAGGGGGTTGTGGCGTTCCTTCTGCTGGTGAAAATTGGGCCGTTGAGGGAGCTGGTAATAAAGAGCTTGGATCAGATAAAAATGGGTAAGGGTCCGGCCACCATAAAAACGATTGCCGGGACCATGTCTGTGATTTTAATCTCCGACTTCATCAGCATTGTGAAGATCCAGAACAAAGGTGTGAAGCTTGGGACGATGTCGCCGATGGATCAGGTTCTGTGGAGGACCCACCTGCTTGAAGCTTCATTGATGGGTATGTTCCTCAATCCTGCTCACTGTTTTCTTAGTAGTTTTGAGTGTTTTGGTTACTATTTAGTTAGGGTTTTCTTGCTTTAGTTATGGCTTTTTGTTAAGAGTTCATAGAGACCGGCTAGCGGCTCACTACTATTGAACACCGATACTGAACCTAACTTAATCACTTGGCCCGTAGATTTTGTACAAACGGTCTCGATGCAATGAGTGGTGGAACCACTCAATACAAGTTCTACTGAATTTTTTATTTTTTTTTTCTCGTGTTTTCGATGTGGGACTTTACATTTTTAACAGTTTTAATTGGAAGTTCACAAATGTGGATGAGTGTGTGGATTATTACACGAGTCCAGCAAGAGAAAAGTAGAAGTTCTCTATCACAATTAGTTTTGTTGCACATAAACAAGAAACTTTTAAGGTTGTTGCCAGTAGGTTCTGTTGAGAAAGGGGATGGTCAGAAGGATGAACGAGTCGCTCCTGGAAAAGAATCTATTGATTCTCTTGCAATTGGTTGGACCGTGATTAACCCTCGGCTTCACAGATGTACCCGCCAATGATTCTTTATACATTACAAGGATCTTTTGGCTTCTTTAGATTGTGTGTTAAAAGAATTGCCCGAAAAAACTGGTTGTTTTGATTAGTGGAATCTAGTAAGAAGGACTAGAAATTGGTCTATTTGTTAAATATCGCTTATCAGACTAATTAAGAAAGTGAAAATATAAGATATAAAGGTTGTCCTTCAGTTGCCTACCCTTTGCCAGTATTTGTTGGTTTTTCCGTTTTAATGTGAAAATAATTTCATTGGTTTTCCTCGTACCCCTATACATTTGTTAAAGTCATATCACTATGAGTGTTATTTCTTATGTTTTTCATTTCCTTTCCTTTTCCGATAGCTTAAGAATAATCAAGTATTAGCATGCATAATTGTATATCTTCTTGGATGTGACATCTTAAATCTGTATGTATCGCATGAGGAGTAGTTTAGTACCAAATCAAATTATATTGAATTCAATCAAAAAATTGCGACCTAAGTTTTGCATTCACAATCTACAGTTTGACTATCACCAATGTAAGGACTCAGTCCACTAGCTAAATAGGCATGGGGGGCGACAAGATAAGCCATTCATTAATAAAATCTTCACGTTGGCCTCGTACGATCACCATCCATTGTAAATGTGATTCGCTGGAGGTTTCTCTCTATTGTTGGAATGACCGTAATTAATTTCACTCTTAAGAACTGTTTCTTGCTCCTCTCTTTTTATGGTTAAATGATGCAAACCTGGCAACCAGATGACTCCATCTCTCTCTTGGACCGTGTCCCGAATCCGCAGAATCGCTGTCTACTGGTTGAATACTTGGTGTCTCCATTCTTCATTACCCTTGGTTGCTGCTAGTCCAGCCTCTCTATCCTTGTACACCTAGTAATCGCTATCATGTTCTGGAAGAGGACGCTTTTGGTTACCGGAAAAGGGAATGCTTAAGTTGATTATACAGTCTTCTTGGGCAACTGACAGTAGTGCTTCATGCATGGTGTCTGCTCTGTGATTGATGTCCGAACTGTTGTTTGCATTCCAGTGAATGATCCTTTCTATCCCTGACGACCCAAGAAATCAAGCACCATTATCTCAGTAAGCTAATCGATAATTGATCTTGCCTGCAGGTTTTACCCTATTTCTTGGATTCATAATTGATCGAATGCACCATTATCTCAGTAAGTTAATCGGATTGAGGAGTAGCGTGGGAGCTTCAAAAGAAGAACTTGATAGGCTTCAGAAAGAGAAGATACAGCTTAAAGAAAAGGAAAATAAATCGTCCCAAGAAATCAAGCAGCTGCAAGACAAAATCTCAACTCTAACAGAGGATTTGAAGAAGCTGAAATTGGAATGTGCAGAGAAGGATAAAAGCATCGAAACTGCGGAATCCCATGTTGCCTCCCTCCAAAAACAGGCTGCAGATCTACTTCTCGAATACGACCGCTTGTTAGAAGACAACCAAAATCTTCAGACTCAGTCTCTAGGTTATAGGATCAGGTAATTTTGAAACACCGCCGCAGTTTGAACTTTGAGAAGTATTTTGCTTACTTGTGATGTTCTTGTCTGACATCCCCTGCCAAAAAGTTGTTGAAAATTTTGTAATTCTCATGAAATTAGAATGTACACTCCCAGGTTTAGTTCATGATGCCTTTCGATTAATAGATATGCACATGGAAATTTGATCTGTTAGAGCAATTCGATAAATTTTCTTTGCTGGAAGGAATGTTTGTCTTCCGAATTGTGCAACAGAAATTCATTCCTGTGCACATATCCGATGGCTCTCATGTCATGATCCAACTTATTCAGGATTTGCATGATATCCTCATGATGTTGGTGTGTCTTATCTTCCATGAGAAAAGCATGTAGCTCTCCATTCACTTCCACAACGCTATAGCCTGGCACTTTCTTTGTTCGTCTTTGTTTCATTATCTTCTTCATGTCTGCTGCATCATCCCACTTCATCGCCATTGCGTAGAAGTTCGAGACCAAAGCGTAAACTCCTAAATCATCCGGATTCAACTCGAGGATCTTCTTTGCCGCGACCTCTCCAATCGATGACTTCCTATGATTGTGGCAACCTGCCAGGAGGGCAACCCAAACAGCAAGGCCAGGTTCAGTATTCACAGAATTTATTAGCTCATAAGCCTCTTCCACTCGTCCAGCACGAGCCAGTAGGTCAACCATGCAAGCATAATGTTTCTCCTCCGGAGTGGTTTTGTACTTATTGACCATAATGTCGAACCAATGCCGGCCTTCTTGTACGAGGCCTGAGTGACTGAAGGCTGAAAGAAGAGAAGCAAAAGTAGCATGATCAGGCTTTATGTTTGTCTCCGTCATCTGGAGGAAGAGGGCTAGAGCTTCCTCTGCATGACCATGAATTCCGTAGCTTGCAATCATAGCATTCCACGAGATTAAGTCTCTGGAAACAATCTGATCGAAGAGAGCACGAGCGTAAGAAAGGGATCCGCATTTCGAATACATGTCAATCACTGCAGTACCCAAAACTTCATCAAAATCAAGCCTCTTCAAGATATATGCATGTGCGGATTTACCCCATTTCAAAAACCCCACCTGTGAACATGCTAGAAGTGCACTCACAAGACACGCTGAATCGGGTTCAAGTCCACTGCCCTGCATCTCTACTAGCATTTTGAGTGCACGCCCTGCGAAGCCATTTTGAGCAAAGCCGGAAATCAAAGAACCCCATGAAATGGCATTCTTGTAAGGCATCCTATCGAACACCCTATAAGCTAGCTCCAAATGCCCGTTCTTTGCATACATATGGGCAAGGCTGGTTTGAACCATAACATCCATACGAAGACCTCTCCGAATCATAAACCCGTGAACAGAAAGACTCATTCTCAAGTCCCCAAGACTTGCACAAGCCTGTACCAACCCCATCATCGAAACCTCATCAAATTCGATTCCCTCATGTTGCATTCCCCTAAACATCTCAACTGCTTCCATAGGCATTCCACTCTGCACAAACCCTGATATCATTGTTGTCCAACAAACAAGGTCCTTTCTAGGCATCTTCTCAAACACCACCACTGCTTCACCCATCTTCCCGCTCTTGGCGTACAAGTTCAAAACAGATGATCCCACAAACACATCACGTTCGTACCCGCAACCCACCGCCTTAGACCAAATTTCCTCACCAATCTCCAAGTCCAACATGCTTGTGCACGCCTTAATCGCGACAGTAAAAGTCGAGCTATCAGGTCTAACTCCTTCCGCTACCATCTGATGATATAAACTTAAAACTTGAGACGGATAATCTTGCCGAGAATACGCGACTATCATGGCATTCCATGCATTCACGCTTCGTTGAGGCAATTTATCGAACACTTTGCGGGCGGATACAGTATCCCCAATACGTGCGTAGGACGCTATGAGTCGAGCGTTGGAGCTTCCATCGGCGACGGTACTAGTCAATATCATAAGAGCATGGACTTTAGCTATGGAGGTCTTATCCGTGCAGGATAAGAGGAGAGCTCTGAGGCGGTTTGGCCATGGAAGTAACTGCATCTATGCATGGGAAGCTAAAACTTGATATTCTGTTAACACCTAACAGGTTACTGTTTATAGCCGTTGCAAAAAGAGATATTATTATTTCCTACTTTACTTTTGCAATTTGTTTGATTTTCTTTTGAGCGAATATCACACTTTCTTTTAGGTTAGGACATAATATTCGATCAGATAAAAAAAGACAGAATAATTTGGTCCAAATCCCTTCTTATTTATTAAATTTTTTATTAAAAATATATATATTTACATTAAGACCTCTCACATTATTCACGAGACCTGTCATTATCTCCCACTTACATGGTAAATTCTTACAACATTAACTCTTTTCCTGTTAAATTATCTAATTAATTGTTTTTATTTATTTGGGATTTTGGTGATGGTACTTGCTAACATTTGGAAATATGTTTGAATTATTGACGCCAATATGTTCTTGATCGAGCCATAGATTCTTTTGGCGTTGAATTTGATTGGTTGGAATTAAAAATTAAATTTATTATGATTGCATCTAGAATTTGGTATCCTTAATAGAATCAAAGTGTACAAATGCTTGTGTACCCTTTATGCGATCAACTAAATTAATCAAATTAATTTGTATGGATTTGTTTAGTACTATTTGGGCTTTGTCGTGATTTTATACAACTTAGATATTTGATTTGGAATTTGAGAATTAATAAACATTTTGAGTTTGAACCAAACTAAATCATACTAAATTGTTTGATTCAAGAACTTGGCGCAGTGAAATAAACACGAGTCAGACTAGTTTTCAATTTCTTTGCTCGCAAGAAAACTCACTTCCTTGACCCCCACTTTTCTTTGCTTGCAAGACAATTATTTACTTCATTTTCTTTTACATTTTATGTAAAAGGTTACAGATTCAAGTCATAGAAACAACTTATTCGTAAAACATGAGTAAGGCATGGACATTATCCCCGACCCTTGCAAAGCCAGGAGCTTTATCGGTTAAGGTCGCTATTTTTCATTTTTTGTATTTGATATTTAATTCTCTCTGATCACTCCATATATAAATTATTAAATTAAGCAGAAAAAGAAGAAGAGTCTTCTTGGCTCTAAAGTTGAAGGAACCAATAGAAAAATTATATAAATTCTGTTGGTCTACTCATAACCCACAACTTAGGAAAAGAAGAAGAAGAAATCAGATCCCAAATTCCATTACCAAAAGTTGGGGAAGCAAATTGCATCTATTTGTTTGAGCATATATTTGGAGAATTATTCAGTTTGTGAATATTAAAGCTACCAACATTCTGTGAACCCTCATTTCTGCACGCAGAACAACCTCTTTGTGAGTTATCAAATCATGGACGATCAATCAGACGGCGGGGAAGGCAACTCCCAAAGAAATCCGAAGCTGCCGGTACCCGGAAAACGCAACATACTCATCACAAGTGCCCTCCCTTATGTCAACAACATCCCTCACCTTGGCACCATCATTGGCTGTAAGTATAATTCCCAACTACTGCTCTTTCCTCGCCTTGTTTTAGCTCGCTTTATTTATACACAAATCGCAGTTTCACGTTTGCAACATGTTCGTGACTTTAATTTGTTTGAGACCGTGATTTGCGGTTTGATGTTTTTATGCATGCTTATGATTGTATTTCATATATGGACATGATGCAGGTGTTCTAAGTGCTGATGTTTACGCTCGATACTGTCGCCTTCGCGGGTACAATGCGATATACATATGTGGGACTGATGAGTATGGGACTGCAACTGAGACAAAAGCTAGGGAGGAAAATTGTACTCCACAGCAAATTTGTGACAAGTAAGTTGTGACAAAAGTTCGGATAGTTATAGCAGTATGAACTTTTTACTAATTATGGAGCTTAAATGGTTTTGTAGATACTATGAAATTCATAAACAGGTCTACGAGTGGTTCGATATAAGTTTTGATAAATTCGGACGCACGTCAACTCCTCAACAGACAGAAATTTGCCAACATATTTTCAAGAAACTTATGGAGAACGGATATTTTTCCGAGAACACAATTCAGCAGGTATATATGTACTAGTACTACTGCTCGTGTGAAAATTTACATCACTTTACTGCTTACTTAAGTGAAAATTTTGTATCTAAATGGTTTGAATTTCGGCAACAATCCAGCTGTTTTGTGAAACATGCGATCGTTTTTTGGCTGACCGGCTAGTGGAAGGCACTTGCCCAACGCTAGATTGCGGCTATGATTCTGCACGAGGAGATCAGTGTGATAAGTGTGGAAAGCTGTTGAATCCAACTGAGCTTAAGGATCCTAGATGTAAAGTATGTTTAGCTCCTTGAGATTTTGTACTTCATTACTGTTAATTTGTTAGGATTTCGTCGAAATTACCAACTTCTTATTTCCTGGTTTTGTACTCAAAACTGTAATCAACAGGCATGTCAGGCACGGCCATGCATACGAGAGACGAACCACTTATTTCTAGAGCTCCCTTTACTGAAGGATAAAGTGGAAGAATTTATCAACAACCTGTCAGTTGAAGGATCTTGGAGCCCGAACGCTATTCAAACTACATACGCATGGCTTAGAGAAGGACTTAAGGTGCGATGTATGACGAGGGACCTTAAGTGGGGTGTTCCCGTTCCACTCGAAAAATTTGAGGACAAGGTTAGCACTTAATTTATGTAACAAATGGTGATTTGCCCTTTGTTAATGTTTACTAGAAATTTGACTTTTTTTTCTTTGCCAATTTATGATATGCTTAGGTTTTTTATGTATGGTTTGATGCGCCTATCGGTTATATCTCTATCACTTCGTGCTACACGCCCGATTGGGAGAAGTGGTGGAAGAACCCCGGAAATGTTGAGCTGTACCAGTTCATGGGCAAGGACAATGTGCCATTCCACACGGTAAATATTTCATCTTGTTTATCTGGAAGTTTGTAACTTTGTATTTGTTCCTGAAATGTTTATTTGTGGTACGATTTGATTCCAGGTTATGTTTCCATGTACGCTTCTTGGAACCGGAGAGAATTGGACACTGATGAAGAGCCTTAGCGTTACAGAATATCTGATGTATGAAACAGGTAATTATGCGTGAGAATATGCGATGATCTTCTCAAAAGTTTGACTATTTAAAGTTTCAGCTCATACTTCTGTTTCTCTTTTCATTTTCTCTCATTGATCGATGCCACAGGGAAGTTTTCCAAAAGTAGGGGAATAGGAATTTTCGGCAATGATGTGCAAGAAACAAACATTCCCTCAGAAGTGTGGCGATATTATTTGCTAGCTAACCGGCCAGAGGTAATCTGTTTTTTCTTCAGCTGCTGGTGATTTTGCAGTTCTTGCGTTGTACTTGGATAGTTGCAAATTCCAACGGTTATTACTTAATTATCTGTTTCCTTAATCATGATTAGGTCTCAGACACTGTTTTTACATGGGCGGACTTACAAGCAAAACTAAACGCTGAGTTGCTGAATAATTTGGGAAATTTCATTAACCGGGTATTGATCTTCATTGCAAAACCTCAAGGTCAGTTATCCGCTAAACAAAGAATTTTATAATTCGGAGTTTACTTGAATTCACTTTCGAGGTTTTCGATTTCCTTGTGTTTTACGAAAGTTCAAAACACTTAACTACATTTCTGTTTTTACTTGTTATATATCTTGTATCACATTTTTTTTCTTCTTCGATCATCATATTGTGATCAAATTTATGTACCATGTTCTGCTCTCTCTTGCATTTTGGCATTCATGTGAACTTTCACTTTCTCCTGCAGGACAAGGATATGGATCTATTATTCCAGAAGCTTCTGGGGCGGAATCACATTCCTTGACGAAAAGATTGGCAGAGAGAATCGGCATACATGTGGATCAATACATAGAAGCCATGGAGAAGGCAATTTATATCTGAAACTAATCTCTCAATTCCTTTCTGCACTATCTTGTTTGACTAAGGAGTTACATTATCTCACAATCGGCGATATGTATAGGTCAAGCTAAAGCAAGCACTGAAAATTGCAATGAGCATATCCAGTGAGGGCAATGCATATTTACAAGTAAGCTCGTAAAATATCAGTTTTTCTTCTTCAAATTATTGACAGTTTATGAATGAAGGTTTCCCATATGTAATGCAGGAGAACCAGTTCTGGAAACTTTACAAACAAGATCAAGCTTCCTGCTGTATTGTCATCAAGACTTCTGCAGGACTCGTTTATCTTCTCGCGTGCGTGCTGGAACCTTTCATGCCTTCATTTTCTCTCAAGGTACAAAAAATATGTCTTGTATCGAGCAGATTAAGGACAAACAAAATACTTCACTCCATATTTACCAACTTGGTATTAATTTTTCCTTTTCATATCCAACAGGTGCTAAAGCAGCTCAATTTGCCATCCGAAAATCAGTTTTCGCTTTGCAACGAGGATGTTGAAAGGGCAAGAAAGCCTTGGGAAATATTACCTGATGGTCACAAGATTGGGACACCAGAGCCTTTGTTCAAAGAAATGGTAACATTATATGTTCATGTATAATCTTCTATATCCGTTGTCTGTGGTTTTTGAAATGTAATGTAATTGTTTTCGACTTATTGTTTCTCAGAAAGATGAAGATGTGGAGTTCTTTAGGAGCAAGTTTTCTGGAAGCCAAGCTGAAAGGGTTGCCAAGGGAGAGGCTGAAGCAAAGAAAATGGCTGAGAAATTGGAGCAAACAAAAATTTGATGCTTCCTTTATATAATAAGTAGATTCCTTGTTGTAGTAACTTGTATGGAAGGGTTGGAGTCTACCAAGTGCTTAATTTATGAATGAATAATGAATTTTGAAGGATTTTGCATACTATTTTGAACGTTATGTTTATAGAATTAAGTTGAGATTTTCTAGTATGCATCCGTGTATATTATACACTATCATCTTTAGCCATTGAATTTTGGCACATTCAACGCTTCATTTATTCGGTGCATGCTATATAATAGAATTTTAGAAAGAATTTTTTAGTATGCATTTCAATGCTTAATTTCATCCAGTGCATGTCATGCGGTAAAAGAGATGAGACTCAAAATGATGGTTGAATTCAATAGCAGGACAACAAAATAAAAAGATGAAAAAAACGCCGTCTGTGGGAATCGAACCCACGACCACACGGTTAAAAGCCGTGCGCTCTACCGGCTGAGCTAAGACGGCATTTGCGACAGTAAACCACAAAGGATTTTATTTGGAGATTAGCGGCTAGTTTACTTCACCTCCTGATTCTGGGGATTCCAGTTTAGAGCTACAGTGCCTCCACAACAAGGGCGGAAATCACAGAACCGCTCTCCCTCCTAAGGAAACCCCAGAAACATCCAAACCGCTAGAGCCAGCAGATGACTTGGATCCCAAGACGATGCTCAGAATCACGCCAGGAATCAATCGCCTGATCATCACCGTTTCAGTCCTCTTCTCCTTCATTCTCGGTCCTCTTTTATCTCTCTCTGTGTCTCTCCTCATTTCTCTCTCTCCAATTTCTATTTGCTGATTTCTGACTTTGATTTTGCATGCAGGAATCCCATTGATATACAAATCCGTGGAAATCCCATTGATTTCTAAGACTAATAGCTTTGCATCTCCAGTTAGTTATCATGCATTCACCATCTTATGTTTTCTTATGCTAATCTTCCTGCCAATTTCAATAGACGTTCTCCTGGCAGCTCTACGAGAATGGAGAAGATACAAGCAAGAAAATAAGAGGTAGTTAGCACGGAAGACCAAAGTGAACAAAGCATCTTGATCGTAGTCGACACGTAGCACTTTTCTGTTATTTGTGATACATGCGTGTTTCTTGCGGCCTTGGGGAGTAGACCAAGGGGTAAGGAAGGGATGCATCGAAAAGGCAGAAGATGACCTTCTTGAGTACGTGCCATTGAATTTGAGGAGGCGGCTGCGGTGTTCAGGGCGGCGGAATTATTTGTTAGTGTTAGCCGTTCGGTTCCCTTTTCAGATTCATTAGGGATGTATTTGCCCAAATATATATTTCATCTCAAAACCGCCTTGGGGGATCTTTAATCATTTCTTCGGTTTTGGACATAGCACCCGCAACTTAATTTCCTACGCAATTATTCACCTAAGAGCGAAAAACATCGGATTACAAGTTCAAGCTGTGAGATTGGTCAGTAAAATGTAAAGGTATCGGTAGACGGAACACAACAGCACATCCATAAAATTTAAATTTCGAGCTGTTCCAAGCTAACAAATTCACAAGGTTTATATCTATAATGAGCACATTGAAAGCCACTTACAGCGATGCGTACTAGAACGAACGGGAAAGAAAAATGAGGGGTAAAATAAAGTTACAAGCAGGTTGATACCAATCGAAATAAAGCCTGCCAGACTGAGTCATACTAAACATGATGAAACAAGGCCATGAAACGGCTCCACCCCTCAAATGTCAGACTCTTGATTCCAATGCCAAAAGTATCTTCTTCCTTGGTCCCTGAAACCCCCAGATGGAAAAGGTTAGCTCAAAGCTCCGTAGCCAAAACTCATTTGATCAAACGGAATACTCAAATTGCTTGTATATTCATCACCATTACATTATGCACAATCACGGGAAATTGAAGGATACTAACATATCACGTGGTTCTAGCAAAATTAAGGAAAATAAAAAACTACAACAAAAAAAACCATTGAGGCATAGACAACGGTGTGCCCAAGCCTAATCTTCCTTTGATCTAGTGTTATAAAAAATGAATTTCAGTAAAACAAATAGTTTAACTGTTTGAAACAACTGTAACGCAACAGGATTAGTTTCAGGTCAAACGAACAGACACCGTCCTGAACATTAATTAATGATAGCCCTAATTGGTGTTTGAAATTCTCTGTTTTATTTTAAACTCCACGACATCCAACTGATGTTAGGAAAGTAACTATTGTTCAACCATGCAATTCTATTTAATTTTATTAGACTATTGTGAGGATGGTATATATGCTTTACAATAAATGAATTTTTCCTAGTGATTCAAGAATAACTTCAAAAAGCTTTTATGCCACTCTAGCATGTTGAAACATAGGTTGTACAAAGTTTTCTGACATGCACCCACAAACAAACATGTAAACTAGTATACTTCAAATCACAAGAGCATACCACAGGTTCAGTAACAATAAAGTCGACATAAAATAAGTATGGATTTCTTAGTTTCGAAAACAACAAATGCGTATAACATATTGCCTATTGGGATACGAATACGATATTCATAATTCATGTTTCAAGAATTCTATCTGGGAATTTGGTTGAGCTTACCATTGGTATTCCTAGAGCCTTGAGGTCCTCATCAGTCATGTGCACAAGAGCTGTCATATCAACCTGCATAAACACATGGAATTGAGCACTCGAAGGTAATCAAATGCAGGTGGTGGAAAAAAGAAAGAAAAAAAAGCTGTAATCTGCTTACTTCCTCTGCCTGAAATGTGATGGAGTATTTTTCAAGATCCAAGGACGTCAAAAATTCATCCACTGATGAACCAGCCTGTACCAAAAGAGGTATGCGTCATGAAATTAAGAGCCAACTGTCGTAATGAGTGTGTGTATGTCTTAGGATGGGATATTGGAACATAGACACTCAATACTTCAATCTAGAAACAAAATGAATTTTCTTTTATGCTTACTCAAAGACATTGCAACGTAAAAATACCCGTATACCACCAACAATTGATGAACCACTTCATGAAATGATTTCTTCCTGTCACGCCGATTATTGTAAAGAAGTCTTATTCTTATTTATTTCTTAAGAAGCCTGTTAGAAAGTCCCTTCAGGCCACCCTTTCTGGTGCAAAATAAAGTATGAAACTGCTTATTCGTTCTACATGAAGACAATATTTAAGATCAAGTCCTAATGAAACCTCATACTTCTATGTTGTAATGTTGTAATGTCAACCCAGTAACTGCTATATACATACTATTCCCAAACCCATCCCATTCTGGCCCCTTAAACAAATAGAAATTAAAAAAGGGAATGGAAAAGATAGTAGGGTCAACACATATCTAAAATCAACATGTTATATGTCGTAAAGCAAACTTCCGCTTGGTGAAACATTTTAAATATTGAAAAGTTTTCCTCTTGAGCAACGTAGTAAAGAGAACCTAACTATATTAATTCTAGTAATCATATGTCGAGAGCAATCTCAAACACACCGAGTGTAAGTGTGTGAGTGTGTGCTTACTGGTATGAAATTACAAAAAATAAAACACTTCATGCCTTCTGTGAAGCCTTCTTCCTAGGAGCTGGGTTGGCCACTTTTTTAGTCTCTGTTGCAGGGGTGCCAACAGCAATACTTCTCCTGGCTGGTTTGGCAGCCTCCACTTTCGGTTTTGGTGGATCAGTGTTCATTGGTTGTGGATTCATAGTACCAGATAGCTTTTCGCGCAGGTCCCTTACACCTGAAAGGGATCGATTTCCACTTTTTTTGAAACTTTTCTTTTGGAGCTTCAATCGAAGGTCCCGAGCATCGACTTTTCGATCTTCACAAGATATTAACACACAGTCAGCAACCAAAGAAAGATGACTCAATGGCATAAAGCCATAGCTGAAGTTTTAGTTGCAGGTGAAAGTGTCATAGCCCATACTTGAATCTTGAGGATCATCCTGATATAGATCATGCTCCCACTTGCCATCTTGTCTCTGCCTGCAAAAGGATATGCCATGAACTCAATTATGAAGCTTTTTGGACTGAATAACCTTAGTCCAATCAAACACTAACAGTTGAATTGACACAAAGTAACCATTCAACAAATTGCATCCTCTAAAGTTTTGGACAAAAAGTATATGCACCAAATGGGTCAAAGAATCTGGTGAAGGCCAAATTGCAACACCAAATGCAGTATCTTTGTAACTACAATGATTTCATCAAGAATGAAACAATTACAAGTGCTCTCATTGAAGTCTTCAAAATTCATCAACTAGGACCAGACTTATCATGCACCCCATCAGTTCATTTCAACAAACACAAAATCAACTGTGCTAATAACATTGCCACTGCCACACAATTCTGTCTTATCAAACACAGATGTAAGTCATACATAAATAAGAGGTCACAACTTTCACTACTAGAAATACAAAAATAACAACTTTTTGTAATAAAAATATGAAGAGTCAAGTGGTAGAAATAGAGAAAATGGTAAAACAAGGAGTCCAATGGTATCCAAATTTGATTCCACATACCACTTTGTAAAGAGTCCTCATTTCAATGAAAAGGAGATCGATGGATATGAATACCAATTCAATTGCATACATGTTTAATGGTATTGATAACAATGCTGTAAGCCTGATATCCAGCATTTTGAAAGTATAAAACTGTTGTGGACTATTGTTACTTGCGTAATCATATTGGATTTGAAAGAATTGTTTATCAATATCCAACCTTTTCTATTTATAAGGATACTATCATCATTATTAGCTATTAAAGTTGCCAACTGAGACCAAATTCCTGAACTTTTTCCACCTACTTTGACTATCAATACAAATCCAACTCCAAAAACTGATATTTCTATTAATCGAGCGCATCACGAAAACTATTCTGCAACGTACAAAGAAAAAGGGCAACAAAAACCACACTCTAACATACACAATTCAAACCCAAAAACATATAATCGGTGCAAACTAAACCAAAATCCACAAACTACCAGAAGAATCATTGCCATCGATTCCCGTTCTTTGGAAAAACAAGAAAAAGGAAGGAAGAGAAAGCGAACCTCTTTCCAGCTATCTGTCTACGGCGACCAGAGTCCTCCCTGAAGCCGCCATTGAGGCGGTCCTTTGCGGACAACTTGGTATCAGCTTCCTCTCGATCAGCATACATCTCCCTTAAATACAAGAAACCCTAAATCCTAACTCCGAACTCACACTTGAACCCTAACGGGTCGGGAAAAAATGGGGAAAAAGCACAACCTAACAGTCTGGAATTCGAAATATTAGAGAGACATGCAGAGAGAGGAAAAGGGGGAATATTTGGGAAACCCTAACCCTCGTTTTATCAGTGAGAGAAAAAAGATGAACGCTGTAAAAGAGGCGGAAGTAATTGAATTCCAGAGAGGAGAGAGAGAGAGAGAGAGAGAGAGATTTGATTGGAAACGGAGAAAGCCGGTTCAGCTGTAAAACAATTTGAGATATTATGACGCCGTCACTTGATATTTCGGGTTCGGATCTCGGCATCTTTTGATTGTTCGGAGGGGGATTTGGCCAACGGTGAATTAGTGCTGTGATACGCACCGCATTGGCGCCTTTTACAAAAAAACAAAAAAAAAAAAAATTTGCCCTTTTTTACTTCTTAAATTAATTTTGGAAAAAAGTTATTATACAAAATGATCTTTGAGATTTGCATGGTCAATAGAAATGGTCCCGAGTTATCCATCATCCATGATTTTGGTCATTCCGTTAAAAACTCTTTGGGCAATTTTCAAAGTTTTGTAATTCAATCGATTCTTAACCAAATTCGACCCATAATATATCAAAATGAAGATAAGAAAATGTAGAACAAGATTATACCTATTTGGAAGCCCAATGATCACCGGAGATGTCCGACCAAACCTAGGCGAGTTAGCCTTCGAAAAAGGTACCATTCTCTTCGTCTCGTCAAGAAGTATTATTTTCGTTTTTGAATCACTCGATTTGGTTGAGTATTGAATAAGTTATGAACGTTTAAAGTTAACCTAGTTTCCGACGAGTTTTCCAGTTTTCATGCGGACCAGTCACCTTTCAAGCTATTTTCCGGTCATCTCCAGCAACCATTGGGTTTCCAAATAGGTATAATCTTGTTCTACACTTTCCTATCTTCATTTTGATATATTATGGGTCGAATTTGGTTAAGAAACGATTGAGTTACAAAGCTTTGAAAATTACCCAAAATCGTTTTTAACGGAAAGGACCAAAGTCATGGATGGTGAACAATATCAGGGACGATTTCTATTGATTTTCAATCTCATAGACCATTTCTATTGATCATGCAAATCTCATGGACTGTTTTGTATAATAACCCTTTTGGAAAATTGTGTCGTCCAAAACTAGGAGTGCAGTTTGAAGTGAGTTAACCTGAACTCATCCATGTTTAATCTAAATTTAAACCCGAATAAATAGGTTTTTTCTTGGTGATAAGTTATAACCCGACAGTATTAAATCCAAATCGATTATTTATTGAGTTAAATTGATCATTTGCCTGACCATGTCCAAATCGATTTATCAACCCACTATAACCTGATTATAACCCAAATAACTAATGCATATATCACACCCGTCCAACAACCAAACTTTATAATATTTGGTACAATTTCATTTATAGGCATAGTTGATAGTGCTGAAGCATTTGGCATTGGGATTTCTTGTAGCATTAAACCGGATCTATTTGATAATTTTTAGGCCCTCATGTACTTTGTTTTAAAGGATTTTAATGATTGTTGTGGACATATGATATATGATATATATATATATATATGTATGTATGTATGCATAGCTAACTAACTATTTTTCTTATTTAATAGGAATGCAAATTAAATTTCGGACATCAAGACTTGGGTTCGGTGCTTGTTTATATACGGTTCATTGAGGGGCACTGGAAGTAGAGGACTACTTCTAATTTGCACCAAGAATCTCACCAAAACTACAAACTTATTTCGTTAGTACGGTTCATTGAGGGGCACTGGAAGTAGAAGACTACTTCTAATTTGCACCAAGAATGTCCATGGCTGCATGTAAGTGTTTCTGTAATCAAAACCTGCATGCTTTATATGCCATGCTGTTTATATTGTTTAAAATGTAACCCTAGTTTCATACTGTTGGATTCTGGGATAGTATAACATGGCTAGCTTGAAAAAGGTTGGCCAAGATGGCAGGTTGAAGGGATCCACTACTTTTCAAGTTGTGGCGGCAAAAATATGGAAGGCGAGGAGCATCGCGCTTAACATGCCAGACGAAAAAACTTCTGCCATTTTTTCCAGTCTGATGTTTGCAAAGGCGTTGTGCCCCAAGCCCCACCAGGGTTTGCTGGCAATGCATTGGTCGTCTTGCCTTGTGAGGAAGGTGCAAGAAAGGGTGGAGAGATTGGATGATGAGTATGTGAGGTCAGGGATAGATTGGTTAGAGGTGAATAGAGGGGTGCCTTGTGGGGAGGAGGACAGCTTCTCACTTGTAACATGGTGGAAATTAGGGTTAAAGCAAGATGAGTTCTCATGGGGAAAAGTTAAGTGCGCCACTTCGGTTCTACTAAAGCCGGGCCTTGTCATGCTTTTGCTGAGACTGGCCAGTGGCAACGGAGGCCTTAGCATTTGCCTGGGACTGCCTGATGATCAAATGGAGATGTTTCGCAGGTTGATGATGGAAGAATAAAACACAAGATTTGTATAGTCATATAAAATCATAATAGAATTATTTGAGCCGAGCCTAAGCACTTGACATTCGACTACACATCTAAAATGGAGTTGTTCTGCAGGTTGATGATCGGCGAATCAGATAAACCAATGCATTCGTTCCAATTTGAGAAGCTTTCTACCAAATTCGTTCTCATTCGTACTCATAAGATATTCATGTCTTGAATGTATTATTCTAGGAAAATGATTTTCACACGCTGATTTTCTGCTTCTGCACACCCTTATTTATTTATGCCCCTTGATTTTCTTTGAATCCAGTGGCAATAAATAAACCGGGTTCTGTAAGAAAAGAAAAAGGATACGTCGGTGAAAGTGTGTAAAATTACAGTTCCATAAGATCAAACAAATTAAATTACTGTGCTACCAGATCAAACAAACTAAACTACATTCATTTTTACAAGTTCTTGATTTTCCCCAAGGTAAAATTCTTAGACCAAGGCAAGAGGCTCAATGTAAGAACTTTAACATGATATTCCTAGAGAAAACAATTCATCAATACTGCAGAAGGCCGAAGAAGGGGTTCGTCAATGCATTCTTCAGATGAGAAGCAGCTGAGTATAATGTGGCCATGTCAACCTTGTCCCGAGGAAGATACAAAAACTCTTCCCCTTCGGTTCTCTCAAATCCACAGAGCTCAAGAAACTCGATTCCTCCAACCAAACTGCCAACTCTATCCTGTTTAAGAAATAAAAATTTAGACAATATACAACAACTGTTCGTTATTATCTTTCAAAACCTTCTGATTTTACTTATAAAAGAAATATTTCATTATATTGATCTACTCTAGACACACAAACACACACACACACACACAATCATCACAAGTTACCAGACTATCAGCATTGCTATATAGCCAATGAGATAGTGTTCAAAACAAACATGCGCCGCACACACACACACACTCACTTGTTTGGGGAAAAAGAAGAGACAAATCAACACACAGCTTACCAAGAACAACGGATTACTGAGTCTGATCTTCCTGAATTTTTCTTCATCAGGATTCTTTGCAACATTTCCCACATAAATTAGCAGAGTCTGGAAGGCCCTTCGCACTTTAGAATCATCATCCTAGACCAACCAAAGAAAACCAATAGACTAATGTGGATCAATTAAATTAATGGTAGTTCACTAGTTCTACACCAATGTTGAACGAAATAAAAATGTAGCTTAAGGAGGACAAAGAAGGTATCCTCTAGAATACTGCTTAAAATGGGTTTAAGATCATAATTACTGTATAATTCAATAAATTAGTCTTCAGTTACATGCCATATATTTGGAGCAAGATTATTTTCCCTTTTGTAACAGCCAGTACGAACACGCGCTACTATTCCAATTCTTGGTGTACAGAGAGTGGAGTCATTTACCTGGTGGTTGCGCTTCAAGGATCTTAAACACTCTCTCATGTGTTCCGATTTTGCAACAGAACTGACACGAATTGGAATCTGATATTAAGGATCAGGAAAAGAACATTAATGATACTTTGTATTCTCATTCTGCAATTCCCAGAAGAAAAAAGAATTATACTTTTTGATGAGATTGTCTTATAGAGGAAAATTAAATACATAGTCTATAGAGGTCACTACAAAATATCAATACCTGTTGTTCACTTGCTAAAGGTGTTGAAAGTTTCTCGGGTGCAGGGTGTTCCAGTGGCAATCCAAGCTTGGCCCTTCTTTCTAACTGCAAAGGGCATGCATACAGTTTTTTGAGTAATGTAACATTACTGAGCCTCCATTGGTAGGGAAAGCCTAAAAGAAAAGTGGATCAGCATTAAGCAAGCACCTTATCCTGTTCTAATTTCCTGCGAATTCTCTCTCTTGCTCGTTTCTCTTCCTCCTTCTCAGCTTGCCGGAACTCTATATTGCTGAGAAAATATTGTTTCACTCAGAAGTTGATAGATAATTCTCAAAGTAGTAATATATAGGCTAAAAAAACAAACCAGACAGAAACAATAGAAAAAAAAAATGTGAATTAGCGCAGACCGTTTTCTTTCATTTTCTTCTAAAATTCGCTTTGTTTCTAAGAGTTGCTTGCCAGATTGAATCCTCTCCTGAAACAAAAATAGTATACGGATTAGTTAGAACCGAAAACAAAAGTACTTTTTCAACTTAAGTTTACAACATATATAGGTTAGGGATGTAAAGAGTGTGCTTAACAAACAAATAAACAGAATTCCCACTATAATTTTAGTCAAAAGATCGAAGAATTAGAACAAGCAAACACGGATAACATGCTCTGTAATTCAGTAACAACCAACTCATTAGCAAGCATAACTTTATAATCTGAAAAAGAAAACGGTACGAAAGTTCATCGGCGAATCCTTCTTTAACACCTTCTCCCTTTCTCGTTCCAATTTCTTTTCTTCTTCTCCCTTCTTCTTGCGTGCTCTATTCCTAATAATAAGGAAAAAAAAACAAAAAACAACAATAAGGAATCGGATATAACTAGAAAGACAACTCTTAAAAGTCTCAAATATCAGACTACTTGAAGAAATCAAATACGGAAGATTAATGAGCTGAGGAAAAAGTAACCTTAATTCCTGTGCTTTCAATTTCATCCCTTCCGTGATGTAGAGTGGTTCTGGAGATTCGATGTTAATGTCCACAGTTACCTGTGCGTATTTGAACAACTAAGCAAAACTGCAAAAGTGAATGCAGTGACAGTATGTGTAGATAAAATGATTTCAAACGCCCTATAAAAATGAATGATATATACAACTGAAAGATCTTTTACTCTTCCAGCATATGAAATAAAGATCCACCAAAAACAAAATGAAAACCAACTGGACAATATCTCATGCTTCAAAACCTAAACGAACAGGAAATTATATGTTTGTAGCAGTGAAAAATCATATGCAATGTTAGATAGAAGCGCAGCGCCGGCTAATATTCCAAACCATACCAAGGGCATCTCATCAATGTCCGGATCATCATTGTGATCAATAATCCAATCTATAGCAGCCTCTAAGCTGGCATTACCTGGTAAAAAGTGCATAAAAGAAAATTGAAATTACCTGAAAACTTGAGAAACATGATCATTCAAGAAATTAAGGAAAAGAAAAATGCGTTTGATTAAAATTCAAAACAGCACGTGATCATGAATTCAAGTTCAACTAATCCAAGCCTGAAAAACACATAAAACTCCTATATCCTCTCAAAAGAATATTCATTAAACAACCCGAAGAAGCTAATTACATCCGGACTGCGCAATCACCATTAGTGGAGCAATTAGCAAACTATAAGAGCCTTTCATTTTATATGAAGGAGTTCTGTCTAAGCCCTTTCACAATTTTTCAGTCCTCTACCATTAAACACTTTCAACAATCAAGTTTACGCACACTATATAAAATCACAAATCTTTTTCTAGTTGAGAAAAAGTCTAATCTACTCCCATGTCCGTGAAATTGTCACAAAGTCCAAACATGTAATCTTGTTAAACCAAAGCTGAAAATACGAGCAAGAAAAAGCTTCACCAGAATAATGAAGCGCTCGAGTTGCTCGGGGTCTCGGAAATCCCATTGCTTCAAGCTCTCCAAGCAATTTCTTGTCCACTTCCGGAACAGCCATGCCTGTATTTTCGGTCAGAAATGGTTTGCAGTTTCGGGTCAAAATCGGAGAAGAGTTGGGAATTGAGAGTTTTAAATGAAAAGATGGGAATTGAGGAGTCCTGCAATGGAAGCATTGAAAAGATGGGAGGAGTCGGAGGACAGCCATTTTCAAGACATTTCTAAAACCTTCTTCTCAGTTGATTGATTCTCAATTTATACCTTTCGGCTTCTTGGGATTTAAGAAAAGAATTGTCCTCGTAGGAACTGGGTTTTTCTCCGTCATCTTACCTTCAAAAAAATAAAAAAGGGAATTAAAGCGTGAAAGGCACTTGAGTGTCAAGATATAAGGGTTGTTTGGAACATAATCATTCTTTCTATTGCTGTGTAAATATAAAATGATGATTGATAATTGAATTATTATTTAAGTGCTGAAAAGATTTTTCAGTATGTCTGGAATATAGGTACAATATAGTTTAAAAAGTTGGTCTACCTAACTTTTTATTTTTCTTTTTTTTTGAACAAATGGTCTACATAACGTTACTCTTCTCTAAAATACCTTGATACACAAAAGGGGGGTTTTGACCACCCCAACGCTAAAACCCTAACTCCTGCAAATCTCCCTGCTTTCTCTCTCTCTCTCTCTCTGACAAGGCCATGTACCACGTGGAAGAGGGGCAGAATCAGGCCGAACCGGCGAAGGAAGTGCTTGATGAGGAGAATAATCGTAAAAATGGTATGCTCTTGATTTTCTGGTTTAGTGTAAATTCATGACATGGAAGAAGATTATCTGGTTTGTCTAATTGGGTACTATATTATCTGGAATTCAATTGCCACTACATAATAATTTTTATTTCCTCGATCTGGCGTAGTATTTCAAGCAAATTAAGCAGTTGGTATGGATGAGTTAAATTTGTTATCGTAACAAGTTAAGCTATAATTGTCTTGAATTGAATAGAATTGAATTGAATTTCGTTGTTTATTATGTAACATTCCACATCATTCAGGGAAGTAAATTATGTAAGCCTTATATGTATATTTCCAGAATAGGTGACCCACTGAGAAGTTCTCGTGTGAGTTACCATAAACAAATCGTGGCCAGACCCAAAACGGACAATATCGTACTACGGTGGAGTCGAGCCGGGAATGTGGTGGGGGCCTGGGCCGGGATGTGACAGTATATAACTTGTTAATATGCCTTGGTGCTGTTTTCGTCCACGATGCCCTCCTTTACCCCAGGCTGTGATGTTTGGAAGAGGGTTTTTCAAGTTTTTAAGGAGTAGATGTAAGTTAGAAGGGAATTGGCCACAAATTAACATAGAAGGGATTAGAAAACCGTCCATGAACATTTCATTGGCCGATAGGCGTATGATAAGGATTCGCTAATGCCTATTTTGGAGGTGTCATCTACATATCTCTCATGCATTTGTAATACGCATGTTGGAATTTTCTTGTGCTTCTTAATTTGTGCGATTTGACGATTTAGTTTTGTATTTAACTATGGAACTGCAAACAAACAGAAAAACAGAAAGTTGTACCAAAGGATGTTGGAGACTCAATGACTAAACTCCTTGGACGACAAAGAAGAAGATGACGACGATGATGGTGCGCACTTGTAGGCTCTGCATAGTTTGCTGTAAGAAGAAGAAGCACTTGAGTCACAATTGCCCCGTACCTGAAGCATGTTCCACATGGTGCTACTGTTGGCCCTCGCTTTCTGACATATTTTGCAAGTGTTGTAATCAGCTTGGTGGCCACCCTGGGCGAAACTTTGTTGCGTTTTGTGCTTGTTGTATGACTCTGGGTCAACACCCGTATGTGAAGTGCCCGTATCGTCCCAAGGAGAGAGCACCATTATTTGTGCCTCGCACGGTGGTTGTGCGGTCGGACATGGACACACCACCATATGAGTATCATGTACATGACGTTTACTAGGATTAAGATCGATTTTGCCGATGTTTTTCTTGCTTATTTTTAGCTAGTATTATAATGAGATAAGTAAGAGCTTGAGAATTCTCTAATTGAAAGTTAAACTTTGAATAAGAATAAAACACATACATTCGCTTATTTCATGTCAAATTAATACGATCAAGATTCAAGTGCAATCATTTGCCACTAATTCCGAATTGTGACGAGTTTTCTTTGCCACAGCTCTTCACCATCAAATGCTTGCGACTCCTAATTAACCTTCCCTTCTCAGTAATGCATTCTTAATCTTAATACTCAAAGTTCACGAAAATAATATAAAATCTCCTTAATACAAATATGTAGTTTGCAATGGTGAAATCTAGGAACGGGATTTCACAGGCCTTTGCTACTGAGCTCGTCCCAGACCCATCGCCCAAGAGGCTTGTAGCCTTCCAATGACTCGATAGGCTTGCAATAGGCCTGCAATTGCTCTGCAGGGCATGCCCTGTGCACTGTAGCCAACCCAATCAAGTTGGGCTGCGCTATTTTTTTTACCCGACATCAATTTTTGGCATTTCCGCTTGATAACCATACCCATTTAATTTTTGGGACATTTTAGTTAACGCTAATTAAGCTTTAATTTACTGGTTGCTTGGTCCGCTACCAATCGAAGCTAATATGATTTAAACGTCATTATTTTGCTTTCACGATCAACCCCGTATGGTCCCGATCCATTGAATTAATTTCAAGTGACCAACAATCCATTAATTTGACATAATATCCAAAATTATTGGCTTGAAGCCAAGTTTTGGACATTAACGATTCAATATTTTATTTCTTTTCTTTGGACCGCTGACTCCCTTTCGTAGTCCCGAAGCACTCACATTTGAGTTCCTAAAGCAATCCAAATCCACTACGTTTAGTTGTATATTGTATTATGTGTTCGTACAAATACTTCCTTTTATGAATAGGAAGTTCATAACTGAACTCGAACATGTAGTTTCGAATTTAGTGCCTTTGAAACCCGAAGATTTCATAAAACAATACACCCATGAAAACTCGACGTTTTTCCATGTAAAACATGTCTTAGAACCCGAATGTTCTAACTTTCATGCTTATGGATATGTTATTTCCATAGCACCAATCACAATTTTGTTCCCTCCATTCAGTGGATTGTCGAATTTAACAAGTTCGATTTCACTGATTTGGACGTTTCTTAACCGAAATCACTTTATGTGGGTACAAGACGTGAATCTCCACTTGACTACCAAGAAGTTGAGAAACCATTGAGGCCAACAATGGCATGGAAGAGCTTAATAAGTCTCAGCCATGATCTTCACTCGAAGACTTATGCTTGAAGCATTACAAATGAAAATACTTCTCGAACAAGGATTCTATGGCTCTTTGGCTTACTCTTCCGGACCGTTTGATCATGAAAGACATTGCTTGAAGCACACCATGATTATGTCCATGAATGAGTACAATTTTGAAGTTTATAAAACCCCATCGAATTTTGACTGGAGAATACTTTTCTCGTTGTTTCTAACTCGTTCCTGAAGCAGCAGTGTAGAGAACGGAAGTTTACCAAATTCTCAAATCTAATTACTACCACAAATGTGAGAGAAAGATATATACACAGTTTGTCAAAGCCTATTGAACGATACGCCCTGCTTCGACATGGATGTACCAAACAGATTCGCATGGTTCGATTGAAACCTTTCGAAGATGTCTGCCTCTCACACCTACTTTAGGGTTTGTTTTTACAACATATGGTAGAATTAGGGTTTGCCAAGTTGTGGCATCATGCCCGAAGCATGATCTTTGGCACCTAAGACCTAAAACTTCAAGAATAAGGAATATTGTTCCTGAACCTCAACCTTGCAGAATCTACTTCTGTTTTGATGGAAGAAATCATTGGTTATGCACATGTTCGTGCCCCTACCAATGTCGTTGAGGAGTACCCCTCTTGTATTCAATATGTGAGACTAATTTTGCTCCACCAAACATCAATGGAAAAGGAGAATTTTGACATGAATGGCCATGTTGGCCGAATCCACCTTAGTTCGTGAACATTTTTTTATGTTCTTGGATTCAAGTTTGGTGTTTGTTTTAGCTATGGTTAATCTTATTGATATTGTCCTCGAATATGAGTTAAGTGAATTATATTTTTTTAAATACATGTGACCAAATTCAATTAAACACGTGATGAGGTACGAATGTGAGAAGGTTAGTTGTCTGAATGAATGCGATACTACGCACACTAACTTTATACCTAAATCACACATCTAACAACGATTTTAGGTCTATCCAACCTGATTAAGAGCATTGGCACACTCCTCGTTGTATGAATGGTACTAAATTACTATTTAAGAGACCTTATATTCACCATGTACCGGAAGAACGCCGTTGAGTTTTAAGGATATTTGAGATGACGATGATCATAAATGAAACCACTGTTGGAAAATAGAATGGAATGTCTTTGCACCACCTCTAAAATACAAAGCCTGAAGCTATACTTTGGGGCCAATGAGCTGCCTCCCAGCTGGGATGCACCACATGTGGCAAGCCTAAAGTCTGGTGATTTGAGCAGTTTACTTGCTTTGGCATAAATGTATAAAAAAAATAATTAGTGTTTGCTTATTGTTTCCTTTAAGTAAAAGGAATTGTTATTAGTATTCAAAAAATCTCATTTGACACTCCAAATTTTCTATAATTATAAATAAATAAAAAATACTTGAGAGAAATGTAAAATAAGATTTTTAGAGTGTTAATAACAATTTCTTAAGTAAACTAATGTTTTATTTTTCAATCACAATTTAATTCACCAATTTTGACCCCCGACCCGCTCTAACAAAGAAAGAAACTTTAGACACTTCCGGAAACCGTTGGAAGCCAACGTTGTAAGTTCTACCACTCTCTCCGACTGAAAAACTCTCTAAGAAACAGAGAAAATAAGAAAAGGAAGCAACTTCTTGTTAGAGAGATGTCAGAAAACAGAGTCAGGACGATAAAGCTTCGCTGCCCATCGGCTGCGAAAACGGCGTCATTCGCTGCACCGGAGGAGCAGAAGCTGGACCTGGGCTCCATAGCCAGAGCGTTCGGGGTGGACCCACAAACGCTGAAGCTCAACGGACACTTCATCGGCAGAGGCTCCGACCTCATCGCTTCCTCGGTCACCTGGAAGTCCCTCCTCTCTTTCTTCTCCACCAAACGACTCCCCACGGGGGAAGACGACGCCAACCCCATCGTCGTCGACGGCAAGCTCTGCAGAGCTGGCACCAAGAGTGAGTAAATACTACTAAACCACTGCTTGTTTATGCGTTTTGGGCAAATAGGTCGGGTCGGATTCGATTGTTTCTTCGTTAGGATTGAAAAAGATTGAATCTTTTTGGTTTTGCAGGAGTTGGGTGTGACGTTGTTGATGATAGCAGTGGAAGAGAGGCAGAGTTGGAAGATGGGGAATTTTTGGGGATGAAGAGTAAAAAGATGAAGACGACTAGCAATGTTGGAATTTGCTCCAAGAGGAAGCAATTGTTGGAGGATGTGAAGTTGCTCAAAAAGTTGAAAATTAGTGAAACCAACCCAGGTATTTGTTAGTGATAGATAGGCACTTTGTAATCTGGATCAAGTTTTAATTTGTTTTCGGAAAAAGCATGCGTATTGATACTCTGTTACTGCCTATCATGACACTTGGAACAATATTGACATTATTGAGATGATATCGATCCAATGGATCGAATTTTTCCGAAGTTTTTTGGAGTGGTTTTTGGTTCATCTTTATGTTATTTAACTGGCTTTGTTAACCATTCAACCAGCTTGATGGATATTTTCAGATATTCAAGGAAGCAGTAATGGACTGTGCAAGAGCATCGCGAGCAACTAATTCAGTTGCAGTTATATGAGTGGGAGTATGAAGAGGATGACAGAAGATGAGGCAGGTGTGGCTTCTCCTTGCAAAAAGATTAGATGAAGTTCTCATGTTTGCTTGTTCTTAGTTTCCATCTATTTGGTGTCTCGTTCTCGTGCGCTACCTGTGGTCATTCAGTCCAGTTGGGGTTCTTACTATAGTAGAATCCTCGATTGGGGAGAATCCTCGATCACTCTAGAAATTTCACAAGCGAAGAAATCTCATAGCGTAGAAAAGAAAGGACAAATTGTTTTGATTCGAGGCGGATCCCTTTTGTGTTCCCTATTTTCCTTTGTAATTTTGGGCCAGATACACTTTATATTACTTGTAAATGATGAGAATATAATGCAAGAATAAGTCATATATAGGTTTCATTCACTCAGCCTAAAGTGAAAATAAAACGGATGCGAAAATCGAACGAAAAATTCGTACTCTAGGTTGAAACTTCCATTAGCCTTCAAAATATCCATCGGTAACAATAATGAACTAGAAATTGAGTTAAAAGATATAAAACATCTATAGACATGGTGGATGAAATATCTTATGAAGCCAGGGTTACCACACTTGCTTCAAGGTTTCACGGTCTCTGCAGCGGTGGTGTAGATGTAAGCGATCACTGATTCTCCGGCCAAGCTTCATCAGGTTGGTACAGGAGACTGACTCAGAATGAAGATGTTACCATTCCAACTGCAAGCAAACGTCAGAAGCTGTTAATTGAGTAACAAGCACAAGGACAGATTCCTGAGCACTAGATACGAGGTTTCACGGTCTCTGCAGCGGTGGTGTAGATGTAAGCGATCACTGATTCTCTGGCCAAGCTTCATCAGGTTGGTACGGGAGACTGATTCAGAATGAAGCTGTTACCATTCCAACTGCAAGCAAACGTTAGAAGCTGTTAATTGAGTAACAAGCACAAGGACAGATTCCTGAGCACTAGATATCTCACTTTCTTTCTGCAAATGATCGAGTTGAGCAACTGGTCCCCAAGCTGAAGGTACACGGTCAAAGACTTGGTAAGCACACATCTTCCACTGATCTTCCTCCTGAAAATTTGAATTCAAGGACCAGCTTGTATGTAATTTTGTTTCATGGGAATAATTTTGTTTCTTGGGAATAAGTCGTAACGGTTCTCTAACTATCGGCTTCTACAACAACTATAAGTGTTTGCCGAAGAGAAATTCCTGAGCCTACCCCATCTGATTCAAATTCACCAGCCCAAGCGCTAACTCTGTGAATGATAAAATCCTTTGTACATAGATGGTCTATCCATTAATGCAGAAAGCCAGCTTTATCTCTGCACAGAAGAGCTTGAGCCAGAAAGTTAGCTTCTCGGTAAACAGCCTTGCGGGGAAATGTACCATACCTCAAACTGCCTGGCACCGGGCGATAGCCCCATTCAGGGCCAAAATACGTCGTAGACGATTCCAGGAAGTTGATTGATGCACAAAACTGAAAGAGCATGGGTTAAATTCTTCCAAGAATCATCCACCTGTTCTGAGAGACATCAAAGACAGCCCACAACTCCAACTCCAGAATGCTTGGCAAAGTTGCTTGCTATGGGATCAAACCCACTAGTGATCATATCCAGCAGCCTTGTGTGAAAGATAATTCCATTTCCTTAATATGAGACTTCTGAACGTGTCCAACCAACACTACCCCGCAAGTTATATCGTAAATGTTAACCCAGTATCTCAGATTCAATGCAGATAGAGAGAAAGAGAGAGAGAGAGAAAGAGAAAGAGAAAGAGGATTGTAGAGAGAATTCAGAGGGAAAAGTTATGATGTATTATTATGCTTGTTAAGGAAGCTATTACAAGATGGAGTATTTATACTCTTAGTAAACCGACTCTTCTAACCAATATAACAGACTAGCTAATCTGTTTACATGTGGCATCATCTCAGCCTTACATTCTTATACTTCTAACATCCCCCCACAATCTCATGCGGGGAACTGCCAAGCATGAGATTGGTACAATGAAACTTAAACAAAGGAGCACTCAATCCTTTTGTGAGAATATCCGCAAACTGTTCTTGAGAAGACACAAACTGAACACTCAATTTATTCTTGGCAACCCTCTCGCGAACAAAATGAACATCTATCTCAATATGCTTAGTGCGCTGATGTTGGACAGGATTGAAGGATAAGGCAATTGCTGAAAGATTATCACAAAACAACACAGGAGAAGAACAAACAGAAACCTTCAAAAAAGTCAGAAGTTGTTGGATCCAGTTTAACTCAGCAGCCGTGGAAGAGAGGGCCCGATATTCAGCTTCAGTAGAGGAACGAGAAACAGTTTGTTGTTTCTTAGATGACCAAGAGATGGGATTGGTACCTAAAAAGACAACTAAACCGGTTGTAGACCTCCTATCATTAGGATCCCCTGCCCAGTCAGCATCACTAAAAGATTTGAGATGTAAATCACCCTTGGAATATGTGAGCCCCAGATGCATAGTCCCTTTCAAGTACCTTAAGATCCTCTTCACTGCTGTAAAATGAGACTGCATTGGTGCTTGCATAAACTGGCACACCTGATGAACAGAAAAAGCAATATCGGGCCTAGTAAATGTAAGATACTGAAGAGCCCCGACTATACTCCTGTACATGGTTGGATTGTTATAGGGTTGACCATCATCCTTCAAGAGCCGATTATAAGGGAGACAGGGAGTATCACAAGCTTTAGAATCAATCATTTCTGTTTTATGCAGCAGATCCCGTATGTATTTAGTCTGTGATAAGAACAGACCATTGGAACACCTAGTAATCTGAATACCCAAGAAAAAATGGAGAGTGCCCAAATCCTTGATATCAAACTCAGTTGTGAGAGAGTGAATGACCTGTGTAATTGCTGCAGAACTGCTCCCTGTGATGATTATATCATCAACATACAACAATAAAATCACAACTGATTCACCAGCATGCTTGACAAAAAGAGAAGAATCAGAATATGTATGTTGAAACCCCAGAGAAGGTAGAAATGCAGTAAACCTTTCATTCCAAGCCCGAGGGGCTTGTTTCAACCCATAGAGGGACTTGTGTAACTTACACACTAATTCAGGTTGTTTAGCATCTACAAACCCAGGAGGTTGAGCCATATATACCTCCTCTTGAAGAACACCATGCAAAAAAGCGTTTTTGACATCAAGTTGGCGAAGGGGCCAATCAAATTGAGCTGCTAATGCCAAAACTAACCTGACAGTAGTTGGCTTGACTACAGGACTGAAGGTTTCTCCATAGTCTAAACCAGGTTCTTGGCTAAACCCTTTTGCGACCAACCGAGCTTTATGCCGAGCTATAGAGCCATCAGAATGTTTTTTGACCTTGAAGACCCATTTGCAGCCCACTAAGTTCTTTTGAGGTGGTAAAGGAACCAAACTCCATGTCCCTTGTTTATACAATGCATCGAGTTCTTCTGTCATAGCATTGAACCAAACTGGAACCTTGAGTGCAGATTTGTAAGTAGCAGGTTCCACCAAAGAAAGATCAACTGGTGGAGATTCATCAAATGTGGTCAAGAGTACCTTCTTTTTAACAATTCCACTTTTACTCCTTGTTTGCATAGGATGTAAATTGAGGGGAGGTATGGGTAATACAACTTGTAGACTATCAGGACTAAAATCAAATGCCACAGGGATCGCAGGATAGGAATGTGCAGCTGCAGTAATGGACTGAGGAACAGAATTGAAGGTGACTGGTTGTGAGGGTACTAATGAAGGAGGAGTGGAAACAGATGGATGTAATGGGGTAACAGTAGGACTATGAGATGATAAACTTGGTGACACAGGTATAGAAGATGTATGTGATGAGGAATGAGATGGGAATGTAACTAATTCATTAAGACTATTAGTGATAGGGAATGGATGTGTAAAAGAGGCTGCTGTAGAAGACTGTGTAGATGACTTATGGAAAGAATGAACTGATGTCAATAAGGCTGAATAAGGAAACTCTGTCTCATCAAAGATCACATGTCTAGAAATGTAGAATCTTTGACTTAATACCTCATAACATATATACCCTTTATATTTAGAGGCATACCCAAGAAAAACACATTTGGCTGTTTTGGGTTGCAGTTTAGTATTGTTGTAAGGCTTAAGAAGAGGATAACAGGTACACCCGAAGACCCTTAAGTGTGAAAGAACAGGTAAATCCCCAAACAAAAGCTCAAAAGGTGACTTATTCTGCAAAGTTGCAGAGGGCATCCTATTGATGAGATAGTTAGCAGTTTGACAACCAAATGACCAAAACCGGGATGGCAATTGAGCAGCTTGGAGAAGTGTAATTGTGGTTTCTACAAAGTGTCTATGTTTCCTTTCTGCTAAACCGTTTTGCTCAGGGGTATAAGGACAAGCAATTTGATGGGAAATGCCTTTGTCTTTAAGAAACCTTTGAAATCGGTGACTGAGGTATTCCCCACCCCCATCACTTTGTAACAATTGAAGAGAAACAGAAAATTGGTTCAACACAAATGAATAAAAACCAACAAATGTGTCAAACAAATCTGATTTATTGATGAGAGGAAACAGCCAACAAAACCGAGTACATTCATCAATGAATGTTACATAATATCGAAAACCATCAGCAGAAATACATGGTGCTGGCCCCCAAATGTCACTATGAACAACTTCAAAAGGTTTAGCAGCCTTATTGACACTACAATGAAAGGGCAGTTTGCTAAACTTGCCTTCTAAGCAACTTTGACACAACATAGGTAATGATGATTTTGTACAAGGTATGTTAGCTTTACTGAGCATTAAAGACACAATAGGGTTTGAGGGATGACCTAGTCTACTATGCCAAATAGTAGATGTGACAAGCTGACCAAGAAAGGCTGTGGGTTGCAAAATCGATTTCTGAGACGCAGGAAGATGATTGGCAAGTGAAGGTATGGAATATAGCCCATTACTGCAAATTCCTTTGAACAGTATCCTCCCTGTAGCCTTGTCCTGTATCCAAAAATTATACGCATCAAATATGAGCCAACAGTTGTTGTCAAGGCAGAGTCTATGCACAAATAACAAGTTTTGAGACAATTTAGGCACATATAGTATAGAATTCAGCTTAATGGGATGAATATGAGGTTTGAGAATAGTACTCCCAATATGAGATACTTTCAGACCTTCACCATTAGCAGTGTGCACTGTTTCAGAAGTAGGATAAGGAGTGGCCAAAGTCAAATTGTTGAAGTCAGCAGTCATATGGTTGGTGGCACCAGAGTCTGCAATCCAAACCTGAGGGGAAGCAGCCGGAGTGGAGGACATGCCAGGTGTTGACTGGGAGGGTTGAGAAAGCACAATGTTCATTGCTTGCATAGAGTATTGTGGAGGAGAGGAATTAGAGAACATGCCAAACTGTGGTTGTGACAGGCGAGGATCTTTATCCTTGTGAAAACAATACTGAGCCGTGTGATTCTGTCGGCCACAAATGTAGCACTTAGGCTTGAACCGGAATTGATTAGGACAGGAAGGTGCAGTGTGTCCTTCTTGATAGCAGAGTTGACAAGTATTAAAAGGATCAGGATAACTGCCATAAGCTGGTGGAGGTGCATGACCAAGAAGACCTGGACTCGGAGTTGGAAGCACTTGGGTTTGAGTGTTATATGACTGCCTTGGCATGTGGAATCTGTTGCCTGAATTAAACTTGCCCTTGCCTTTGTATTTATTGTTGGTTTGCCAAAACCCATAAGTGGATTGCCCAGAATTAGAAGAAAGACCAGAGGAATTAGCACTAGAACCCCTGTCAGTAGTAGAAGAACTGGTAGCCAACATTGCAGACAGCAGCTGAGCATTATTACTGGCATCAACAATTCCTTCCTCAGCAAGCAATTGAGAGCGAAACTCTTTCAACGAGATAACCTTTTCTCTTCCACGAATGACACATCGAAATGTGTTATATTCAGGAGGTAATCCATTTAAAGCCAAAATCACAATGTCTTCATCTTCAAAGAACACTCCTGCAGCAGATAGATAATCGCGAGCCTCTTTGATTCTCTGCAGATACTGAGAAATTGTATTGGAGCCTTTCTTAATATTTTGTAAGTCAGACTTCATCTGAAAGATACTAGTTCTTGAAACTATCGAAAAATTGTCTTTGAGACGAGTCCAAATGTCCTGAGAACTAGTACTCCCTATAGCACAAGAAACAGCTACAGGGGATAGTGTAGCCGTTATCAACTGCATAAGGGCACGATCATGCATTTTCCACACTTTATAATCATCAGTTTCGACAGTAGCAGATGAATCACCAGAACTTACTTCAGATGCAACAGAAGAAGATACAAAACGAGGAGGACATGGGGACGAACCATCAACAAACCCCATAATTCCATATCCCTCCAGCATTAATTCCATTTGAAAATGCCAATTAATGTAATTAGAGTCATCCAATTTGACATTCACAGAAGTGGACACAGAAGAAATCAACCCAGTAATCGGAGATTGCAAAATTTGAAGTTGCGAAGCAGTAACCATGGTTGTATACAAAGAAACTGAGTGAGATAATACCTTTCTGTGGCTCAGACAAACAAACAAACACCTGGTGTGCAGTCAAGAAACACCCAGAAAACAAGAATCAGAACTTGATGTAGAAACCCTAGAATCTTGAACACCAAGAAAAAACACCAAGAGAAGAGACGATGCAGCGCCAGAGTAGCAGACGAAGACTGGTAGAATGCGGAAGCAACAAAGGATCGGATCTTTATGCGTGATCAACAATGGCGATTGATACCATGTTAACCCAGTATCTCAGATTCAATGCAGATAGAGAGAAAGAGAGAGAGAGAAAGAAAGAGAAAGAGAAAGAGGATTGTAGAGAGAATTCAGAGGGAAAAGTTATGATGTATTATTATGCTTGTTAAGGAAGCTATTACAAGATGGAGTATTTATACTCTTAGTAAACCGACTCTTCTAACCAATATAACAGACTAGCTAATCTGTTTACATGTGGCATCATCTCAGCCTTACATTCTTATACTTCTAACAGTAAAGACTGAATGCCCATGCCACATTCAGGTTGCAAAGTTGTATTAGACAACAATCATAACAGAAACCTAAAGTTTCTCCCTGAATCATTATTCGACACTTCTAGTTTCACATTCTTCCGCACACCGTATACAAGATCCAACCTTTATGTGGCAGGAGATCTTGAATTCAAATTTGGTTTATCAAGCTACGTCAGGCACTGTTATTAAACAAAACCCAGATACAAGATTCAAACTTTTTCTCTGCAGTGCATTAATCGATGCCAAATTTAGTAGATTTGAAAAGAAAAAATGCCAGAGGCAAATGTGATGACTTACCAGCTGAGATATGGCTTTGGGGAAGAGATGGTGGCAGCAGCCATTGGACCCTGCCCCGGAAGTGGAAGTGGGCCAGCACCTTTCGGTCTGGCAATGGCATCACAAACAACTCCGAGAAATCTTCTCGACCGATTCCGAGGCAGCTTGGGGAATGGAGAATTGGGGAGAAAAGTAAGAGAGAGAGCAAGAGGACTGGATGTCTGAGAAGGAGGAGGAAGGCTATGAGGTGGAGGAGTGGGCGAGCTTTAAAATCGGAGTTTGGGCAGCGTTGCGGGAGTGGCTTTAAGATGCGGGCCAACGGGCGGCGATTCAGATAGTCCGCCGTGGGAGAGCGTAGCCGGACTTTGATCAGTGAACTAATCGATTAATAAGTTCATACAACATTAACCATCCATTTCACAGTATGTTTTATAATATAATCTAAACTAATTATGTTTTAGGTCATTGCTGGTAGATCATTCCTGCAAAATTTGCTTCAAGCAAAACTCGTTTAGATCATTTGGCAAAAAAATAAACTAGTATTCATCTTCATTAGTAAGTAAAGGGTCTTAGTTTCAATTATCGCTAAAATTAAATTTGAACAACATTGTTGCTAGCCCACTGTGAGATTAAACTCACCTACTATTCTTTAGTGTAGATAATATTGTTTGTTAAAAAAAATCACATTAGTAAGTAAAAGGTTTTAGGTTCAATTCTCACTAAAAGCGAATTTGAACTACATTATTGCTAGCTCATTGTGAGGTTAAGCCCACCTCTTCTTCTTTAATGTAGATAATATTGTTTGTTAAAAAAAATCATAAGAATAGATTGTTAATTGAGCATTGGACCCAAACGAGTAATTGGCTTACTAATGGGAAGGGCAGTACATGATGAGTAAATTGTAGTAATGGTTCTTTAATCACTCTTGAGATTTAATCACTCTTGAAATATGATTTGGAGTAAATTGTAGTAATGGTTCTTTAATTTTAACTTAATTGAAGCAATGGTTCATCAACTAAAAATCCATTATTATTGGTTCCTCAACTCACCAAAATGTGAAACTATAGTCCCTCAACTAAAAATATATTACCATTGGTTCCTCAACTTTAATCCAACTGGAGAAATGGTCCCTCAATTTTAATCCAATTGGAGCAATGATCCCTCAACTTTAACCCAATTGTAACAATGGTCCTTCCAACATAACTCATTTTGACAAAATTTTGACGAAGTTGACGAGAATGACCATAACTACACGTTTTGATGAGTTGAGGGACCCCAATTATAGCAAAGGTCATTCCAATATAACTCATTTTGACAAAATTCTAACGAAGTTGACGAAAATGACCATAGCTACATATTTTGATGAGTTGAGAGACCAATTGTAATAGATTTTTAGTCGAATGATCATTGCTCTAATTTGATTAAAGTTGAAAAACTATTACCACAATTTATTTTTGATTTGTTATATCCATACATGTAAGAAAAACCCACGGTTATTAAACTGTGCCTATGGATCGTGGCCTTTGTCCCGTTCTCTAGTAGTGAAACTTCTTCAATCTATCCATTCAGATCGCACTCTGGTTTCCTTGGAAAACCAGCTGAACAATAGTCATATACCAAAAATCTTCTAATATCCTCGTATTTTTGTCGTTCGTTGGAGTCAAGTTCCCAATGCTTCCTACTGTTCCACCAATATCTGTGCCCATAACAATCTTTGATGGAGTTCTGTGGTGTGCAGCCGTTTACGTCAAATCCTTGGTAGTGAGCTTTAAAAGGTGCATATCTCCAATCTATATCTGCATCACGAGTTGCCCACTCTGCGTTCCACAAGCTTGCTTGTATTTTCATTGGTTTTGATATGTAGGGAACTCCAAATTTTTTGTTGTTCTTGAAAATCCTAATTGGGAATTGGTCAACATAAAATCTACAAAACGTATAAAAGAGAAAAAGTTAAATAAGTGAAATGTTAAGTTGTTAGACTGTGAATCAAATCACTCATTTAACAGTTTTGATTCATATATAGTAATTGTCTAACAATGTAAAAGACACATGATGACGGGAAGAACAATATGTGGATGTGACTATTACACAATTTGATGGTGGTTGTAATGAATTTTTGTAGTTGTGATAATTATTATTGTTTATTACAAGCGGTATTTTATATTATTCTACATAATATTTAATAATGGTTCTAATGAATCTTCCTACTCAAGATAGTTTTTTTTATTTTTTTTTTTATTACAAGCGACATTCTACACTAATTTACAGTAACGAAATGAGGAGAGTTGAGACGTTATGGGTTAAATAGGAAGATTTAATTACCAAGACAATTCACCACTTTCCTCTAGTTGTGGTAATTAGTAGTGGGGTAAAAGAAAGAATAATGCTATTATCGATAGCATAAACATCGGGGTAACATAAACAATACTGCATGTGAAACCACATATATTAGACACATCAAATATGCTAGTTTTTTGTGTCTAAATAGCATTACTCGAATAACTAGATATGTGAATTAAAATCATGACTTTAGATTAGTTATGTGTATTCTGACAAATGCAAATAACATTTGATGATTGGGAGGCTAAGACATGGAGGATGTGATTCTTACACAATTTGATGGTGGTTCCAAAGAATTTGGTAGTCATGATACTCAGTGGTGGGGTCAAACCAAAATGTCATGGTTTCCTCTCTACCGCCCTGACCATCTATAAAAACATTTGTCAGCAATAATTTTTCCCCCCCGGGTTTGCTTCCCAAAAGCTCAAAGTCCAGCTCATCCTGATGAGGTTCATCGCCTGAAGTTAGCTGCATATACATATATATAATTATTAATGCAAGTCACCAATGAATATTTTGCCTCGATCGGCCATATTTTGGGACAATAATATTAATTCATGGAGAAAAAAAAAAGAAAAAAAAAAAGAGAATGGATGGAATAATATTCACATAAAAAGTTGTGCAAACATCAGCAGTATTCCAGGCTTCTGGTAATCTGATCCTCATGTGAAAGAACCCAGAACCATAGCTTAGCTTGGATATAAACCCTGCGCCTGAAATGTGCAATGTACTTAATAAATCAAATATTTATATCTATTTAATTTAAGATAAATAAAGGAAAGAGAGAGATAAATAATTATCCTTATTTATGGTTAATTACCCTCCATCTATAAAAGTCTTAAAGAGAGTAAAATCTCACATGTTCAACTTTGTTTTTCTTAATTTCTTGATTAAGGTGGGTATGATGGACCAACTACAGTAGTCAAGAATCAATCAAAATAACTGGCTTCGTGGTTTCTTTCTCATAACATGCAATTGATACTAAAAGTTAAAGTTGACACGGTAAACACATAAAGTTAATTTATCAGTCTTAATTTACTCCATATTTAACCGTAGTTTTGGTGAAGAAATGGAAAGAAATCGACAAAAACAGCTCATGAGAAGGAAACAAAAATATTTGTCGGTGATTAATCATGCGTGGGGAGAGATTTTCATTAGTTGAAGAAAATATGGAAATGATAATGAAAGATGTTATTGGCACTTTGTAATTAAGGTCATTATGCACTTCTTCATGGTCATTATGCACTTCTTCATTTATCCCTTGTGTTTTTAACAAAATTAGTTCCTGATGACTTTTTTGCATTGTCAATAACGTCGCCCTTGATAATAATCCGAAGTAATTCCTTGAAATGCTAGAGTTCTATCTCTCTTGATTCAAAGAGGAAAAATGAGCATGATATATACCATTACCATGTGAGCGTTTATAGTTTATATGGCTGGTTACACTCTTGCAAGTATCCAACCAACATGTAGAAGAAACGCACAGAAACGCATCATTAAAAACAGCCATTTTTAGAAGGGAAAAAAAAAAAAAAAACTACTACTAATCAATGTTTTCAATTTTTTATTTTTATTTTTATTTTTGACAAACGATAGATAATCTACCTTAAATTATATGACTGTGTAAAGAGGAAAGAGTTTGAATCCGAGACACAATAGATTGAATAGGAAAACCTTATCCACTGCTTATATCAGCGTTTTCACGTTGGGCAATGGATAGATAATCTACATTTAAATCATATAATGATGGTGAGGAGCATGGTCAAGGTATGTAACCCTAGCCTTTGCCCCAAGCCCATATATGTACTAGTTTTATTAAACTTATGAGTTATGATATTTCTTTATTTTTAAAATCAGTTAGGAAAGAACAAAAAATTTCATATGTGCAACTCGCAAACAAAAAATTTCATATGCGCACCTCACAATTTTTTTTTTTCAATCTTTATTTTTTCATTTAATTGTCAAAATTTTGTTTGGGATGGAAAATTTTCACGGTTGGGTAAGTGTGTCAGTTTTTTGGTGTGACAGTCACACAGCACTTGATGTTACTAACATATACTATGCCCTCGGTTTCACAAATTGTCATATTCCTCACATGTCATTAATCAATCTGAAAAATATAAATTGTGATCAAGAGATCAAAATTTATGCAAATTAATAACAGAGTTTGAATAATGAATGCATGAAAGAGATCATGGATCGTTAGCATAAAAAATTCAAACAAAGAGGACAAGAAGAGGATGAATAATTGAATATTTAAATTGTGATATATGATGATAACCCGAATTATTATCCAAGGAAAGCTCGACTTCTCTCCCTTGATACCGAGATTTGAAATGATCAAATCCCCATTTGACTTCATAGTTCTCATCATAGAAAATGTCACGTGCAAGCATCCCACCAACAAGTTGGAGAATTAACACAAGGAAACCCAGCACTGGAAAATCCATTTTAATCCAAGACCCTAGTGCCCCTATAGTGGTGGTGGTGCAAGCTATAAAAACATATATGTGCTGTTTTTATATAAGTGTGTGTGTGCCTGCGTGTGTGAGGTTTAAACGTCTTCCTGTAAGAAATCCAAATTAGAGAGAAGCAGAAAGTGTGTGAGCCATCATTCTCTCTACCTTACAGCTGATCTGTTTCCCACACGCTATTGACTTCTCCGGATATCCTATCTCCATAACAAACTACATCTCGTATTAATTTATGCATGATAAAAAAGGCCTCAAAAATTGTAAACGAGTAATATATGTTTAATAATTAGTTCATAAGTTTGTATATATACAAACGATACTAGAGGAGGAGGAAACAAACAAATAAGATCGGGTGTACGAGTAAATGCTTTTAATTAATTAAAATGTTATATGCCCCCTTGCAAATAAGTTATGTTGTTTAGAAGCATCCTGTAATACATGTAGGTCTCACATAAATTGGTATGTTCCACCTTCGTTGAAGAGTATCAATTTTGTGTATTGGTATTAATGTTGGAGAATAGAGTATCACAATGACAAAATACAATACAACTTATACATGGTATATTCCACCCTAGACCCTCGGTCTGTTATAATAAACCCTACATCTGACCATTTAATACATGATACACATCATCAATATTCTTCCTGGTGTGCTCCTCTCCCTTCAATGGAAATTCACCATTTGTGGAAGAATCTCCAAATCTAATCAGTACGTTAAAATGATGAACAAAAACCCTGCAACCTCCGTCAAGAGGTCCTGTGCAGCGATTACAGATGTAATCCTTCTTCTTCCCCAATAATGAACAAATTATCCTTGGCTTAGAGGATATGAAGATTCCTCAAACCATAAGCCAATTTCCATCTCTTGTTAAGCCAAAAACAAGGCAAAGATCGGTAGTGAATCTCGTGATGGAGGAGAAATTAAGACCATGACAAACTGAGAAAGACGCACCAATGCAAAAACTGACGAAGACGCCCAAACCCTGACGGCAACAGTTAAACGTGGAAATCATTTTGCTTCTAGAAGAAAAAAAAAACTAAACATAATTATTGCTGATGTGTTATATTTTAAATCGTTAGATTACTAATTACCGGCTTGGATGCTGTGAAATACGGTTGAATGCACAAAGTCTAAATGTAAAGACTCAATTTTCGTCCCAAAAAAATGTAGAGACTTGGAATCTATTCAGGTTAGCTTTGAGTAAAGTTTGACGTCCGAAATAATTAAAGAGGACCAAATATTGTTGTATCAAAACAACAGAAAAAGTATAAGCTTGCAAAGCAAGCCAGGGTGCGTACGCTCATGCATAGTTTGACCAAATTATGTAGTTATAATTTTTGTCACGTGACAATGTTGAGTGACAAAATAATGCAATCCAAAATAGCCTAAATATTGAAATTTAGCGAAGCGTCTCGCTATGAGAATCTAGCTTCGCTAACGCTCGGCTAAGTCTTGAACCTTCGCGCTGACCGTTCGCTTTCTCAGTAGCAAAAGCGCTTCTCTTTGCCCCTTAAGTAGAAGGACAAGAAAGATCTTTTTGGTTTTATTGCTCCCTCACATCTGCGCTCGTCAAGCCAACTTTGCTTTTTGGGAGGTGAAACAGCGGTTGAAGCGGACATTTCGAAATGACAGCATCGAAGATATATTTATATATACACGGTCACGGTTATCCCGGACTGCGTTCCGGAAAAAGTGGCCCGCTTGAAAGAAAGGGCGGGCACTCTCGTGTTTCAACCCCACTATATACTAACAACCTCTACGATAAGCAAGTGAATGGGGAGATTTCTTGTGTGTGTGTGTGTCTACATATATATATATATATATATATATATATATATATATACACACACACATATATATATATATATATATCTTTTAACAATATTATTTTGTTACTCAATAGCAAGAACAATCTTGTACAAGTTTTTATCGAAGTTTTTGGTCGTTGCATAAGAGGGTTTTCGTACAAAAAAGGGTCTGACGTCACAACTTATTGCGTTTTGGCTGTCCTACTGTTGTAATTAGGCTATAAAGGTTACTAACCCCACATTAACAACTGAACCATTTTACTTGGCATTCCTTGAAGTCTCATTTCTGAGACAATAAATAGAGAAATATATTCGTAATCATAAGAGGCATAGTAATCCTTACACCATATCTGAACAAAAAGCCTAATCCTTCCTTAGTTAACTAGTTTGTGTTCTGTTAAAAATAAAAAAAAATAAAAAAGAAAAAACTAGTTTGCGCATGTTTGTCTTAAACTCTTTTGACAAACGATATGGATAGTTACAAGGATACTTAATTATCCCGTTGATCATTTGTAAAAAAATAAATAAATAAATAAAGAAAAACAATAGAAGACAAATTAAAAAACTGATAAAAGAAGGCTTTTTGTTTCAACAAAAAACTAGCTCTCTGTAATTCATGTTCAGCAGATGAATGTACTTTGTTATTCAAGTCATCAAATTGCAATGGCATAGCGGCCTAAGTATGATAAAATTAATTAATTAGTCAATTAGTCATGCATCACATACATATAAAAATTTCTAACCATCCTATTTAACAAGTACAATGCAAATGTTCTTCAGAAAATACCAATAAATTTCATCTGAGATAATTACAGCACCAATTGGTACTTTATTAAAAGTATTATTTCTCCCTTTATTCTTTTGGTAAATTGTTTCCCTTGTTTATTTGTATTCTAATATTTCTGACCATTATGTAGCTGACCATTTTTCTGAATAACGCACTCTCGGGGAAGCCCGGAAGGGTACTTAGCCTTGTCATCACAGTAGTCGTAGTTCATGTATTTCTTTCTCACATTCTCGTATGCCTTCTGTTGGGTAGAATTTAGGTTCCAATACTCCATGTTGTTCCACCAATGATTGGAGCTATAACATTCTTCAACATCGGAGTTCTGTGCTGAGCACCCACTTATGTCAAATCCTTGGTAGTGAGCTACAAATGGTGCGTAAGTCCAATTTATCTTATGCCCGAAAGTTGCCCAATCTGCAGTCCACAAGGCTGCTTCGATTCGCATTGGCTGCGTCGGGTACGGAACTCCATAGTTTGTGTAATTATTGAAAACCCTAATTGGGGTGTCATCGATGAAAAATCTGCAAATAAAGAGGAGACTGTAAATTTGGACCTCAAGTTTACATGATCGATAAGTGAAGAATAGTCTAACAAGAGAACGATATATTTCATGGTATTGGAGAGATGGGAGATTGATTCTTACACAACATGATGAGGGTTCCAAAAAATTTTGTAATCGTGGAAATTTCCTGCTGGGTCAAACCATAGGTTAATCCTTTGCTCTCTGTTCCCCACACCATTTACAAACACATTTGTTTGCAATGTGATTTGCTGGCCTTCTATGTTACCCAAGAACTCAAAGTCCAGTTCATCATGCTGACTAGCGCTAGCCTTTGACATTAGCTGCATGTGTGTATGCATAAACATAGGTATGCATATTAATTTAAGAAAATTAGATTCCATGGCAACAAGAGGATACATTAAAAAAAAAGAAAACAAATCTATATTATTATAAAGAGAATTATGGAAAAATATATCTCACATAAAAACTTGTGACAACTCCTGCAGTATTATTGTTCTCTGGTATCTTCATCCTCATATGGAAGAACCCAGAACTGTAGTTTAGGTACGAAGCAAATTTACACCCTGCAATGACCAAGTAGCTATTCAAATATTAGAAAAGAGGAAAGAGCTCATAAAGCCAAACGTAACTAATCGAAAACACTAATTGCTTTTTTTCTTTTTTCTTTTTTTGTTACCAGCTCTTTTATATATATGTTTTTTATAGCATGAAAGACTCACAAGTAAGAAGACTTACAAAATCCTTGGTCATCTCATATGTTTTCTAATTTCCTAGAAGTACATTCCATAACATCTATGGTTTGTTGGACATATTTTTCAAAAAATCATGCAAAATAGAGACCAAATTATGTCACACAGGTCGATATATATACCTATAGGGCACATGCCATTTACTTGATAGAAAGAAACGTGATAATCATCACAACTATCAAAATGCAAATATTAAAAGATAGTTAATCATGAAATATCATTAGCACATCTAACAAAAATAAGAAGATGAAGATGATAACCGGAACGATTATCCAACGTAAGCTGGAGTTCGCTCCCTTGATTCAGAGACAATATGTGATCATTTCCCCATATGAACTCATAATTTTTATCGAAAGCAATGTCATCATTTTCAGCTGCAAATATCCCACCAAGTAGAAATAAAAACACAGAGATCACTGAAAAAGCCATTAGTTATAAGCTAAACCTGTAGAGGGAGATTGCTATCAGATTTTAGGTTGTTCTGGTGCCTGTGTGGTTATGGTGGTGCAAGCAATATATATATATAGATGATGATTTGAGGCGTTGAAGTTTTTCCTAACAACACAAAAAACCCAAAAACGAGTGTGAGTCATATATCATGATCGAGAGCCTTCACCAACTTTGTTACTTGTTACTTGCATGCTTTTGACTTCACCTATTGGTGTTACTAGGCTAAAAGGCCATGGCCCCACTTCTCATTTCAACTTTTGAAGAGATCTTTTAGTGTGCCAGGAATATAACTCATTCTAACTTTTGGACCGTCTGATTTGGAGTTGATTATCTTTTGGTATATTTTGCTAAAAACAAATTAATCCCAACAATCTAATCTGGAGTCTGTGACTTCTGTTGCAGCAAAGCGTCATCAGCTACGATTGAATGACTTTTCATTTTCACCTTTTTATTTATTTTTAATTCAATGCGTCATTCAATCTTAAATCTCAAAACCACTAATTTTGATGGCTAAGTTAAATGGGAAGAATACCGTGTAGTAGGTGTTGGTTCACTCTCCCTGGTATGAACAAAAGGAATATAGATAATGTGAAAGGTAGCTTTTTTAGACTGGCGTTGAAATTACTTCGATCCCTTAAAGCTCTATGTCTAGGTAGAAACCTAAATGAAAGAAAATTGCCAAAAGGTAAAAAGGGGAATATATTTGAGTACCACAACTTATGCAGCAAGCTAGTCATAGAATGGTCATCTCTCATTAATTAGTAAAATGTTAATTTTATCTTTAATACTTATTATCTACACTATGAAATAGGACAGTGAACTAAGCTTACAATGAGCAGTCATAATAATTATATGCATTGTTTACCACTTTTGTATTCACATTGGCCGCCATAAGAATATTGCAAACAAGAATATGAATTTTTCTCTAATAATTTTAATATTAAATAAGTATCGAATTCGGATTAGATCATATTTTTATTGTATTGAATTGAATTTGTAGCCAGTATTACACACTAGAATAATATTGAAAATAAAAAGATAGACAATTTACAGCTTAATTATTTCACTTGGCATTCCTTGAATTTTTCTCTTCTGAGAGAACAATAATCATAAAACAGATATTTCTGAGTCACATTCTCATAAGATCTTTGCTGCTCTGCGGTCAGATCCAAATAATCTTTGTCGTTCCACCAATAGTTATGGGATTGAGAAGAGCATTTGGCTCCAAATTGGCATCCATTTATATTAAATTTTTGATAATGTGCTTGGAAAGGTGACTGAGACCAATTTACTTTTCTGCCATTTGATGCCCAAGATTCTCCATTCCATATGCTTCCTTCCACAAACATCTTCAGTTCAGGGTACCTTGCTCCCAACATTGTATTGTTCTTGAACACTCTAATTGGGATGTTATCCACAAAAAACCTAGAATAAAAGCATGTACGAACTATATCAATAAAACTAATCATACCACATCTCTCACTTATTAACATGCTTCACAAACTATATGTAAATTTCACATCTTTTAAAATGTCGGTCAACAAATTAATAAATCTAGCATGCGCGTTTTAGTGTTTACTCTTATTACGCTATCTATTTTCCGAAAAAGTAAACAAAGAATATACATTAAGATATAACAATTAAGGAACAATAAAGAAAGCTACAGTCTTTTGTAGTTTCTGAGTTTGCTTACACTACTTGGCTATAGTTCCATAGGATTCCATAATTATGAAAATCCTCGGTGGGATCAAACCAAAGATGAAGCCTCTGCTCTCTCTCCCCATTGTCATTTGCAAAAATATTTGTTTGTAAGGTATAATTTGGCCCATCGATCGGTACCCAAGAACTCGAAGTCTAGCTCGTCATGGTTTCCAGGCTTATTATCTGGATGTGAAGTTAATCGTCAAAATAATGCATGCAAGAAGTTAATGCATAGTTTTATGCATGCAACAAATTAAGGAACTTTGATATTAAACCCTAGCTAGGGGGTAGTTGGTGGGCAACTTGCAAAGTTTGTTTGATTTCCAATCACCTTCAAAAGGTAACGTCATACGATATGCTTACATAAAATGTTGTGACAACTCCAGGAGAATGGCTTGATGGCAATTTCAGCTTCATTTCAAAGAAACCCGAACCATATCCGTTCTTGGAATTAAATCCAGATCCTAGCATGCATTAATATGATACATAAGATTACAATTACCCAACCATGAAAAAGGAGATAATATTTACCCTAAGTGTGAGGAAATTAGATAGAATTAGAACCTGTAGTTTGGTCCAAAGAAAGCTGAACATCTCTTCCTTGGTTTAGTTTCAAGAAATGATCATTTCCATATCTGACGACGTAGTTTTGGTCAAAACTAACGTCGTCCTCAGCTGCTTCGCCTACATCATGCTTTCTAACAACTAGTACAACTAGTACTAGCAAAAATAGCAGAGAATACCAGGTTATCATGAATACTGATCAAGAAAAATGTTGTAATTAAGCAAAGATATTAAAGAAGTTGCTAGCTAGCTAGGGTTCTGTTTCATACAAGCTCTAATGAAAACTCTATATAGTTTTATTTGTAATAAAACAGATTGTTTAAGAGCTTCGATCGATATTTGCAATGTGTGGCCTCTTATTTCATAACAAGCTTTTGAAATGTTTAATTTAGATTGGAGATAAAATTTTCTAGCTCCAGTCGATGTTAATTATGTTTAATTAACATATGCCGTAGAATATATAATTAGGGTTAACTAGAGACACCTAGACCAACCATGTCAAAGAGAAGAGGGAGGCTGCAGGCGATCACACAAAACAGAAGCATCCACAACCACAGGTGGCACTGGCAGGCGTACGTTTTTATATTTATCGTTTTTAACAAACCACTACTACAAAAGGGGATATTACTGTGAGAGTAAAAATGACAAGAAACACTACTTACTATCAAATTATTGGTAAAAATCCGACATTAAATCGTGCAATGTCGGATAGAGAAACCGACACCAATGCTACCGTCACAAAAAGGGTATTTACATCGCTTAGGCCCCTTAATCCGCCACCATAAAGTAAAGTAATATAAAATAAAAAGGAACAAAGGCGTCGCTTAAAACTAACATATAGGTACTAATGTCGCTTATAAGCGACATAGAAAGGAACAAAGGCATCGCTCCAATCCGACATTAAGTAACAAATAAACAATTAAAATATCACAGTTACTGTTGCTTCCAACCGACATTACCTAACATCTCGTTAAAACTGGCAAAGGTGATGACGTCGCTGATAAGTGACACTAGATATATTAAAAATAAAAAATAATAATAAATCTTCCTCAGGGTCCGCCAACCGTTTAGCATTAGCTTCATCATTCCTTCTCAATTCATTGTTCTCAGTCATCAACACTACTACTGAACTCCTGGATGATCTTCTGGAAGAATTATTTTGCACCAGTTGTGTGGTTCATTGTTTTCAACCGCCTATTATGCTTATTTTTTGCAGCAATCAGCCCACTGTCGAGGATCCACATTAGGAGGTGTGTTCTCGTGCTCCTCGACCGGTTTATCAGTATAATGTTTTTTTTTTTTTTTCGCCATATCATCTTCTTGAAAAATAATAGTTTCCTATACTCACCAAAAAAATCAAGCAAATTAATTATTACTATAAACATTGACTTATTATACTTTCTTCAAGTAACAAAAAATATTTATACCTTTATTCTATTCCAGCTTCCTTGTGGTCTTCCTTGATCATGCACCAATCTCTCACCAACGGAATATTTCTATAATCTCTAATCTCCGCCGCTACATGTTTTGAAAAAGCACTAGAATTTTCACTAATGCATTTTCCAGACACATCAAAAGAACAAGGTTGTTCCTTCCAGTTGGGAATTGAGGGTCCCCGTCCTCGTTGAGTTGTTCCTTATCAATACAGAAAAAAAGAATTAAAAACCAAGGACCAAAAAACAATTTTCAATTTGGGCATCATACTAGTTAGACTACAAAACAAAAAACTGAAACTAATAACCATAATAAATTAAAAATGGACCACCTTCGACTTCTTCCTCTTTGAATTGGATTTCGTCAACATGCACATCTTCAAAATGATCCAACCGTCAAACTTGTTTGTATATGCTTCAAGATCGCATACGCCAAAAATTGCAAAAAAAAAAAAAAAAAAAAAAAAAACATTCAGAGATCAAGTAATGGGACAAAACTTTTCGACGGTTATAAAATGTAAAATCACGATTTAACGGTTATTTTAATTCCGATTTTGATTATTTTTTATAGCTACACTCCTTGATCCTATATAAATACAATGAATGAATTCGATATTCAATTTAAAATATTTACATTAGAAGATACCACAAAATCTTATGTTATAATTGATGAAAGTATAAATAAAGTCTAAGTGTTAGTGAATCTATCGTTTTGATGGGATATGCATTCTACGAAACTAATTTCAATGATCCAACCGTCAAACTTATTTGTATATACTTCGAGATCGCATATGCCAAAAATTGCAAAAAAAAAAAAAAAAAAAACATTCAGAGATTAAGTAACGGAACAAAACTTTTCAACGGTTATCAACAAAAAATCACGATTTAACGGTTATTTTAACTCTGATTTTGATGATTTTTTACAGCTACACTCCTTGACCCTATATGAATACAATGAATGAACTCAATCTTCAATTTAAAATATTTACACTAGTGGATACCACAAAATCTTATGTTAATACTTAATGAAAGTATGAATAAACTCTTAAGTGTTAGTGAATCTATTGTTTTGATGGCAAACGCATTCTACGAAATTAGTTTCAACGATCTAACCGTCAAATATATTTGTATATACTTCGAGATCGCATACACCAAAAATTTCAAAAAACAAACATTCAGAGATCAAGTAACGAGACAAAACTTTTCGACGGTTATAAACAAAAATCACGATTTAACGGTTATTTTAACTCATATTTTGATGATTTTTTTACAGCTACACTCTTTGATCCTATTTGAATACAATGAACTAATTTGATCATCAATTTAAAATATTTACACAAGTGGATACCACAAATTCTTATATCATGATGATCGATGAAAATTGAGGATTTTGTAGACGGAATAACATGCAAGCTTTGAGTTCCATTGGCAAGGTTTAAACTTTTGAGAAAGGCTTCACAACCTTGAAAACAAAAACTCTTTCATTTTGCATGTCCTTGCACATTTAATATTTTGTAATAGACTAGTAGTGTATGGATGTTTGTTTATTAGCCTCTTATTTTCGAGTGTAGATGTAGTACTTAAACGACAAATGTGTTTTACTGTTTTGAAGTAATATTTATTTGGCAATGTGTGGTATGTGCAAATTTAAGAATTTTTTTTAATGGGTCGTAACGGGTGACACGACACGACCCATTAAGATAACAGGTGTTACACGAATACGATAGACACGACCCATTTGCCAGGCCTATTCTAGAGGATATATAAAGGCCACCAATCTGTCGCCTACAACCGCACTGGGTTTCAAAATATTTTAAAAAAATTTAAATCTATGTCGGCTACAAGCGACACAGGCTTTGAAAATATTTAAAAACTTTCTCTAGTGTCGGGTATAAGCGACACCAATCTTCTTTTAACCGACGCTAACTTTATGTCGATTACAAACGACACCGGGTTTCAAAATATTTAATAAAAATTAAAACTCATGTCGACTACAACCGACACTGGCTTTGAAAATATTTAAAAACTATCATTAGTGTCGAAAAAAAGTGACACCAGTCTTCTTTTAACCGACGCTGAAATTATGTCAGTTAAAAGTGACACCACTATTAAAAAAATATTAAAATCTATGTCGGTTATAAGCAACATTAATAGTTTATGTTGGTTATAAGCGACAATGATTCCGACACCATGTAAAGTAGGTGTCGTAATGTCTTAAGCGCCACTATGTTTTATAAAAACGACACTAGCCACCGACACAATTAAGACCCTTTTGTAGTAGTGAACAAATATATGTGTTTGCAAATTTAGCAGCTGTCGAAGTTTTTATTTACAAAGATGATGAGGCATATATGCATTATTTGGAGCTTAGAGTCAAACATAATAACATTAAGTTGACAGTAATATATATAGATCACTTGATTCAACAATTGGATGGTTGGAGTTATTACATTATTAGTACAGGATTTGTTGTGTATCCCCACTTACCACCTATCCTACACATTTAATCAAGGTTGTCAGTGCGAAACTACAATAGAAGTCCATAGGGTCTTACCGTTGGTACTCCGCATCTTCACAGAGAATTCAATTCCTTACACATATATTACATATATATAAATATGTGTAATGGAAAGTGTTATTAGCACTCCAAAAATCTCATTCTACACTTCTCACAAGTGTATTTTTCTTTTCAAATATAGAAAGTTTGGAGTGTAGAATGAAATTTTTGAAGTGCCAATAACAATTCCCATGTGTAATATATATATATATATATATGTGTGTGTGTGTGTGTGTGTGTGTGTCTAGTTAAACTAGTTGCACGTCCAAGCTGAAAGGCTATCCACTAATTAGAATTCAAGTGCTGAAAGAAACACACCCCATTTCAGAGTTTGCGAACAAATTTCAAACTTCAAAAACATGAAAACAAAAGAATGGCTTAATAATAAAAAAAGAATGTGAAATACAAAGTGACAGTCCAAAGGAAAAGGTTATTCGGTTTAAAGAAGGGTATTAATGTGTTGGGAAAAAAAAAAAGGTAGTAATGTGACAACCGGATGTTCAAGTGATAAATTGATAAATAAGAAAAAAGCAAATTTAAGTTGGGTAATGTGTATCAAAACAATCCAATTAATTAGGGTCGGGCCAAAAGCTAATTAAAAATTTCAGTAATTTCATCCATCAAGATACGATCTCTAAACAATCATCCATATAGTTTAATCTTGTCCAAAAAATACTCTAGCAAGAAATTTTTGAGGTGCAAGTTGCCATATCGCCTCATACATTTGCCTGAGACACAAAAACATTCTATGTGAACCAACACTCCCTAGATTTCAAGCTCACCCAATTCCTCATGGTTCTACTTCTATCCACTATACAGGGTTTGGCCCGACATTAAATGTTTTAGGCGTGCACGGGAGAATTTCTTCAAAACCAACCCGCACAATCATAGTTTGGTTGACTTTATACTTAATTAGCATATAGACACACAAAATGTGTAAGAAAATTTTTAATTTTAATTTTTAAAATAGAAGGAGAGAGGAAAAAAGTGATAGAGAATGTGAGAGTGAGAAGTTTTATTTTATTTTATTTATTTATTTATAATTAATTAGAGATATGTTAGAATTACATGTATGTGAGGTTTTGAAAGAAAAAACGCAAAGTTTGGTTGTGTGAAATTACATTTCTTTCCCATTTTTCTTATTCATGTTCTGTTTTAATTAGAAAGTTAAACTGGTAATTTTATAAAATTTTAATGGATAAATTACACTTTCATACATCAGGTTTGAGGTCTATTTCAATTTCTTACATCTTCAAAACATTTCACTTTCATACCTTAAGTACTATTTTATTTCAAAATAATACATCTGTTACATTTTTCATCCACTGATCCGTTAAATGCTCACGTGGCTGCCACATATATGTCACATGGCTGCCAAATGTCTGCACGTGACAAATAGAATAATTTTAAAAAACCTGAATTTTTTCAAAAAAAAAAAACAACCCACATCTGCAAGAAGAAGAAGAAGAAGAAGAAGAAGAGGGAGTAAGGGAGATGGGTCTGGGTGGGTGGGGAGATGGGTCGGGGTGGGTGGGGGGACGGGAGGAGGGTCGCCGGGCTGGGGGAAGGGGGACGAGAGAAGGGTCGCGGGGGGTAGGGGAGGCGGAAGGAGGGTTGCTGGGGGGAGGGGGGTTCTGGGAATTTGAAACCCTTTTCTTCTTCTTCTGGGTTGCCCCCGCGCGTGCGGGTTGGGGTGGGGTGGGGAGGTGGGTTGGAGATGGACAATTTTTTTTTTTCCTTTCTTCCTCCCTTTTCTTCTTCCTCTTCTCCTTGCAGAAATGGGTTTCAATTTTTTGTTTGAGAAAATTTTTAAAAAATTATTTTATTTGCCACGTGGCAGACATTTTGCAGCCACGTTAGCATTTAATGCATTAATAGATGGAAAATGTAACAGATATATTATTTTGAAATAAAATAGTACTTAAGTATGAAAGTGAAATGTTTTAAAGATGTTGTAATGAATTAAAATAGATCCCAAATTTGAAGTATGAAAGTATAATTTACTCAATTTTAATTGGCAATAAGTGTTTTATTAATTAGTAAAGATAAATGAATGAGATTTACAAAGAATCAAATCCAATCAGAACTTCCCAAAACTTCTGTTTAATGGAAAGTACACATCACCATTCTCCATAAAGAGGGACGAAAAAGCATGAAAATGACTCTTGAATCCAATCCTACTGCAAAAGTCCTACACATGCGCAATCTCACCCGTCGGATTCCCTCTCAATAGATTTCAGCCGGCAATTGTGATTCCACATCACACAGCTTTTTACCCTTTACAGCTACAAACAACGATTCCGTCTCTCTCTCTCTCTCTCTCTTCGCTTATGTAGCGTTTATATTACGCATAGCAACTCCGCCCCTGCTCTTTAAGTTTGGAGCATCAGAGGGTTTTGTGTCTGTGTGCCAAAGAGTAATTTAGGGGTGAGAGAGAGAGGGAGAGAGAGCCGCATTGTAGGATGATGTCAGCAACAGGTGGAGGTGGCAGTGGAAGTGGTGGTGGGCGGGAGGCAGAGAAGAAACCCCTGGATCAGTCTGCTGCCCACATTAACCTCAAAGTCAAAGGGCAGGTATACATACAACATACAGCATATTCACAGAAGGAAGTTACCTATAATGGGATGTCATTGCATCAATATCTCAAGTTAATCACGCATTGTCATGCGTTAGTCATTTACTTGGAATATCGCGATGGTTACATGCCGTTGTAGGTAAGTTCTTCTCCATATTCACATGTTCGCATGTGAATATTTTCATGATTGTTACTTGTTAGTGATTTTTGAAGATTAATTTGCTAATTTTGACAATAATTCTTCCTACTATTGTTAAATTTATAGGATGGTAATGAAGTGTTTTTTAGAATTAAACATACGACCCAGCTGAAGAAGCTCATGACTGCCTACTGTGATCGGCAGTCAGTGGACCTGAACTCGGTTGCCTTCTTGTTCGATGGCCGGAGACTCCGGCCGGAGCAGACTCCAGAGGAGGTTAGATATTGAGCAGTTTCTCAATCTGAACTCAGTATTCGTTTACTTTTAATTGAGTTTGCAGCTCATATTTTCCTTTCTTTTGGTGTTTTTTTAGCTCGAGATGGAAGATGGCGATGAGATTGATGCCATGCTGCACCAAACTGGGGGGTGATCATGAAAGTTGTTGAAACCCTTTTTTTCTTATATCTTCTATATTTTGTAGAAAATTATTAAGTCTTTAAGTTTCTGTTTGTTGGTAGTAAATATGATGAAGTTGTGATGAGATGAATATTTGAAATAAACGTTTTCTCGAGGGCGAGATCGAGAGTTAATGTGTTAAACAAAGTCTTCAAAATGTTCACAAATAAGAGTTAACGATTGAATATCATGATTCAAAGCATAAGACATTCTGAGAAGTATAATATATTATGATTCAGAAAACATTATATTCTGAGAAGTATACGTTCCTAGATACCGAAAACAGTTGCTTTGAGAAACCATGTAAGACGGAAAAAATATACAGAGTTTTGAAAGTCCGATGATAATGAGCATTTCCCGAGCAACGTATGTGATCCTTTTGCATAAGGAAATGGATGAAAAACTAAGCCTGCGTAAGGGGTGGCTGAGAACTCAAGCCGGTAACTGGAGCTTTTTGTTGTTTTTCCAGCTGCAGATCATGATTATACAAATATATAAGAGGGAAGGCTCAGATGAATGCAAACTATTACCGTAATGTAAACACATTTTTGTAACATCTAAGAGTATTTACCTGTGGAAATAATAGTAGAAGAAGTCGGCATACAGCAGTGTTTGAACAAGCCCGGAAATCCACGCTGCAACGGCCAAGGAACATAATCATATAGTTTATGGTGGAAAGGAAAAGTGTACCCAAACAAGAAAGGGCAAATCTTCCAGGAAGATGCTGATGAGCTAAACTTCGGTTTCAATGAGTGGTATAGGAACTCAGAATGTGAAGGCTTATGCTCAAAATAACACTCCCCACATTAAAAACAAGAAAATTATCGAAATTCACAGATGAACAAAATTAAGTTTACATTCTGAGAATTCGATACACCATACAAAAGTAGAAGAAACAAGTTGGGACCAAGTGCTTTGGAATTAAAGAGTAAACAGTTGCTAATATAAGTAACACATATGCACATATTGGTCTAAGCCGTAATTTTAACAGATAATTCACAGGATATAGAGGCACTACTTATTAAAGCAATAGGTCTATTAATCGCCCTAATTTGAAATGAATACAACGAGAAATTTAAGTCTAAAGTACAACTGTACAAGTATAGAAATTGAACGTTATTCATATAAGCAATAATTCAATACATGAATGTGGCATGTATGCTTGTCCTGTATATTTATAGTTCTTTGACGCAAACTCCACAAGATAATCATTTGCTTTAAAAAGCAGAAAATGGATTCACCAGCAACTAACATCAAATGATGCCTACATTCGTGCAGATATTACACGACATTATATTTCATAGTTCTGCCTCCACGGAGCATATCATCAAGCACAATACGCGAGCATCACATCACAACATCTCTACCTAATACCTCTATCTTTACAAAATAATGGAAACATAAAATATGCAAGTGAATGCATACGAGAACACATGCACAACAAAGGGCATCAATACAATCCCACACAGAGAGAGAGAGAGAGAGAGAGTCATACGTATCCAATAAACATAGTGTGGTTCGGTAAAGTAGCGGTAAATCCAGTTGAGAATGTATAAAGCTCGGTATGCACTGCAGAAGTATTTAAGCACATCAATTCAAGCACCAAAACAATATATCATAAGACGCTATCAGCATAGATAAAATCTTGTAGGTAACATGTCGCATTAGAAACAGTTTCAAATGGTACTGTAGCAGAGGATATTTCTATGCCAAATATCACAAAAGACAAAAGAAAAGGAAATTAACTTATAGAAAGAATCTTTAGCTAAGAAGATGAGCCAATTTGCGCCGCTATGCATTAGGAAATGAAAGAAACTAAAAATCTGATATGGTATGACAAATCAAAAGTTTGTTTTGAAAATATATACCCAAGAAGTAACACATATTGGCCTGTCAAATTGTCAATGTTTCTCGTTCTCTGCAACAGCACAAGCTGAGGAAGTATAGCAACAGCTTCTAAATATAACGAAAATGTCCACAAGACCTGATCCACATTATCAAAGAGCATAAAAGGAAATTAAGTAGGATTAAACCAAAAGATGCAAAGCCAGCCAAAAAGTTTGAATTAGTGCTTAGCAGTGACAGGCACCAAATATGAATAAACAGCAACTGAAAGAATATGCAAAGGGACCTCCTTGACGGTGAATTTCTCATTGATTATTAGGGCTAAGAACACACATGGCAGCAAAAGAAACACATGGCGGAAGGTGTCTTGGTCTTTATCATAAGATCTGCGAACAATCTTGTGCTCCCTAATGTACCAAACAATTGAAAATGAGCTCCCCAAGAATATCAACTTCATGAAGGTATTATACAGAGATATAAAGTCGGTGAAAATGTCCAGGTAGCGAGTAGCAAAAACAATGGCATAAAGTTCTTGAGTCTTCAAAGAAATACCTGGACACAACGAAACACATCAGAAAACAATGCTTGCAGTACTACTAACCAAACAAACGACCCGAAAGAGAGCCATTTCTGAATATTTCGGATTGCAAAAAATGCAAGAGCAAACCAATCCCCTATAACCCAAATACTCAATGCCAAGAAAATTTCAACTTTATCCCTCATTCTCAATTATCAATAGATAAAAAAACCCCAACATTTTGGAATTTTTCTACTGTAAGCTGGATTATACAAGTTATAACTCAGAACCCAAATGCTATTTTCAGCAAAAATCAAACTTCGAAAGCTTAAATACATGATTAAATACAATGTAATACAAGATTAAATGAATTAAAACCTCAAATCTCAACTGGGTTCAATTCAAAACAGAATTTAAATGCAGCTAAACTCGAATAAACATTACTTGCAAAGCATTTCAATTACAAAATGAATATGCAGAGAGAGAAAAGATGGGAAATGGCGGTACTACCGGCGCACGATTTGATAGTGTGGATCTTGAGGAGCAAGACGAGGACGCTGGCCAGGTGGGTCATGTCGCCCGCTAATCTGAATATATTCATTTTTGCTGGATCCGAGTGACCGGTATGAATTCGGATCTCTCTGGTTTAGCTGGTGAAAGGAAATGGGTTTACTGTTTGCTTCTCTACCAAGCGGTGTCGAAAGGCACAGAGAGATACAGGCTACAGCAACTGCGTTAAATCTTTTTCCTCTGGTTTATTCGTCGTTTAAGATTCGGGTTTCAGTGACGAAGTCTCGGCGGGTAGATCTGTTTGTACGAGTTCTTCTTCTTCTGCTTAGTTGTGACTTTGGGCCTCCTGAATCCTAAACGAGCTTTTTCTACAGTCATGGGTCCTTTACTATTTTGGGCCTTCTTTTTCCAACCCCCAACCCAACAAAAAAAAGGTATAAAGAAAGTATCAAGCTATCAGCAAACTATAAGAGTTTGTTTGGTATCTTATTTGAAAATTTTTATCATTTCCTAAAACTTTTCTTGAAAACAATTTTCTTTAAGACTTAAAAAATTGTTTGGTATGCGATTTAAAAATTTTAAATCTTACAACTTAAACTAGACAAAGAGATCCAAAAAGAGAGGGTCGATGGAGAAAAATGAGAGAGGAGGAAAGAAAGTAAGACATGATTGGAGGAAAGAGAAAGAAAAGAGAGGATCAGAAAAGATAGAGAGGAAGAAGAGTGAGAGAAAGAACCGAGAAAATGAAGAAAGCGGATTGTAGGAGAGACCAAAGAGGTTTAAAAAAAAAGAGAAAGGGAAGATAGAAAGAAGAAAAGAGAGAGATAGATTTGAAATGAGAGGGGACGAGGGAGAGAAAAGAAATGAGTGAGTTTGTTTAAAAACTCTAAAAACTCACTTTTTGTTTTTTTTTTTAAATAATAGACTATATTTTTGAGTTAGTCTTGTGTTCAATTTTTTAAAATAGTCATACCAAACAAGTTTTTAAGGCCTAAAACTTGAAAATTGTTTTTGAGTTTAAAAAGTTGGATTCAAAGAAAGTACCAAAAAGACCCTAAATTTTTTGTGTAGGACGTCCATTAAAGAACACAATGCGTTAAAAACGTAACCTTGTAGGATATTGTCAAAAATGTATCGATAAAACACCAGTGCATTTTGTTTGCAACAATGATTTTTTTTTCTTTTAAAAAGGGGGACAACTAGCAGTAAGCCACGGTTATCCACCTCTTTCGAGGGTCGGGAATACTCAATGAGGCATTCCAGCCTCCCCTTGGCCACAAGTCTGGCGTCCACACCATCAGCGAGTTTACTAGTTTTTAGTTTAAAGGAAGCATCTCAATCCGTTATTTACCACTAAACCACCAACTCGTGATTTGTTTGCAACAATAATTAGATCTATTACGAATGACATATCAACAATATGCTCATTTTATAGACAGACTAACCAATCAACTTCCACAAAATAATTCTCTTAAAAAAATAAGACTTTGTATCTTTTAATTGTCGATTGATCGTTAACTTGCTTTTGACTGTAAACAATGAAAGTAACTTATGTTTAGATTGACCATTAAACTGTTTTGAATATTTTTACGGTTAAAACGACATAAGGCGCGAATCAAAATCCGTAAAATGAACTTCAAAATTATATCAAAGATGAAATAAACTGCAAGGACGAAGTGAAAAGTTAGACACACAATAAGGACAACAAGTGTGAAGCTTCGTGCCATTGTACTTACATGATATATAATGAAAGAATAATTCTCAAGACACCCAAATAATCCCAAAAATTAGGGTGCAAATGTGCTTTATGTTTATATCTGGGTCCACCATGAATTACATTATTAGGTGGTTAAAAATTTAGGAAAAGCTTTTATGACTATAATTTCTACCATAAGAGTTTTGATTATTTTTATTTCATATCACGATAAAAGATATTTGTATTTGATAATGAAATTCAACCGCACTTACAGAGTTACAGGCCCATTATTCATAACAACCCAAGTAAAGTACATTTTCTCCTTTTAGATTTATCGTCGTATGTTGCATTTGGTGTTAGAGGTGCGTTGATGAAAAACCTAATAAATCTACAAATTTATTATGGTATGAAATCCATAAGTAGATAAATAAAAAAAATACGAGTCACAGTCACATGATTTTGATTACTAAGTAATCATTTTATCATAAAGATTAGTTATCCGACGTACGTTCAAAGCGACGCGTGATATAACAACCTAACAAACCTACATGCTTATTATGGTACGAAATTCATAAGCCGACGCAACAAAAAAACGAATCTCGATCACATGTATTCGACTACTGCATAAATGTGGCTTAGTCATCAACCGTTAAACCAAATCTCAGGGGCGGATGACCATAATAATTTAAAACAAAGACTCAAAAGTAGTAGTCAATGAGGCAAATTAAGAAAAAAACTGAAAATAAATATTTAGGAAGGCTAATCCCACGAGTAACGGACTTGGCGGGTCCACTAGATTAAAAGCGTGCTCTGTGATATTTCCATGTCTATATATCAAAAACTTCCATGTACAAGAGAGAGAGGAGGAGGAGAGAGAAAAACAGTCTCTAGAGGGAGAAGCTTGGCCGCTTTTTACTTCGTCTCCCCAGACAGAAATCACGCATCTCAAGCAGTCACAGAGAGTGAATAATGCAAATATATATACTCGGCAAATCGGTCTCTCTTTAACGGCTACTTTTGGTGAGAGAAGTTGAAGAGAGAGAGAGTGTGTGTGTGTGGAGAGAAAGCAAAGAGGGTCTGGCATTTGGGCGACGACGGTTGAGCTGCTGCTTCTGCTACTGTTGCTGTTGCTGCTCCATAGATGGATTACAATAATGACAAGTAAATATAAATACCCCTTCTTTCTGTCGTTTTGGCTTCTGGGTTCTTTCGGATGTGGGTTTTCATGTGATTAAAGTGTTGATTTTTTTTTTTTTTGTGGGTTTTGGGATTGTTGTGGCAATGTAGACGGGGATTTCGATTTGGGGGATTGGATGATGGTTCTGTGAATTGGGTTTGCTTCAATTTTTCAGATTGGGTTTTTAATTATTTGGAGAGAATTATGATTTATTTGGGACTTTATGGCTGATATGAGGATGATGTGGGCTCTCTGATTTTACTTGGTGGGTCATTGTTTTATGCTTTTAGCTTTATTTTTTTGTACTGTATGGCTTAAAGCAAAATCCCCAAATGCGGATTATCAGATTCTGCTAGTATATCTCTTCGTCTTTATACTTCCAGATCCTTATTACATAAGCATCCCTCTATCGGTACATGTTTAGCATCCTAGAAGTGGATCATTTGTTTGTTTAGTAGTCTTTTTTTCAAATTTACGGTCTTTTTCTCACTTGGGGAAAGATACATTTGTTTGGTTTTACTTGTAGGTTATGCTGCTTATTGTGTGGGTACAATTCCATTCTGCTTGTTTTTTATTGGCAGCTTCGTTGGTTACATTGATCTTTTAGTTACTGATTTGTTTCATTCCAACTATGTTGAACCCACCAGCGCCAAGAGAGATTGAAAAATAAGAAAAGATTCAAAATGTAAATTCTGGAAGAAATTAACTAAATATGCTGCATATGCAGCCTTGGAGCCTGAGCGTATCATGTACATTGTGTAAATGTCCACTGTGGCTCATTTTTGAGATGGTTGCAGTTTTGTGGTTTTCATTTCAGTTACCTGAAGTATATTAGTACTTATTTCTGACATCATTTTAATTTCCTTTCTGCTGTGTGAAATGATGATAGTGGGCACTGGAATTGGAGAAGGAATAATCAGCGTACCCAAAAGGACTCCAACCATGGTATGTTCTCACGGCAGTTCGTAATTTGTTAATAATATTGTTATACAAGGATGAAGTTAGTGATTTCTTGCTTGGTACTATTCTTTTTGAGCAGACATGTCTGAATGCATGTGGAAGGGAGTGCCACAGAACGAAGAAGATATTTCCTACATGTTCGATGATGAAACAACACCAGTTAAGGCTTGTGGAGATTTGGCATATCATGTTAACTTCAAAGGTTGGGCTTGTTATTTTCCCTCCTCATTGTTCTTTGGCATTTTCTTGCTTTTCGTGTATCTGCAATTCAGAAACACTGCGTTTTTATGTTTTTTAATATCAAAGAAGTGGATTTCAGATGATAGGACCAAGGAACCAGAACCAGAAGAACAGTCCTCTCAAATAAAGAGGCGCAGGATGCTACAATTTGACACTCAAGATTTAGATCCTTCCCTTTCATGTGACGAGTTGTCATCTTCATTCTTGAATACAAATGTATGTGCTTTCTTGTCCGAATTATCACATCTATTGGGAACTTTGTATTGTTCTTAGGCTGCGTGCCAAACTGCTATTCAATTTGTGGCACGGTACATATTCTTTTCTATCCCAATGCTACTGCATTGTAATGGTGATTTGGGTGTTCAGTAGAAAGATGGCTTTTGCATTATATTTGCCACCCATTTGAAGTAGGCATGTCAAATTGGTGTGCTGCATATGTTACAGGGGTACAGTTTCTCTAGTAGTCTAGCTTTGGGTTTTGCGTTGATAAGGGAATTTCAAGTTGTATTTTTTTGCCCTGGAAGTCAGAAATTGGAAGACTTGGAACTTAAGTTTTTCCTTGGAGACAAGATTTCAATACATAGACAGCATATTACATGTGCCATGTATTTTTCGTAGACTAATTTTTGTGCTTTATATTTAGGAGAGGTTGGATTCAATTGAAGAGGCTTTTTCTGAAGCATCGCAATGGGTATCAGGGTTTGCAGGTTTGTCTCTTCCAAAATATGTCTTCCTAAATTTACTTAAACATTTACACCTAGGATTTCTGATAATCATATTATTTATGTTAGGAAATTCATCTGCATCTTGCTTTGAAGGCCTTGATCAGTCACCTGATGAGTGGATTGCTGAATGCTTCAACAATACCGATATGCATTTCAGCCCTGATGAGTTGTATGCTTCTGGAAGCTCTATATATATATATATATATATATTTTTTTTTTTTTGTAAAATCATTTAATAATTTACAATAATCTGATTGCTTTAGTATTTGATACTCAGGAATTTCTCTGGGGCATCGGATGTTCAGCTTGACGTTACAAGTAAATTACATTTGGTTCTTTTCATTATATTTGTACTTTTGCCTTTGTTCCTTTATAACCTTATCCCTCAATTAATTCTAAGTATACAAGTTCAATTTTCTGGTGCAGAGTTATGTGACCTCCGACCTGAGCATGAAGTGAATGTGGTTCAACAACGAATTACCCGAACACCTCAAAATGTTATTTTTAAAGGTATTGTCATGTTCATGACATTTTTTGTTTCCTATATCCAATGTTCTCTTTATCAGCTTCCTGTCCTTCCTCAAAGTTATCCTACTTATAGAAATGCTCTCTCTCTCTCTCTCTCTCTACACCCCCACCCACCCATCCACACACACATACCAGGATTCTTTGCCTGGATCATCACAAACTATGCTCTTAAACTATTGAAATGAAAATTCAATCCTCTAGGTTCTCTGTTTGTATGCATAGGTAGGAAGTCTTACATTCGGACTCCCACTAAGTTGGCTACTTCTGTGGCATATCCATTTGCCTTCATTAAACCCTCTGGTGCACATGGAGATGTAACTCTGAAGGACATAAACCAGCGGATCCGCACTCCACCACCTTCAAAATCAAAGCAAAAACAGGAAGACCCTGCTGCTTACCCTACTTCGGCCTTTTCAGGGAAGCCTGTCGTTGGAAAAACTAAAATCCGCACCGAAGGAGGGAAAGGCAGCATTACAATTATGAGAACCAAAGGCTAGGAGGCAGTGTAGAGAAGTGGTACTCCAAACTTCCCTTCTCGCTGCCCTTCTGTTTTCCCTATCTTTTGGGATGAATTTTTCCTGTAATATTCTAGGGCAGTCAGGTACAGAAGTTAACTTCTTTTTTTTTTTTTCTTTTGGAGTTGTTCTCGGAAATTATAAATCACGGCAGAGTGTTTATGTTTCCAAGTGTCTCTAGCTGTCAAAAACTCAAATAGTAGCGGTTCGATACATTGTATGGCTGAGAATCTCAAAAGTCTAGTAGGTACTAGTTTATTTCGGTTTCTCAAAAACCTTGGTAATCCTTTCGGGAACATAATATGCATAACATTGTGTATTTTGATTTATGTCTGAATTTGAAAGGTGTATTTAAGATGAAATGAAAGTGTAGACTTTATCTGGTTTGCATGTTCATTTCTCCTAAACCTATCTGGTTTGCATGTTCACTTCTACTAAACCTCTCTTTGTGGTTTCTATAGTATTTATGCCTTGTGTATACAGGCGGAGATTCTTCTATCCCCGTCTGTATATTTCTTTGTGTGTATTTATCTCCCCTTGTCAAGAGAGATATGCGAGCGATAGTAGGGATATACATCCCGCTTACAAGGGCCTTGGAGACATCTCACTTGGTCTCCTTGGGGAATTGAAACAAAGAGGGTAGAGCATGATTGCTTGTGGCAGGCTTTGAAGGGGAAGGGGAAAAGGCAAAGCATTGTTGAAAGTTGAACCTTGAAAGCAGGCATCCAACCACAGTGGTATGCTGTATCAACTTCACATGCTTAAAAGGGTTGAAAGCGTTCAGGTGATTAACTTTACAATTAGGGCTAATTGCTCTACTTAATTAGCCAAAACGCAAAGAAGGATAAAGGAAGAAAAAGAAGAGAAGTGGTCGGCACTTGGCACCCACATGCTTGCAGATACTTTTGTGAATTTTTGGAAATGAGGGTGGAATTTTGCCTAACTTTGACCAAAACCAGTCAATGAAAAAAAGTTATCAGTCCATGGATATGATTTAAAATTATCATCCAGTAATTATCATTAGATTTGAGATCTGGCTTGGATTCAAAGGCATGCAAGGTAAGATCCAACCTGAAATCTTTTGCAATTGGAAATGCATTGATGTTGGCATATCTCTTAAAAATCTAGTTATGACAAAGTAAGCCAAATTTAACTAAATGGTGATTGGCTAGTACATTTCGTAACCTTATATAGCTCGAGTTGTTAAGAGCACTTACATCATTGTCGAATATTATGTGTATATGTGCGATTTTTTCCTCTTCTATGACTTGTTTACTAATCCATAATCAAAACGAGAAGAATTGAATTGAAAAGAAGTTGGAATGAGGTGGAATTAGAATTTAATTTCCGTTAAAGTTGTTTACTTAATTGCCCGGAATCAAAGTATGAATGGTGCAAATGACATGTAAGATGTTTACTTATTTACATGAATCAGAATTGAAACCAACTTAGTTACTAAATTGCCTTTTTTTTTTTTTAATAAATATTTTTATTTGCTACACATATTCTCATAATATAAATTTCAACAAAGATAGTTATTTAATTAAATAATTTAACAATATTTAATCAAATATATTGGTACAAAAGTTGGATTTTTAATGGGCTTCATTTTGGAGAATCCAATATCATCTCAATCTTAAGAATCGAGTTTTGGAAGTTTAATGAGTATGATTTCTCATTTTAGTGGTACTTATTTATATATATATATTTATCCTCCAAGTGTTTATAAACAGTTGAACCACTTAGAATGACTACAATTCTTATTTCTCTTATTTCATTCCTTTTACGTAAACACGTGATTAATATCTTTTGTGTAAATCGTTAATAAAAATTGTAACCAAATTAAGCCCAACACAAAAGAAAAGTAGTATAAATTCCAGCCCATGTTGATAACCAACCTTCAAGCCCAACCCTATATCACAGTTCAAGCCCATTTGAATTAAAGTTCCTTTTGAATCAATTCATGGCCAGAACCGTCCAAACCAAGCAACTCTATAAAAATTTCCTTGACAACTTAACCCGTCTCAACGTGTCCCATCACAAATTAAAAACCGCCGCCCCATTGTCCCAACCAAAACATCTGGGATTGCGTGGGACAGAATAAGTCGGTATAAAAAAGCAAGCCTCCCCTCCACGTCACCATCAGAATCCAGAAATATTCCTTTATTATTCCATATTCTTTATACCTTCCCCTATATATCTTCGCGCTCCGAAGGCGGATGAGACCTAAAGCAATGCGTCTTTTCCCCTGACAGAAATGGCATTTTCTCCGTGCTCCTCCCTTCCTGCAGTTGCTGCGATAACTTGTTTGATTGCGGTGGTTGTTGGTTGTTATTGGCCCGTTGAGGCCCGTATTCCGACCACCATGGACGGCCCGTTCGAGCCCCTCACCGTCGCATTTGATCCCAGCTTGCGCGGCAACGCCGTCGATTTGCCTGATGATGATCACCGGGTCCATCGCCGGGTTAAAGGGTTTGAGCCCGAGCAGATTTCCGTCTCCCTCTCCGCCCATTACGACTCCGTTTGGATCTCCTGGATAACAGGTATTAATATGTGTGTGTATATATATATATATATTTTGGTGTTGGTGTTTAGGGGTGTAGTCAATTTGGATTTCAGAGTATTTTAAAAGACTTTTTTAAGTGTCAGATTTCAAAGGATTGTAGAATCCTTACAACTTTCAAATGGATTTTAAAGGATTGTTATGGATTTTGATTAAAGATTTGAATGGATTCTTATGGACTTTGATTAAAGATTTGAATGGATTTTGAGACTCTCTTGTCAGCATATTCACATAGTAATTCACATGGTTGAAAGCGAGTGAGGGAGGGGCTGGAAGGGTACAACCATTCCTCATGTGGCTTGATTATTTCCTTGAGAATTTCTGACTTACATATCAGTATCTTTTAGAAACAAACATCGTCGCTTCCTATTCCCTTGACAGTCTTCATCATTCTCAATTTAGTTTCACTTAGGGCTGAAAATTATAATCAGCACTTGAGCATTACGGTAACAATACCGCATGAAAGTTGAAAATTGTTCACTTTCGATCTAAGTAGGTCAGTGCTGCCATTAAAAGAAGATTGAAGAGAACAGTAAATCCGAAGAGCGTGGCAATACAAGTCCAATACCAAGTCTTTGTAGTAAACAATCCTCTTTCAGGTCATCTTGGTGGGGTGGGGTGGGTGGTTGAGACGCCAAAAGGAAGGATGGAAGGATGGGTTTCTTAGAGAAAATGGACAGCGAGAAGGAAAGCTCGAGTTGCAAAGTCGATAGAGAGAGAAAGAAAGCGAGGGGTTGAAAAGAAATCCTAGGGGTGGGGGTAGGATTTTGTTATGCTTACCATCTATTCTGAAATCCTACAAAATCTCTCATTGAATGAAATCCTTCAAAATCTATGAATATTTGAATACCTAAAATCCTTTAATTGACTTGCCCTGTATTTGAATGGACTTTTTGAAAATCCTAATTGACTACACCATGATTCTAAAGTCTTTTAAAATCTTTTAAAATCCTTCTAAATCCTCATTTGACTACAAATTGTTGAGCTTTTATGCAAATGGAATTTTAGGATTTGAGAATTGGGATTTTTCAGTGCTTGGTTTTGGTTAATTGGGGTCTGTTTGAAACTGCTTCTGGAAGAAAGCGCAATTAAAAGTGCTCCCGTTGATATTTGACATAAAATTTTGAAATGTTTTTGGATGATAGAGGCAGTTTCTGGGTTGTTGGTTTTCTAATAAAAGCGCTTGTGAGCAGAAGTACTTCCTATAGAAGTAGTCCCATACAGGGCCCGGGTTTATTAGTTAAAGCCTTGAGCTTTTTTGCCATTGAGAATTGGATTTTTATCATTTTTTGGGTTTGGCCTATTGGATTTGATTTTTCATGGATTGTTATTGCAGGGGAGTATCAGATTGGAGACAACATAAAGCCATTGGACCCCAAAAGTGTGCAAAGCATTGTTCAATATGCGGAGCTGAGGTATCCACCAACAAATGAAGCCTCAGGATATTCTCTTGTTTATAATCAGCTCTACCCTTTTGAAGGCCTCCAAAATTACACTTCCGGAATCATCCACCATGTTCGTCTCACAGGTTTGATTTTATTCGCTTCTTCGTTTGCTTCAAAGTATCAATGGAGAATTACAAAGTTGGGGGTGACTGAAATGAATGAACTTTTAACTTCCCCGAACATAAGTTGTGATGGAAATGTGGTTCTTCTGATGAGTTGGTGATTTAATTCGTGTTTTGATGTAGGGTTGAAACCGAATACAGTGTATTTTTATCAATGTGGGGATCCTTCTATACCTGCAATGAGTGAAATCCACCATTTCAGGACTATGCCAGTTTCTGGTCCTCGGAGCTACCCAGAGAGAATAGCAGTTGTGGGAGACCTTGGCCTTACTTACAACACAACTACCACAATAAGTCACTTGACAAGTAACAACCCTGATCTTGTTCTATTGATTGGTGATGTTACATATGCAAACCTCTACCTGACAAATGGAACTGGATCCGACTGTTATTCTTGCTCATTTCCAAACTCTCCGATACATGAGACCTATCAGCCTAGATGGGATTACTGGGGAAGGTAAAAACTTATATTGCTTTATTTCTGTTGCACACAGTGGCTGCTGCAAAGTATGGCATAGAACTTGCTTTCTTATGTTGTCATTGCTGGGTAATTTGTGTAGGTTTATGCAGAGTTTAGTTTCCAAAGTTCCAATAATGGTGGTTGAAGGGAACCATGAAATAGAAGAACAGGCTGAAAATAAGACATTTGAGGCTTATAGCTCTCGGTTTGCATTCCCATCTGAAGAAAGTGGATCCTCGTCCACATTCTACTACTCATTTAATGCAGGGGGGATTCATTTTATAATGATTGGAGCCTACACTGACTTTAGCAAATCAGGTAATAAAAGTGTGCATAACTTGAGCTTATGCTTTGCCTCAACATCCCTTTTTTTGCATTTTCTTTTCCTTTATGAAGCGTATGTTTATTGTTTCTGTCCCTGCAGGGAAGCAATACAAGTGGCTGGAGCAAGATTTGGCTAATGTGGACAGATCCATAACTCCATGGCTGGTAGCTACTTGGCATCCACCCTGGTATAGTACCTATGAGGCCCATTATAGGGAGGCAGATTGTATGAGGATGGAAATGGAAGAGCTACTGTACTCCTATGGCGTCGATATAGTGTTCAATGGACATGTAAGTGACATTATTGCCACAATCTTTGATGGGTAACAGGTTTCTTTCTTATAGTCAGAAACTTTGGTGAGAAGTGGTATAAGGGCCCTTCCATAGAGTCTTTCATTTATACCAGATAGTGATAGAAAGCTAGAAAAAAACTGCATTTTATGTTTTTAGCTTGTGTAAACAAAGTTAATGTGAAATTAAACAGTCATTGGTTCCCAGGTTACTAAAATGTAAAACAAACTTATTTTAAATGTAATGACCTTATCTTGAAACTAGTTTCACCTCATTACTATTTGGTTTCGTTCCAAGCATGTTTTTATTAAGTTGTCCTTCGTGTCTATGAATGATGAATTAATTTTCCCCATTGTAACTAAATGTCCTTTTGCTTTAAAGTTACTGAATGTTGTTCTGTTTTCTTGAATAAAACAACAGGTTCATGCCTACGAGAGGTCGAATCGAGTTTATGATTACAACTTAGATCCCTGTGGTCCTGTTTATCTCACCGTTGGTGACGGGGGTAATCGAGAGAAGATGGCAGTTCATCATGCTGATGAACCTGGTCATTGCCCAGAGCCATTAACTACTCCTGATGAACACCTAGGTGCAGGTGCCTTTTGTGCAGATAACTTTACCTCTGGCCCAGCAGCAGGTAAATTTTGTTGGGATCGGCAACCGGATTACAGTGCTTTCAGAGAAAGCAGCTTTGGCCATGGAATCCTTGAGGTACTCCTTTTTTTCGGTGTTTCTGTTTGGGAAAAGTGCAGTTGAATAATGCATTCAATTTTCTATAACTGCCATGCTTTAATTTGTATGACCCTACATATGATACAACTTGAAAGTATGGAAAGAAATATGACAGTCAATGAGTATATAAAAACCACACATTATATAATATTGCTTTACTTCTAGTAGCCATTCAAGATCTCTTCACTCAGTAAATAGGAAGTTCAAATTCTTTTTATCGTTCAATTGCAACGTCATGATCAAATCACTCAGCACGATACTTGTTTATATGGAGCGGGAGATTTTCAAGACCTGAGTTCTTGAAGATCCTGTGACCGACTAGAATATCCTCGTTGCGTTTTGTGTAGCAAACATACAGGTCTAGGCTGCAATCTGCAGAGAATGTATATACTAGAATGACAGCCCAGTTTAACCACCTGGATTACATTCTAACCGTGGGATTCAATGTGCATAACTTGCAGGTGAAGAATGAGACTTGGGCTTTATGGACATGGTACCGGAACCAGGACTCTGACGATAAAATTGGAGATCAAATATACATAGTGAGGCAACCAGATAAGTGCCGCGTCCGCTACATGTTGAAGAGTTGGATTGCTGACCTCTAACTCTCACTGCTGGGAAACTTATTTTTAACATCTTATATCAGTTGACCATTATTATCTAGATAGGAATAGGACGGAAGGTGCAGAATGAGAGCGAGAAGAAGCAGAAGAAGAGCAACTCGGCAATTGTTGTATGTAAATGGTAAAATCTAATTTATACATCTTCATTGTAACTTGAAACAGTTTCTGAAGATATACCTCCTCAATCAATTTGTACAACAATAAAAGCGTGTAAAATTGGTTTTTGGAGCAATTTCGGATGCCAATTCTAAACTAATTGCGTGTTGTTGACAAATTGCGCATTGGTTCAATTGATGAACCAAAATTTTCATCTCCCCTATTGTTAAGCCAAGAAATTGTCGACAAATTGCCCATTGGTTTAGGCGAGTCGATCATCCCAATCGGACCTTGGTCACTGTCCCGTCTTGCCAAGCACCATCCTGACTCCTTTTACATCTCATCCTAGGCCTTTATCGCTGACTGCAAATTACCACATAGTCCAAATGGCGCATGAGTATTTTTGTCCCGTCTTGCCAAGCACCATCCCAACTACCTTTACATCTCATCCTAGGCCTTTGTTGCTAACTGCAAATCGCCACGTAGTCCAAATGGCACTTGAGTATTTCTGTCCTTGGAGACTTGTGCCATAAAGCTGTCAGTTTGCCCACGTGTTCTATGCCGTCAGGCAACTCCTTTTTCATCTCAGTCAGCTCAAGTGCTCGGGGCAGCCCTCTTTTGAAGATTGTTAATACAAAATACCTTCTGTAGTTAATTCATTAATCAAATGTGATCAAATATACAACAGATAAATTTCATCGACACCAAGTTTCTAAAGGACATCCAGGATACTTTCTCAGCTCTCAAAGTTGTTGTTGCCTGCCTTCCATGAGCGAAACTATACTCTTCACATATATCACAGGCAAATGATACACTCTATCGGGTGGAAAATCGTTATCCGGTGATACTTTGGGAATAATCGTTACAGCAGTTTGAATCGGAAGATCTTTATGGTTTTTAGTACCGATGTTATAGCAGACAATGCATCCATTATCCTCCACCAGAAGAACCTTGTCGCTCTTCCACATTGGCAATGACGTCTCCGGGTCGGGGTTCATTGACATCAGTGGGATCTTGGAAGCCAAGTGTTTTGTCCAAACACCACCCTTACCGTTAGCTCCACCACCAGAACCATCATCCATCACCCACATTTCAAGGTTAATTGATCAGCATCTGCAAAATGATCCAAGCGTAAAAGAAGAAAGAGCTGAGACTTACCAGAGCGCGAGAGAGACGATGAAACATTCTATGATGATGGAGGCCACACTGTCAAAAGTCTACTCGCATCGCGATGCACCACCATTTCGTGATGCGAATATACTACCATTTCGCGATGCACTTGGATCGCATAAGAGATTTTGAAGGAAGAGTTTAACAAAATTTTCACCAAAAAATCTTGTCCAATTTTGGATGTGGTGTTCGTCCAAAAGAATCCATTTGTAAACACGAGCGTGGAAACAAAAAAATCTGAAAAGCTTAGTAACATTTGAAATTTGTTTTCATTTATTAATAGAGAAATTAGATTCTTATTCTTCATTTTATTTTTATTTTATTGGTTGAATTTTTTTTTTAATTTTTGATGAAAATTCTTTGAATTCTATCCATTTTATTATTTTAATAATAAAATATTACATGTTAATATTTTAAAATTTTTAAAATTTATTTTCTCTAAATATATCCATTTAGTGTTGGAAACGTTACATTTTGTTATATTTAATTTGACCCCGTCACAAGACTCATAAAGCTTGTTATCAAGAGTGGTTGCATATTTTTTACACTTCTATATTAATTATTATTAATTTTACTCTAAGAAAAAAGCACTATTCATGATGGTTTGAAGGGTTTTAAAAATCTAAAAGACGATTTACACATCGTCAAAGCGTAAAAGATGTCACGACGAGCGTTTGCATAGTTTTCACACTTGTAAATTAATTATTTTAAAAATTCTAAATATTCTTTGATATTTTTAAATTGCCTTAGCATTTTTAATGTGCTTTAAAAAAAATTAATCTCACTCATGTAAGATTAAACAGTATGGGGTTTTGAGTAGTTCAAAATTATTAAACTAAACTTTTTTCTTATCAGGTTGAAACAAGTTACCCTGAATAAAAATGTTAAGAATTGCTACTCTTAGCGTGTGATCCGAGAATGCCCCGATCAGTTACTGTCTTGACATGAAACTCGTTATTTTCGTATTATTTCGGGTCGTGATAACATGTGTGTAAGAAGTTATAAGGGGACCCAAAATTCCCCCAGTACCCTTCCATTAGTTTTTCTATTTTTTTTAAATGCAATGGTAGCTTGCCTTAATAGAGAAGAGCTTAGATACAACATCCCTCGATTGTGTGAAAGCTAGACTTGTAGTCACTGGGAAGTTGAAATGTCTTTGCGAGTCTTCCTTACCTCCGAAAGGGATGGATAACCATGATTTGTCACAAATTATCTTCTTTTAAAAAAAACAACAAATAAAAAATGAGTTCGGGGTCCTCAAACTAACAACAAAAACAACCAGTGGGAATGGCAAATCGAGCTAGCCGATAGGTAATGTTGTTGGTCGAACATCGCACATAAAAAGAATACACTAGAGCGATTGCAACCATCAACCATCGCGACAGAAAGCATTCATTCGTTTTTACAGAAATCCGAAACTAATTAGGAGGGCAATACAAAAACGAAGAATAAATAAAAAAATAAAAAAGGCTTCCTCAAAAAACTCCAATTAAAAGTTGAAACTTGCAGTGACTTTTCTTTTACTTTTACTTTTTTCTGGTTCAGAAAATATCGAGAATTTCCAAGATGAAATTGTTGCAGAGGGGGCAATTGCCCCGCTGGACCCACAGCTCTCGGGAGCACATCCTGCAGAACGTATGCCCGCAGGGGATAAACGCCGCGCCTTTATGCCTAACCATGCACACGCAGCAGTTATACTCCACATTCCCTTCTTCCGCCGCCACCTCCACCTCCTCCTCCTCTTCTTCCTCGTACACCTCCTCATCCTCGTCCATCGTGTACCTCGACTCCACCCCCATCTGCCTGTCCGTCTCCTCCAATAAGTCCATCAACGACATCCTCACCGGCTCCGCCGCACCCGTCTCTCCCGACGGCACGTCATTTCCCGTCTCTTCTTCCGCAGCCAATGCCGCCGCCGCAGCTTCGGAAGCCTCTTGCGCCGCCACAGCTTCCCTCGCCGACAGTGATCTCTCCTCGTCCAGCGCCGCCGACAATCGCCGTCTTGGAGAGTCCGCCGCGACCTCGTCGGCCGTGAACCGCACAGAGCCCTGGCGCGAGAACATGGAGGCGTGGGGGTTGTTCATATCCACCTCGTCGGACGGAATCGAGGGGTTGGGGCTGAACCGGGTGGAGCCCCGCCGCGAAATCTGCCTCTCGACCTGCTGAGTCATATCGAGATCGCACTCCGGAGTGACGTAACGGACCGAGCTGCGACGCGAGTTGCGAGATCGCGGGTGGTGGTTGTGATTGGAACCGTAGTTAGCAGTATTCCGGATAGGGAGATCAGAGGTGGGGACACGGACGGAGGAGGTCCAGGCGGAGCCGGCGCGTTTGAGTAGGAGGCGGTCTTTGAACGACTTCCAGGCTTTCTTATCCTTCTTGCCAATCAGGGCCCGGTAGGACTTGGGCTCCTCGTCGCGGATTATATCGAGTAGGGTCCGACCCGAGATTATGGCGGGAAGTGCGGGCGGTGGAGGGGGCTGTTTGACGGCTGCAGGGGCCAGCAACACGTCGTGTAGGCTCAATCCGGCTAAGTCTCTGCCGTTGCTACTTGCTGACATCTGATCGAGAAGCGTTAGCCTCCGGCGACCTTCCATTTCACAGATTCACCAAAAATAAATTAAATAAACAAATTTAAAATAAAATGGAGGAATGAGCAAATCAGCGGATCGGAAGCATCTGTTCGATTTGTTTGGATTCTGAGATTTCTTGGGAAATGTAACTGAACGAACAATCGGGATCTATAATTTTTTTTCTTTCAGTTGAGTAATATACGCATTTTCTGAGGGCATCTAAGCAAAAAATCGCAAGAATACATACATTTTTTTATGTATTTTTTTAATTACTAAATACGTAGTTCATGCATCAGTTACCGTTTCCAGTTAAAAACCAGTTACGAACTATAATTTTTACGCGTATAATAAAAATAGTACGTTGCTACAATGAGTGTTGCCTAATAAATGCACAATGTGATTTTGTCGACCGTCCGCCATTTTGCGGTGTCGATCAACTAATTAATTAACGTTTGTCATCGTCATCGACATCATATTTCATACTAATTAATTAACGTCAAAATAAGATTTTAAAAGATTTTAAAAGTAATAGATTTGATAGGATTTAAGAGGATTAGAGACTTCTACAAAATTCATATGGATTTTTAAAGAATTTGAATGGATTGTGGTGGATTGTGGTGGAAGGATTTGAAATGCTAGGGGATGAGGTTGGATTTTTTTTAGTCCTGGTTATATATATTTTTGGCTCTCATATCCTACAAAATCCACAACTTATAGAAATCTTCAAAAATCTTGATTTTTTTAATACACTTAGACTTGGATGAATTTTAAAATCCTTTAAAATCTTTTAATCGACTACACCTAGATTTTAAAGGATTCTAAAATCCTTTAATTGACTACCCCTAAATTTGAATGAATTTTAAAATCCTTTAAAATCTTTTAATTGACTACACTAAGATTTTAAATTCTCAAATCCAAGTTTGACTACACCCCCTAAAGTCCTCCAATGCTAGATGAGAATTGCACAATTAATGTCGAACTCTTATGTATCGGTCAACTGGCTTCCTTCTTCAATTGATCAGCTTATTTGTGCCAATCGATCAAACTTCTTGTTGTGTCGGTCAATCGACATCACAATACACATTACTTATGCATTTTTCATCATTCATGGGAGAAATTTGGGTGTAAAGCAGTAAAAGTCTAAATCTAAGACGTTTAAGTTTACAGTTATGCAGAACTTTGATAGTGTTGGAGAAAAATGAAACTGAAAGTGGGTACATGCATGGGATACCTTACGTCCCGTGACCGTTGCTTCTGGTGGTACCGGCAGATACGATGGCTCCGCCATCTTTCAATTATTTAGTTGTTGCGTTTCTCTCTCTGAAAAACAATAAGAAAAAAGCTGAGATTTACCAGAGCCCGAGAGAGACAAAGAAACATTCATATGATGATGGAAGCAAAAAAAGAATTGTAATCTAGATAAAAAGATGAGAGAGAGAGAGAGAGAGACAGAGAGAGAGTCGATGCACCAGAAGGCAAATGCTAAGTGATGGATCGATAGCAAATTGGCAATGGTTGGTCTGTATGTTTGTTTTCTTTGTTTGCTTTAAGCCTAATTAGTAATTAGTTGGGTGGATGATTGATTGTGGTTGTTGGTTAATCTCTTTCCTTTTCTTTTTCTCTTTTTTTTTTTTGGTTTTATAATTTTTCCGATTTTAGCTCTCGAATTGTAGGGGAGGGAAAGAGAAGGATTTTTGGGGCATTTGGGGCAACGGGGGAGCGAGTCTTGTGGGAGGAGGAGAGGAGGTACTAGGTTCCCTCTACTTCCCCTTGTTTGTGGCAAGTACAATACTGTCATACATATGCTTCAATTTTTTTTCAGCTTATCAAACTTATTACGTGACGTGAGTAGAAATCTAAGTATAATCGATGAAGTCTTTCAGCCCAAAAGAAGTATTAAGGCTATACATATCAACATAATAGTTATATTATTCCTCACAATGGGATGAAAAGTTATAATAGTTTCTGGATAACGTTTTTGTTGTTTTTATGGGTTAGTTAGGGTTTAGGGTTTTATGGGTTAGTTATTTCTTTAGGAATTGTTCCGTGATCAATTAAAATAGAAGTAATGAATTTTGCATTTTTGATGTGGAATTTTCATACACGTCACTTTTGTTTGGTACCATTCATTAACATAAATTGGAGCAAACTTGTTAAAAGAAGCATTTCCCAAAGAGACAAGGGAAGGGGGAAGAAAATTAGATATACAAGTGAATGGAGAGTCGGAGGCACAAGGACGATGGGTATGGCATAAGTTGGAAGACAAAGTATGGAACTCAACTGAAGGAGGAGCATAGAGCAATAGGCATGCATTTTGTTTTGGTTCATAAGATAAGTGGTGAAAATAAAAAATGATGTTAATTAGGATGAGTAACGTGTGCGGGCATGATCTGATTTGATCATTCATGTATGTGAGATTTACAAAGCAAGAATAGTCACCATTGGATAGTAATGACCTACACATAAATACATCGGAAAAAATATATATACTAATATGTACTGATTTGAAGGTTTTGTTGTGGGAAATTCGTTTGTTTCAAAGATGAGTGGTTGAAGATGTTAGGTTGTTATGAATTTGGAGATAACGACTAACTAGTTGCAATCAAAGTATAGAATGTGCAGGTTTTTGCTAACTTAATATTGGTTCCACATGCCCATCATCTACTAACACTTTTTTATTTTTCTTTTCCATGTGTAATATATGGGGTGGTGTCAATACACCGGAGTATGCCATACTCCGACACTTAGAGCCATTTGATCCAATATTGAATTTAACAGTTTTAAGTGTCACATTATACATTTAAATTAGATCAAATGACTCTAAACATAGAAGTATTTCATAATTAGGTGTATTGAAAATAAAATTATAATATATGACTAGTAAAATAAGTTGAGGATCTCATAGACTTTTCAAGGATCTTGATCTAATGCAAGAGTGGGACATATTTTTAATGTAGGTGTGGAATTGTAGGTTATCTTTGTCTGTAATTTGTTGACTTCACATGTCTTGCCATTGTTACTTTAAATAGTGTCACTATCTCAACGAAGAAATTAATAGAGGGCGTGGGCAACAAATGTTATTTTTCTTTAGGGTTTTGCATGCATCCATAAAACGAAAAGTGTGCAGTTTCATGTGTTTAATTATTTCAATAACAATGCGTGATTGATTTTGAATGCCTATTACCGTACATACATAATTGCATATAATTTTCTTCTTGTTTAGAGTAAGACGAAAAAGATACTAACATGTTTGTAATTCATAAATGTTGACAAAACTATGCTGGTTTTTCCTCTCGCAAATAATTGTAGCGCTCTGCCAATGATTGGAGGAAAGGGGATGCCGTGTATGGACCGATCAAACTTGCTAGTCTTTAATCTAGTGATATTTTTCTCACCAAATTGAAAATGTCTCAAATTCCAATTTTTCGAATCAACTAAAAACAACTTGGCTACTCAAAGATGAGTAGAAACTTCTACTCAAAACTCTTAGTGTTTTAAGCACAGAGCTTTGTGCTTATGATCTGAACTGGTCATATTATTAATCAAATTGTAAAGATCATCTCTGCAAAAAAAATAAAAATAAAAAAAATAAAACTAAGGTCGTTTAGTCAATCTATTGTAACAAATACATAGATGGTTTGTAGTACTTTTACAAATAATGTTCATTTGTTTTTAAACAATTTGATGACTAAACGACCTTAGTTTTAATTGATTTTTTGCAGAGGCGATCTTTATATGGTGATTTACAATATGAATAGTTCTTATTATAAACAAGAAATTCTATGAATTCATAAAAAACAATTTTGTAAAATTTTGAGTAGAAATTCCTACTCATCTTTGAGTAGTCAAGTATTCTTCATCAACTAAGACATAAGTTCAAATTGCACTTAAACATCAGCCCAATGGTTTGATGACTAACACGTTCATATGGGCCTTACCAGAATGCTATGTCTTCCCATGCTATAAGAAGCCCAATTATTTTTCTTCAAAAGGCCAATTAATTTGGAGTTGTGATATTCATGCACTTCATTTTACTTCTCACACATCTTTTTAATTTTCGACCGTCAGATCAGATGAATTGAAGAAAATTAACGGACAAAAATTATTAAGGGGTGTGTGAGAAGTAAAATGGAATGTGTGAATAGCACATCCCTTAATTTATTAATTAATTTGAAACATTAAGCAGAGACTGCACAAATAATTCGCCAAAAAACAATTAAAAACAGATAATGCCAGATAAGCACCCAACTGAAAAATCATTTATTTGCGAAAGTGTAAAAAGCGCGGCTTCTAGATACTTCCATAGATTGTCTGCTTCCGAACATCTTTCCCCTTTTAGCCACCACCTCTCCTCCGACCCCAACACCATCAAAGCCTCCAGCAAGCCTTCTTCTTCTTCTTCTTCATCAATCTCTCTGGGTTGCTCGAACAGGTAAATTCAAATTTACCTCTTTTTTTTTTCTCGTTTAGGAATTTGGGATTTTGATTCGATGAAATCGTTAATTGAATTTTGATTTGTTTTCGAATTTCAGGGGTTTTTGTTGTATTTGTATTCTGTTTGGCTGTTTTTAGCTACACTCACACACTTCAATAATGTCCCATATCCTTTGCAATCGGATCTGATTCTTCCCCTGTTAATTTTTTCTAAATTGTAATGATTTATGCCCTGTTTGGCTGCCGAGAAACGCCGAGAAAATCACGAAGATCAGATCTTTGACTTCGTGTTGTGTTCGGCGTTCTCTCCGCAACCAAACGGATTGTAATTTGAGAATTGTGTTGTTTGTGATGCTCGAAGTGTTTTTTTGTTTGCCTTAACTGAAGCGAACGCGGAAACCACAGGGATCGAGACCGCGAAAGGGCTCAGGCCAGGTCTGGCGGCAACAAATCCAAGCCCAAAAATGACGGATTAACCCCTGAACAACGCCGCGAAAGGTATCGATTTCGATCCCTTTTTCTCTGAGCTTCACGCCTTTCGTGTTCAATGCATCGCTTGTGATTCAATTCTGAGTTGGATTTGTGTTTGTGATTCAATTTTAAATTGGAATCTTGCTTGTGATTCAATTATGAATTGGGATTCTGTTTGTGGTTCAGTTCTGAATTGGGATTTTGCTCGTGTTTCTGTTCTGATTTGGGATTTTGTTTTTGATTCAATGCTGAGTTGGGGATTCTGTTTGTTTTTCGGCTTAGGGATGCGAAAGCGCTGCAGGAGAAGGCGAAGAAGAAGGCAGCGGCGCAGCAGGCCGGAGGGATCAACGCCGGCGGCAAAAAATGAGATGGGATGGAGATAATGTGAAGATTAGGGACTACATTAGGGATTAATGTGATTGTGTGCCTTGTAATTGTATGGTGGGGTGGGAATTAGAAGGGGTTTTGTTTTTGGTTTGGGATTTGGAGTCTGTCTCTGTTTGAGTATTTGAAAATCGAGATGAACAATCAAATTTCAAGTGTTTGTTTTGGTTCTGGAAACTGCCACTAATGTGTACTTGTTAGATTCTGAAAAGCTTTCAGCTTTATAAGCCTTTGTAATCGTAATCTATTATTAAATTTGTTTCCGTTAGTTCTTTTTATTCATCAATTGTACATTGTGCGGTCAGTTTTTATTCAATTTTAATTAAAAAAATGTACAATGATTTTTTACCGTACGATGAACAGATGTGATTAGAGAATTCTCAAGATTTTTATAAAGAAGATTCGACAAGGATTCTCCTGGGACCAGCATCAAGATGACGATGATGGTTAATAACCATTTTGTTGGTTGTTGTTCACATCGGCCGCCAAGCTAACTCGGTGGCCCATAGACCAGCCTGGTTTGTCCTCTGTTGTGGAGATGAACGTACTTGGTGTAATGAACCTCCTACTATAATTAGTGATTTGCTTGTGGAGGATATTGCTTCACCCTGTACAAACTAGCCTGTTCTTGGCTTTATCAACGTTGGTGTCGAACTAAACCGATTTGATTACTTATATAACTTATTGATGGAATGAAGAATTCTTAGGGTAGGAACTGAACTCAAATACTCTTTATTCCTCTTCAGTGACAACTCAACGTGCTTACAATGATGAAGAAAAACCTGTATAGCATATCAAGCACGTCATTCGTAGGGCAGCTCACATAAGAATCATAAGGATTTTTGCATTAGGTCGGTTCGCAAATATTATTGGACTCATATGGTATGACAAATGACAGAGGATGAATTGGGTTTTCGGAAATTCTATCCGGTTTTGTACTTGTTTTCCTTGGTTGCTGAGAAATGTAGGAAAAGGAGAGAGATTGACATTTTGAGTACTGGGATTTTGGTGTTTTGTTCGGAATGGGGTAGCTGAAGGGTCTACTCTGATGCCTTCAAGCAATTAGTTTGCTGGATAGCTTGAGTTTTATTTGAATTTCGGTGTTTCGTTCAGCTCAATTTCGTTTTGTTTGCTTAGAATGCGTAGAAAAGGTTTGATTTTTAGCTTATGGGGACACTTGAAAATCAGAATAATGTTAATCCTGGTAGCTGATTGTGATTATTGTCACTGTTTATATTTTCATAGAGAGATGAATGAACATATTACGAGCCTCTCTTCTCATGGTCGTTTTATCCTTTATACTTTCAAGTTTTTGAACTACTACTGGAGCTGCTTTGGTACCGACCTAATTCTGTTGTATACGTTAAGCTAATCGTCATGCTGGAAATGTAAGCAACCGGAAAAGGACTGCGAGCTTCTTGAAGTTATAATTGAAGAAGGCTGTGATGTCAACACTGAATCTTACACTGCTCTTGTACCTGCCTATGGTAGGAGCGGCCTCTTTGACAAAGCATTTTCCCTCCTCGAGTTGATGAAGAATACTCCTGACGTCCATACTTACTCGATCCTCTTAAAATCCTGCCTGCAGGTTTTTGCATATGACAAAGTACAAGATCTACTATTGGATATGGAAACTCAGGGGATGAGACCCAACACATTCACATACAATAAGCTCATCGATGCCTATGTCAAATCTAAAAGATTTGCAGAGATGTAATCAACACTTGTGGAAATGCTTAGCGAACAGGATTGCGAACCTGATGTTTAAATGATGAACTCCATACTGAGAGCCCTTGGTGACAGCGGGCAAATAGAAACAACGGAAAAGTGTTTTGAGAGGTTTCAGAGTGCTGGGATCTAAGCCAATATCACGACTTTCAACATTCTTTTAGATTGTTATGGAAAAGCTGGGAAATATGAGAATGTGAGTGCTGTGATGGAATACATGCAGAAATATCATTACTCGTGGACGATTATGACATACAATGTGGTGATAGATGAATTCGGGAGGGCTGGGGATTTGAAACAAATGGAGTGTCTGTTTAGACTAACGCGATCAGAGAGGATCAAGCTAAGCTGCATCACACTTTGCTCACTCGTAAGGGCATACAGCCTAGCCGGTAATCCCGAAAAAAAAATTGATGGTGTTTTACGTTTTGTGGAGAATTCAGATGCGATGCTCGATACAGTGTTTTTCAATTGCTTGGTTGATGCTTATGGGAGGATGAGAGGCTTCACAGAAATGAAGGGGGTGCTTGAGATAATGGAGCAAAAAGGATGTAGGCCAGACAAGGTTACATATACAACTATGATTAAAGCTTTTTCCGTCAACAAGATGATTGGCCACTTGAAAAGACTCCGCGAACTTATGGAATCAGCAGAAGGAAGTCAGATGACTTTATTCCGAAAAGAAAAACCTGACTTTCGGTGAGCTCTTTTTGCAGGCCATCCATCCCTGAGGTATATTGTTACTCTACATTATCATTGTTTAAAAGTGATTCCTGATTTGTGTACATGAATACTGAATACATTTTTCTTCAAAGTCCTCCTGGGATTAGGGAAACCCTCTTCCATACAGTGTTAGCAATATTTTTCCTCAGCAGGTCCTTCCCAGTCACGGCTGGGGTGCCCCCAATGTATTAAAAGCATGAGGCGTGGGCGAGGCGTCCGAGGCGAAGCCCGGCTTAGACGTGAGGCGTGAGGCAAAGCCTTACAGGATTTAATTTTTTTTTATATATATGTTTTATATATTATACATATAATTGTATAAAAAATAATACTATGTAAAATAAACATCCATTCTCAATTTTTCATTCAAATCCATAGTCATTCAAAAGATAATATCATTTAAATTCATCATTCAAATGTAATATCACCCAAATTCATCATTCAAAAGGTAATACAAACAAAGAAAACAATCATTCATCCAAATCATCTTCATATAAATCAAAATACAAACAAAGATATAAATCATTCATCTAAGTCATCTTCATCTAAATAAAAGGCAACATCATCCTCTTCATTGCCAACTCTAGATGAACTTGTCGGGTATGTCATCATTTCATCAAAAGAATCTTCCGAATCATTCTTATAGTTCTACTTGAGGATTCTTCATTACCCCGTTTTCTTTTGTATGTAATAGGACCTCGAGGTTGAGTAGGCTCGCGAGGAGGAGGAGGAGGAGAAGACTATTGAACATCGGCATCTTCACGTTCTTTCCCTTTCCCAAGCATCCTATCCATGCAAGCAAACAACCCATTTCGCACTTCATCAGTATCTGAGAAATTATCCTCATATTGAAATTGTGGGTTTAAGTAATAGCCCGCCGCATGTAGTGGTTGATGAAGTTGATCGTCCCATCTACAATCTATTTTTCTCCAAATAGGCATATATTTTTTCTCCACTTTGTTAAGATTGCTTGCAATTTTCTCTTTTGCGGCATCCATCAACTCATATATAAAACCCATGGGGGGTCTCTCCTCCGAATCAACCTCTCTCAGAACACAAACAAGAGGAAGAACACCCTTAATGCAAAAAGAAACTTAACCCCAAAACTCACGATCATATAACACATGATGCTTAGCCAACTTTGCTTCACGGGATTTTGCATAGGTACTTTTCCGACCATTCTTGAGAGGTAAACAAAGCAACAAGATTTTCCTTTTGCTTTTGTAAGCTTTGTAGTGTAAGGAAAGAAGTGGCAAATCTAGTGACCGCCGAACTAAGAATTTCCGAATTGTTAGTATACTTTCTCATCAAAGCTAGTACCCATTGATGCCCATATAGATACTTTGAAATACACCTAGCACGTTTGAGTGTGTCATCAAACCATGCCATCTTAGAAATATCTTCTAGCATCAAATCAATGCAATGAGCCGCACATGGAGTCCACCACACCTTCTCTTTCCTCTCCATAAGTTTTGCCCCGACATTCTTGTAGTTCGAAGCATTGTCAGATATAACTTGAACCACATTCTCCTCCCCAATTTCTTGAATAACGTCATCCAAATGGCCATACAACAAATCTCTATTCTTAATAGAGGCCGATGCATCAACCGATTTCAAGAACCAAGTACCTTGAGGGTTATTGACAAGAAAGTTGATTAAACATCTACTTTTGCCATCCGACATAATAGTGCATCCATATCTCTTCCAAGCCTTTTGATGTTCTTTCATCATACTTTGTACATCATCAACTTCTTCTTTGAGCATCCAAGTTATATATTCATGGCTTGTAGGAGCATCAAAGTCGGGACCAAAATTGGATACCACTTTCATTGCATTAACATAATATTCATTATTTGCCGCATTGAATGGAATGACACTAGTGTAGAACCATCGGGCAAGTGCTCGGGATGCTTGTCTTCTTTCCTCTTTTTTGAAAGGTGTATTCAACGTGGTTTGATGAGCTTCTGATGTAACATACCTATCAAGTGGTCCCCTTGACCTAGGTGGTAGAAAAGAACCGGTTTGTTGTGAATGTGTGGCACTCGCACTCGCACTCCCACTACTTACATATGATGTCCTTGTTGTGCCCATATCGACAATTTCACTTTCTTCTCCACCACCACGACACAACTCATGACTAGCTTTCCTCTTTTTTTTAGTTCCCATAACATTAGCAAAACATTCTTCCTTCACATTGGGTGGGATTTTTTTACAACTTATCATTCCTCCCGAACTTACACCACCCAAGTGATGTTTGAATCTAGAAATTGAACCCGTGCATTTGTGGTTACAAAAAACACAATAGAAGTGCTTAGTGACAGGATCCAAATCTTTTGTCCATTGCCAAGCAAAATCTTTCTTAGAAGAAGAAGCCATATTCTTCAATACCCTAAACAATAAACAATAGATGCATGCATACAATTAATGAACCAACGATTTATTAATTAATTTATATACCAACAGTTTCCAACAATTTCCAACAATTTATTAATTAATTTATATACCCCTTTAGTCCCGACTAATTAGGCCTAGCATTTAGAAATGTTTGGGTTCAACCAATTTATCTAAGTGCCAATTTATGGCACACGGTGTAGCAGGAGCATTAAATTGTTGATGTATAAGTGCAAAACAGTTTATGGCAGCACACAGACACAAAGAAAACCATGGGTCTGTCTCTTTGTTTTCTACTCTGATTCTTTCTTTCTTTTTTTCTCTCTCTCTCTCTCTCTCTCATTCGCAGAAAGCCTTCGACAAGCCTTCCCCAGAAAACTTCTTAGTTAGGCAGAGCATGCAGAGGCAGATTTAAAACTTTTATGTCTAACTATTAACCCCTCTATAGCAAAACCTTCCCAGAAAACTAAATCCCTAATTTCAGAAACCCTAACCTTTGGGATCTTGCTGACGGTGCTAGGGCTGGGCTGATGGTGCTGAGGTGACGGCGGCGGGGTGATGGTGGCGTGGCGACTGGACCAGTGTTCTAAGCTTCTGGCGTGCGGGAGAAGAAGAAGCAAAAAGGTAGAAGGCAAAAGGCAGAGGCAGAAAAATGGGATCGAATTCGAAGGTATGATATGAAGATTGAAAATCCTTACCCAAACGACGTCGTTTTGGGTTTGGATGGTTTTTTTTTTTTAAAAAAAAAAAAAAAAAAAAAGGTCTAACAAGGCGTCCAGACGCCTTGAGGCGCGCCTCCGCCGCCTCGGCATCTCCGGTGAAGCATTTCGCCTACTCCAGCAAAACTGAGGCGTTTGCCTCTCTGCCCAGCCTCAAGGGCGCCCTAGGCGCGCCCCGAGGCGAGTTCTTTAAAACATTGGGTGCCCCTCAATCTTACGACAGAACTTACAAACTATACCATGGCCAGGGCTAATAGTAGCGCCATGTGGGATTCAGGTACGGGTATTTGTCACTCCAGTGCACATCCTCCTTCAGGCAAATCAAAAGCAGCAAGTTCAGTTCGAGTTGAGCCATATGTTTGGTAAGGTATATGGTGTAGCCGCGGGTAAACCTGAAAAAAATGATGGCGTTGTACATTTCATGGAGAATTGAGACGTGATGCTTGCTTGATACTGTGTTTTTCAATTGTTTGGTTGGTGGTTAATGCTTATGGGAGGATGGAATGCTTCATGCTTCTGTACCTTATCATTGTTTATTACCAATGATAGCGCATCCTATCCTATGCTAAATACAATTTCCAATCCAATTCTCGACACCAAACGAGAACCTAAACTGCATACATACAATAAATCTTCTTCAAACAAGAATTCACTTATGTTTTAAGAAAAAAAGCATGTATACGTTTAGTATTCTCATCTCCTTCAAGCATGTCCTTCGACAGTGGGGCATGATACTGCCCCTTTCCGGACCCTGTCAAGGAAATCATTGTTAGAGAGAGAACGAGAGAATTTGGCTGGATTCCGGCGTTTACGTTATTTTAAAAGAAAAAAATAAGAATGTTTGAGAAAGGATGCGTAAGTGATGAATTAAATTTTGACGTGGACAAACTAGATATGTGTTAATTCACTAGACACCAGCGTTAAATGATGACGTGAACAAATTTTGAAGTGTTTTAACTCTCAATTATCTATGAAGTTTTGAATCTTCAAACTCACCCCTTGTAATCAAGCAAATTTAGGTTTTTATTTGGCTAAAAGTGGTTGATTAAGGATTTAGAGTTCCATTTAATGCTAACGACATCATCATCGAGTGTTGGTGATCTTAAAGGAAGAAAAATCTTGTGATTATAAGTGGTCAACTCATAATTAAAATGTGCATAGCAAGAAATGAAATATTAGTTAAATACGATTTTGAAGAAAGTCACAAGTACGTAAATAAAAGTATATCCTGAAATCTACTCCAAATGACTATAACAGTTAGTTTACAGTTGAAATGTGGATATCAATAAACAAATATAACGAAAACCGAGTCAAATTTATGTGAAATTGAAGTATTACAAGAGATGATGATAATCAATCGGACAATTTCCTTTTTAGTGATTAAAAAACAAATGAGAGTCACAAAATAAAAATAAAAATAAAAATAAAATTCATGTATTTAAATTTTGGCCTGTTTCTTCTTCCTCATCGAACCAACCCCAATCGAACTCGAAAAAATAAAATTTTAAGGGACGTAATAATAAAAAGCCCAAAATGTACGTCCAATTTCTCTAAGCCCTCTTCGTTCGTGTTCGTCTTCTTCCCCCATGTGCACAGAGCCCACTATTCGCAGAGGTCGCGTACTCCCCAAACTCTTCACCCCCAAATACGCAACGAGAACATCAATCCGAAAACCTAATTCCCCAAACCAGAAATCAGTCAATTGCAGATTGAGAGTTTCTCAGCAAGTGTAAGCATCCATTTCATGGCTGACATTTGGAGAGAGGTCTTGTGTTCTAGGGCAAACTTGGTCCCGTTCCATTTCTGAGCGTTTATATTTTTTGTGTTTGTTCAAAACCCTAGGAGAGAGAAATTTCCCGAAATTGAAGTCCCCAGTGGCACCACAGTCGTGCCCTAGCTCGCAATTTTGCTACCGTGTTCCCAATTGCAGGTATTTTTGCTGCTCTGTTCGTGTTAGGTTTTTGTCACGTAAACCCTAGAATTTTTGAAATTAGGCGTTTGCTTGAATTAGGGTTTCGCTCGTTAGGACAATTTGTGGCGAGGTGTCTTGCGTTGTGATTCTGTAATGCATTGTGATTGAATGCTTGGGGGTTATAGCGTAAGTTTTGCTATCAGTGCGCTTATTGTTTTGACATGGGATTGAATGCCGGAATTAGAAGTCCCCCTCATGGGGAATTGAGTATGTTCTTTATTTGAGTTGTATGCCAGTAGCTTTGTAGCTTTAGTGGGTGTATCTGAAAGTGCACATGTGGGAATTCGAAGGAAATCATTCTCTGCAAGCCTCTTGCATGCAATTGTTGCTCAAAATTGTAGCGTTATTAGTACCGAATACGTACGTATATATTATGCAAGTAATGACTTACCATAATTTGGCCCTTGCTTTTTCATGTTCCTATTTTTTGGCAGACCACACATTTCCTTTTCTGTACTTAGCTGTTTGAACTAGGTTTCACCTGTTCAGTGGTTAGTGCTTGTTTTGAACCTGATGACTTTCCACTCATGCAATGTGGCTCTTATATTGCCTTTCAATTTTGCCCTTGAATATTTAGCATCTCGTGGATTTGATTTAAATTGTGGACTGCTATGCAGACTAAATCTACCATACATTGATATAAATTGTGGAAAATCATTTTCTGAGAGCCGGAGAATGTCCTCATAATTTTGGTGGTGTTTATGATCATGTTGAATTCACATTCTTCCTTCCTCTTATTTTTTATTATTTGAAGTTCTTTAAATGCTTTAATATGCATTTCCTCCTACAACTCGTTGATTTCTGGGACGAGAGGAACTATAGTTAGATTTGGTCTAAGAATGGAATCCGCAGCCATAATATGATGTTTCATGTATACATTAGCTGCTTATCTTACCCTTCTAAGTTTGTTTGTTGGGATCAATATGAGTTTGACAATCTGCATATCTTTGTATATGTCTGTTTCAATTTGATTTCAAGCTTTTTGTGCTGGTAAATCATGTTATACCTGTTTCTAGTTCTGTTTAAAAGAACATTAAAACTCAAGACTGTTCAGATGCTTTTCAGTCGAATGGGGACATTTTTTCCTGGTTGCTTATGGTGCAGCAATTCAAATTTAGTGAACTAAAAGTTTATTTTCTTATTACTTGTGTTATCAGGTTCTTCTCCTTTGTTTATAAATAGAAAATTACATAGTAAGTTCCTGATTCTTATTTGATTTTTTTTTTATATCTGTGCCTTCAGTAATTTTTGTAGACTTTGGATAAGATGGGAGATTAAAGACTCTGGGCATTAAGGTCGGAATGCATGGATGTAGCTCAGGATCTGCTCTCCTAGTAAATGCAGAGGTTGATTCCATGGGTGGAGTGGTTGACGGCGGAGTTGGTATTGGTTTGAAAACCTCTCCACGCCGAGCAGCAATCGAGAAGGCCCAAGCAGAGCTTAGGTTTGCTTTCCCGTCTTCTTTAACTTTTATATTTTGATATTTTCATATCTGCATGTAGTACACTATGAACTGTTATTTTCTGATAACAGGCAGGAGTATGATGTGAGGGAGGAAAGAAGAAAGGAACTAGAATTTCTTGAGAAAGTATGGAAATTTA